CAACTCCCAACCACCAAAACCCAAACCCAAACGCCAAACCCAACGCCCCTGAATCAGGGCTACTAATGCACTGCTTTGGGATTGCAAGCGGCTCATTGCCATTTTTATTTTTTAAATGGCTTCATTGAATTTTCCTTGGCTAATTAATGAAGCTCCTAAGAAACGATGATAAGTAATTATAAGTTACCTAGATTATTGTAAGCACTTTCATTTTTTGGGTTGATTTATAGGGCTAATTCAAAGCAAATTATAGCTTCATCAAATTTATTTAGATTCTTTAATGTAAGGCCTTTGAAATTTATAGGTAATCCAAAATACCTTTCAAATGATAGACAGAGTCATGATTATATCCCATCGATATTGAATCGTTTAAGGCTGTTAATGCTTCTTGAAATTATCCCTCGTTAAACTAATTATTCCCCTAAAAATTAATATACAAATATTGATACCTTTCTCAAAGTAACTTTTGGCTTTATTCAGATATTATTAAGTATTATAATCAGTTAAAGCATTGACTTCGTCATCTATTCTAATATAATCTTATTTAATATTTTCAAGAGCAGACACAATAGAATTGATTGATGTTATCAATTTACCTAAATAATGCAATAAAAATACTGTTTTCAGTCTCATCAACCTTAGAATGATACTTTCGAAAGAATTTGATATCACTTTTAAAATTTAGATACTCTCCTTTTGATAAAAATTCATTCATTTTTAATATTTTCTTTAGGTTATTCTACACTTTCTTTTGCATTTGATTAATAAAATTATTGAAGCTGCTCTCAAAATTTTGTAATTTTCCATAATATTCATTTTCTTTTTGGATATATTCCTAGATATGTTCTTTGATTTTCTGAAATGGAAGACATTCAAATTAATGTTATTTCTAGTTAGTATTGAAACATTTAAAACAAAATTGAGGAGTTTAGTGGCATCCAATATTAATACAAAATCCTAAAATAGCTTCCTCAAGATGATCTTCATATCTACAATGAAACTCGCCCATAATGTTTTAAGTTTATACTTAATTAATAAAACATAAATTATCAAGTAGTAACTAAGGAAGATAATTTTATTCTATTCTGTAATAATTTAATATAAAAGCAATCCATAAAGAAGAAATCCTTCTATCTAAAACTTATTCTCATCTACATACAGGATAAAATTATAAAATTTTGGATTCGCAACTTTTTAAACACCTTTTATAATCATTCTCTTTTTGCCAAAGCTTTTAACTTATTCAATACTTACCTTAAGGCATGATTTAAATTAAACAATATTACTAAATATTAGTCCTGTATGTATTGAAATTCATTTGAGATATTGAATAAAAATGATTAATAAAATTGAAGTATTCTTTCACACCCTTTTGAAGGTAAATAATATAATTAGTAAAGCAGTAATGACTTAAGCCAGAATTGTATTACTTAAATATAAGATTCATTTTATTTTGATTTAAATCTAGTAATAATGATTTTGTTTTATTAAAAATACAAATGCGATATATGTCTCATATTTATTAATCCAAATGATTAATATTTATTATTTAGATATGGAAAAAACAATAAAATGAATTATAGAAATTGTATAAATCTGAATTTATTGAATTATTTGATTGAATAAAAAGAGATACAAACATAACATGGTTTTTGATAATAAATATTATTTAATAGTTGTGCTTATTCTATATAAGTAAATTGGGTATTATAACTTTATTCTTATTCTATTATTTTTAAGGTTGTAAAAATAAAAATATATGAAAATCAGAAAAATTATTCTCATTTATTTCTTAATTTTGTTATACTAAAATTTGGAAGTTAAAAACATTCAGAAATTGAAATAGACATTATAATTATATTAATTAATAGTAATTTTAATTAAAGCTTGTTAAAAATATTTATTAATATCAACCACATTAAAATTTTATTTTCATTATAAAGTAATTGGGATGCTTTAGTTCATTTTTAATTGATATTATATCTGTATTTTTACAAAATCAATGAATTTATATTGAGTAAATAATAATAAAATATTATTAAGTGATAGTGTAATCAATTAAATATATATATAGATGTTGTTTTTATTCGACAAGTACATATTTTATCAGTTGAATATAACATGATTAATTGAATGTCGAAATCTAACCTTCAAATGCATCTCTCTTTTTAAAATTGAGAATAGTAATAAAGTAAATATTCTAATGTTCTTTAGCTTAATAAATGTTATTCTGTAAAACAATGTAAAATGATTAATTCTAAATAACATGGTTTATCGATCGAATCAACTAGAGGTTATTTATTTCATTTAATCAAAATTTTATATATTAATGGCTATTCGATTTTATTTGGATAATATTTGTTAAGTCGTAAAATAATTATTATTCTTTACTGTGAAGTATTCTTATTTTTTTTCAGCATTCGAAAATGTGATACTCATTTACTAATATCATCAAATACATATTGATAGATTTACAATTAATATAAAAAATGGAGTATTTTTAGATGTAAAAAATTTTGCTATCAGATAAATTTTTCTCTTAAGCTCAATTTAGAAAGAATAATAATTACATTGAAAGATAATTAGAATCTATAAATTACTTATCAGAGATCATGTTTGACTGTGAAGTATTTTCCATTTCTAATTAGATGTTTGTATATTCTTGTCATAGCCTCTAGGTTTTGATTTAGAAATGGAATTTATGTTCTTTATCATAGCTACTCATATTGTTAATAAATCATCAAAGAAGGAGGTTATTCTGAATATACATTTCACAGCAATGAATAAGTTTATTTATAAATATCCTTGTCTGCAAAACAATAATATAGAATATAATATCAATACATACAAATGTAAATTATAAGGATAATAGTTTAAATATAAAATAGGATTCATAATTGCGAGAAGTTTTCAAGTCGAGATTTTCTTATAGGTTTATTAGGGAATAGTTAGTAGAAATTAGAATTTTAGTGTTAATTATTAGTGAAATTATATTTCAATCTATTGTATATTATTATAAAAACATAGGTTTCTCCCAAGTTATTTTGATTATTAAACAAGAACATTGTTCTTTAATTATTTGAATATAATAACTAGATATTTTTGATGTATCTCGAAGCATCTCAATATCATGTTCTTTCAAATCTAGGTGTGGATCTGAGCATTTGATATATAACTTGGAGAATAGGTGGAATTCTGAGGTTGTAATACTTCACAAATTAAAAGGGACAGAAGGCTTTGATATCATATGGAGTCACCCCAGAAAATAAGTAATTTATTCTCATATAGATATCAAACCAGAAAATATTATGATTCAAAAATATTACAACCTTAACTTATTTAAATCATTGATTTTGGATTATCCTAAGAATTATATAGCAATTCTAAAGATGCATTTATTGGCTCATTAAATTTTGCCAGCAGACAATCGCACAAGGGAGAACAACTAGGTTACAAAGATGATTTAGAAAGTCTCTTGTATGTTTTGGTTTACTTAAGAAATTGTAAGTATTTTCTTTAGCCTTAGTAACTTTGCCTTGGTTCCAAAAACCATCTTGGGGATGTAGGGAAGTAGACATCTAAGTCATTGGCAGGATCAAGTCATTTCATTTTAACACCACCTCCTTAACTCAGAATTTCCCTTTATAGTTTTAGGAGATCACGTCTTACATAGGCTCATTAAAGAACAACATCTTGCCAGATTATGGTTATCTCAAAAGCTTGTTTTTGGAAATGATAAGAAAACTCTAGTGCTCTGGGTTCTAAATACATTAAGGCTTCGAATCTTAGAATGAAATAGAAACTTCAATTATGATTGGAAATTCTAATGAGAACAATAAAGACTATAAGTATTGTGACTAAGAGGATATGATAAGTTTTGAAACAAAAAATTTTTAAATTTCTAAATTAATTGGTAAATATATTCCCAATGCAATTAAATTAATAAGTGACATTAAAGCTTGAGATTATTATTATCCTATATTTCAGTTCATATAAGTGTAATTATAAATATATATTGGTTATTTTAACATATGAACAGAATGGGCATATTGAAGGATAATTTTTATGTTAAATTTACTATCCCTGAGTATATTGTTATTGAATAACAGTTGAAATTTATGATTAATTATGTTTTTAAGGAATTATCCTTTTAATTAAATATAATTCAATTGGCACCATAATATTTAAATAATTATGATAATGAACTTTTTTCAGTAAAAATTTGGGCATTTTCCATTTCGCACTTCATCGCTTACATAACATAGTATTTAGGTATTGTTTTCAATCTATATAGAGTCTTTGAATTCTAAAAAGATATAATTGTATTGATACATTATCGCTATCATTTTATAATCTTAAAGATGAATCAATAAAATTATAATAAAAGACATTTCCACCTTTTATTAATATGATGAAATCGTTGTAATTTGATGAGAAAGAAGCATTTAATATACCTACTGCATAATCTAGCATAAACACAATCTAATATTGATCATTCTTTTCTTATTTGTTAAGCAAATACATTTAATAATCTTACTCTTAAATTAATAAGTGAGTCCCATTTTCGGAAAAGAAGACATGAATAATGTTGTATGAGAAAAATATGTTTTGAACAACATAAGGGTCCTCTAAATTGTGAATATCTATTATTTTAACAACTCCTTATCTTTTTTCGAAGCCTTATTCTTGTTCTCCTCCTACACCTCCACATGCCATCGTATTATTATTCAAATCAAATGAAACAGAAAAAATCTGAAAATTTAGAATTTTATTTTCATATTAAACTGTTTATTAATTTGTAGACAAGATAAATTATTTTTTGTCATTACAAAATGCAAAGAAAGTGTTATCAAATTTATAAGAAATCACTTGTGACCAATTATATTCTGCTTTAAGACTTCTAACTTCCGTCCGAAAATCGACATTATATATTTACTTTACTAAGATAGTATCTCTCCCTGAATATGCTAGGAACTCACCATCTGTACTAAAAGCGATAGCTAGTCCATAAGGAATTTGAAAATAGTCGAATAAGCTTAGTTACTGGCCATTAATTGAGAATAATACAAAGTGATTGATAAAACCTTTTTCTTCCCTCACGGCTAAAAAAATTGGTAATTTAGGAGAGAATACCACATGATTAAAGGGATGATTGAATCCCATCTATATATAAATTGGGACAGTATCAGCATTTCGAATTATTGGATCAAATTTAAGTTAGTTAGTCTCATTTACCTGATCATACTCAAGAGATACAATAGATGATGAATCTGGAGAAAAATTAAATGTCTACCAAAAAGTAAGCACAAAAGATTAGACTACAGTTTAATCATCCAATTTCCAAATTACTACCCTTGGAGTTATATTTATTATTGTATTTCTTTCTGCTTCTTCAAAACTTATGTTGTTTAATGGAAAATATGATGCTGCTATGTATTTCCCATTTGGTGAAAATGAAACTTATAGGCATTCCTAGTTTTTGCATTCATTAGCAACAAGTTAAGTTTTGGAGTAAATTTTAAATTCTATATTTTAATTGCCAATTTCCTATGTGAACTAAACCTTCTTCTCCAATAATGTGTCATAATTAGAATAAAACATTTCCCATAATATTATTTGATCTCCTTCATTGGATGCTATAATTAATTGTCTATTAGGAATCCAAGTACAGATATGTTAATTATCTAATAAATTTGGATTATATTTGATCCTTAAGGGAATGGCAATTTAACCTGACTATTTTATATACCAAACTTTAATAGAATCATCTTAGCTTCTTGATGCAAGTAATTATCCATTGTAAGAATATTCAATTGACAAAATCTATTGAGAATGATTCAGTTTTTTTAATATAACTCCTTTTTCTTGATCGTATAAATTAATACTCCTTGGTTCTCTAATCCCAACATAAGCAATTTAATGAACTTCAGTAGAGATGGCAATACAGACTATGTCACCGAATTCTGAATCGATGACGATTTATTGATTGAAATTATTGTTTGCATGGATAATAGATGGCACTTTCCATGTCTTCATTAGTTCTCGATCGTCTGTTATAAGTGCTAATAATTCTTGTTTACTGGAAAAGAAAATATTCTGAAACGAATAGATATCACGAATTATTTATAAGCGTTGTAAATCGTAAATGTTGGAACAGTCCCACAAAATAATACCATGACAAGACTATTTTGTAACCATTAAATTACCTTTTGGGGAAAAGCAGAATTAAGTTTGTTCATTTAAAATGTTGATGCATTCATCGTTCGGGCAATCCCAAAATATTATTTTGGATTAAAGCTATAAAATGATCAACTACCCATTATATGAGAATTCTGCTTTTAATACTTCATTATCAAAAATTTAATAATACTTATTTGGGTTTATATCATTCATATTATACATTTTGATGTTCTCTTTAATGTCATTCCATTAGGCAATAACATTCATTTCAGGATTAATATTATAACACTGGGTTTTTTAATAGCCTTTAAATATCCTATTAATACAATTATCTTGAGTATTCCACAGCACTAAATCCTCTTGAAATTATATGCCAATCTCCAGTTTGGAGTTGAATGTTATGAACTACAAAATTTAAAATCTGAAATTTATCCTTTAAGTTTCAATTAAATTCTGGCCTTACCAGTTATAAAAAATAACATCTTCCATATTAGCAATTGCAAAGGTTTTTCCACTCAATGAAGCATTAAATAAATCAGCTTCAATTGATTATACCAGAGATTCTCTCGAACTTTATAATTCAAATAATCTTAAGTTCTTATTCCCTTTAAACAAGAAGTAACTATTATTTTCATTAAATGCTAAATTGTTTATTTAGAATATAGGTTATGGGGAATGTCTGATTAGATGTTCTATTCCAATGTACTTAGTTTAAAGTGATTATCCGTCAGCCCTCCAACATCTTAACCATCCATCAGGGTCAACTATACCCAATATTTCTGCATCAGGAGAAAACTGCAACGCATTGACAGGAGTGAAATCTATTGGTTTCTGATATAGGATGTTCTCCAAAGTTTTAAAATCCCTCAAAATGATCTCTTTTTAAGAACAAGTTGCTACATATTATGTTTATTTGCCGAAATGGATATTAGATATTGCTACAGATTGAAAATGATCCTCCTTATCTGGGTTTTACACTTAATTAATTAGTTCGTAAGTTCTACAATCCCATTTTTTCAACACTAGAACACTCAGAGAAATCATATAGTTTCCATCGGGAGTAAAAACTACTTATTCTACTTTCTCATTTTGAAAAAGGTTTGCAGTTTCTGCTATTTAAATTTTATACCACTTCACATTATTTAATTTAGCAAAGTCAAAGTTACATCTATTGATAATCACATTTCTAAAAACAGATCCACTTAAATTGCAATTAAAAAAACTGATTCCAGAAATATCTGTATCTGATAATTCAATTTTCTAAAGGTCCTCTCCCCCAAGATTGAAATTCAGGAAAGATATCAAATACATGCAATTTGATGAAACCCGCATATATTTAGAATCTTAGGACATTTTTATGATTTTAATTAGTTTTTCCTTGATTTTCTCAGTTTTTCGAAGGTCATCCTTCAAAACATTTAAGGCCCCTGTAAAATTACTACCTGTCAGATTGATTTGATTTAAATCACTATTACATATTATATTTATTTATCTTTCATCGATTAGAAGCCTTTTCAAGAAGCGAGCGAAATAATATTCTTGTATAATTTTATATTTAAAGCTACAGATATTTCCTTATTTAATAACTAAATAAGGATTATAGTGCAGTTATTCACACTCGCTTTATTGTTCCTCTATTTCATCATCCTCTTGTATTAAACTCAATTTTGTTGCTATAAGGTTGTTTATTGTCATTTAGAATGCCAAATTTTCACATTTAGTGTCAATCTCCTAGAGTACTTGATGAAATTCATATGATTCTATCTCATCTTCAAGTTATTTAGCATACTTTATGTTTAATTCATCTACAAAGGTTGCAATAATTTAATACATTGTCAAATTATTAGCCCTCAATGCATCAATCAAAAGAATTGAATCATTTTTGATAGCGAAAACATCCTTATCCATTTGAATTCCTCTATTATCACCCTTTAGAATATTGAAATATTGATATTATTTAAAAAATTTTTATTATTCCAATATTTATAACGCTTTCGATAGGTTTTCGTCAATACCTTCAAATTCAGGATCCATTTTTATCTACATTAAAGATGGGATATTAAGAGATTACGTATAACGATAGCTTTGAAGTTATGTGGAAGAGTTTGAATATTTCTACTTCAACCTAGAATAGGATTTTATTAGTTATTCTTTAAAATATCTATCTTTGAATGCGGTTCGCAAAGTGGACAATTACAAAACAAAAATTTCTAACTATAATGGTGTTTAAGTGAGATTTTCAAATTGATGATTCTTTATAATTTCCATATAATTCATTGTACTTCTTAGTTTAGATATATCTTAAACGATCTTTTAAAAAAAGTCATGTTATATATTTTCTATCATTTTACTCCTTATGATTGCTTATTATAAATCCAAGTAATTATCATTTGGATTCATTAGATATTTGAGTTCACGCTCTTGTTGCTTAATGAATTTCTAAATTTCTTATTCAAGGTCTATCCAGATATTTTCAAATCCTTCATCGTTTTAATGTTATTGGATAAAATGATTAAATAATATCTTTTTGATGCTTATTTAGTGATTCAATTAAAAATATTGTTACCTTTAATCATCATTAAATGGCAATAATTAGATTTCAGTAATCAAATTTATGTGGTTATGATTATAGGAGAAATATAACTAGTAATTTTATAAGTCTTTAAGTTCAGATCTTGCTGAAGCAACGAATTTCACTGTTTTACCAATCAATTTGATATTAATATCTAAATGTTGAAAATTAAGTTTAATTAAATTCTATTTTACTATGTCTATTTTTACTTCATCTATATCATCTAGTAAAAATAACACCTTTATTTATTGGGAGTTGACTGCCTTTACAAAATCATTATAGTATTAATCATTTCTAAATATCTACTTTAATTTGCCAACAAATAATTTATTATTCTCTGAGTATGGGTCTGAAGATAAAGATATAAAAATTGGAATCCATCTCTATGATTGGTATTGTTCCCATAATTTATTTTATATAATTCTTAACTCTCGGCTTTTGCCAGATCCCTAAGAACCAAAAAGTAATAACACTTCACACCATCCTTAGGCATTCTAAAGAAACTCATTGACCTCATGATAACACTCGAATTCAAATTTTTTTAGGGAATTTACATAAATTAACTCTTAAGAGATTTTCTCTTATTCATTATACTTTTTAATTTTGAATCTTTATTCAACATATATTGGATTTATTTAACATTAACAGGTATCAATATGCATCTTTCTGCTCAATTATTCTACTTTATAAAGTTAAATGCACTCTTAATAACCACTAGCCGGCTCAATTCTTTTCTCGACAATTTTGTTGTTTTTTTTTCTTTGCTGCTTTTGTTGATATTCCATCATTGAGACGAATTGCTATATTTCTTAATACAGCTTCAAAGCTTCATCTTCTTTTCTATCCAAAAATGTCATCAGTTCCTATGTATTTTTAAAATTATTTATCAAATCATTAAGATCAATCATGTGATTTTTAGTTTCCTCATCTAACTATCTTACTTCAGCTTATAATGATTGCACATCTTCAAGCAATTCTTTCAACACACTAACTAAAGTATTGCTAGTCAACTCTTTAATTGATTTCTTCCAGTCTGGCAGAGTATTTTTTTTGAATAATCTAGAACTAGAGTCTTTTTCAAGAATCTAACTGATCACAAACTGTTTTGGCATATATTCACATGCGATTTCAGTTTTAAGAATCACTTGTGAATTTCTTATAAAACTTTTATTCATTATACTTTCAATTTCAGATAAATAGCTCAATTTTTTATTGATAAAATTGAGATCATCATTATCTAATTTCTTGTTTTTAATTTTTGGTAATGTAAAATAGTTTAATTCTAATTTATTTAATTCATCAAATGTTATTTGTTCATTTATATCAGGAATTCTGTTCGCATTATTCATTTCAATATTTCTATTTAATCCATCCAAATTTAAATCCTTAATTGATTTTGTCAGATCCTAAAAAGCTTGGTTAAGTATGAATTTTAATTACTCTTATTTAGGTTCCTGAATAACATCATATATATATCTATTCACCTTTTCTTTTAAAATAATTAATGATTAAATATTAACGTTAACATCTTCTATATTCATTTTTATTTCTTATTCTTAGAAATTGAGATTGTCCTTCAATATCTTCCAATATTGAGTTTTAGGAAGATCTAGCCTATCCATTCCTTTCCTATATTCATCTAAAATTTTTTTTTTGTTCAACTTTTGCTTGCTTCTGTTTTTCAAAATCAAGTCCCATTTGAAACAGTTTATTTATAATTTTTGTAAATCCTCTAATGAAATTAATTGGTCAGATCTCAGTGTAAGGCTTGTGTCGTTATTGATTTAACTTATTTCCTTTTAATTTAAAAAGCCATTGGAAAATCTTGAAATTACCATTGATATAGATGATTTGATAGGAACTTGTATATTGATGACTTCTTTGCCTTAAGGTGGATTGCCGCCACTAGCCAATCTTTTTTGTCTTTATTTCTTGGAGAACTGAAAGTATTAATTTTCTTTCTGTGTTCTGAGTATATCAATCAAAGAATAAATAATTTATGGAAACTTAATTTTTTCACAGGTCTTAATGTGGCCATTAGGATTTTTAATTTATTTTTCTATCTCAATTATCTATTCAAATATCCTTTAATTACTCTGGTGAATTTCCTTAATATATTCTTCAAAACATTTTTTCTCGAAATCCTGGGATTAATTGGTGTTTACTAATTTAAGTTTTTATACTTCCAAAGCAATAGATTAGTAGATTTCATTTGTTATGTAAACAAACTTAAAGTATTATTTTTTCAAACTGGTCAACAGCTATTAATTTGATTAATTTTTAAACTTCTAAATTAGTAAATTTATTTTGTTAATCACATATTTTAAGGATTAACTTTACTTTGATAAAAATTTGATTGCTTCATAATAGGGATCAATTATTAGGTTTTCTCTGTTCTTGTCCTTTACTTTAAGTTCTGTGTAGAATTTCAAATAGGATTCGATTAGAAATTTTGATAATTCCTAAAATTTATTATGAACCAACATAGAATTCTTATTACCTTAAATAGGTTGATATTGTGCTTAAGCGATTAGATCGAATATTATTTGGATCCAATATTTGGTCAGAAGTAAGGGGTATTCATGTGATAAATGCTAAGAAAAGGTGTATTCAAGAATCTTTATCGGAATTTGAAGTGTTGGTTGATTTGGGATCTAAACCTACAAGATTACGGCCCATTTTATGATTTAATAAAAGCAATGCAGTTCAAAATGATTGATCTCTTTCTCTTTCTCATTCTCATTTGAATCAAAATTATAATTTAATAATTGTTGATTTTCTTGAAACAATATATGCACATCGAATGTTTTTCGACTATTGAATAAATCCTTCCGAGTCAATTAATGAGGAGATTCATCCTTTCGACAATTTTTATAGGCAATTTCAATAATTGATATTTCATAAATGAAAAGATTTTGTGCTTTTGCTGCTTTTTACAGGTTTTCAATAGCAGTAGCATATTAATTACGATGTTAATGATTCAAAAAGGAATTTTTTAGTCTTATTTGAAATTAATATATGATGTAGAATAAATCAAGACAGAATTAAATCATTTCATGAGCCTTAATAGTTTAATGTTTGATAAAGGCTTATAAGGATGTGAGACAATCCAATTGGATGTTATAAATATCATTCCCATTTTCCATTGTAATTAAATAGCACATATTTGTTCTAATATATAGTTGTTACAAATTTTTATTCTAACTGAATAATGTGCTCATAACTTCTATTGCTTCTTCCTAAAATTAAGGAGCCTCTTCAAATTTTTATGATAATAGCACTAATTTATTAGCATTTTCCTTCAAAGCAAAGATAATGTTGTCTTTATTCTAGGCCATTAGCCTTCTTTCCTTTTTTATTAATTTAGCGCAGCATGCACCTCCTCCTCTCAGATTCATTTGTATATAATCTTGCAAGAAGCCCATTAAAATTTAATAATTATAATAATCAGATGTAAGATTATCCAAATAATATTTGTAAAGAAATATTATTGTAATAAGTTGAGATCAAACAAAGTGTAAAGCCAAAGAATGCTCTCACAAGCAGAATCAATGTATTAAATCAACAAAACTCAATCAAGTTATTCATCTTCTAACATATTAGAGAATAATTAAAAGATGTTATTAATAATAGAATTAAATTATAATCTTAGACTTAAACAATTCTTTAAATTCTATTGCTAAATGTTTAAATCAAATTTAGGTTTAACAATAAATTTGATTTATATTCTCTTTTCATTTTTGAGAAATTTAATTATTGGTATTCTTTACAAATTAAAAAATAATAAATATAATAGATCATGCCCATAATATTAAATGAAACTTATTTATCTTTAATAATTCTATAGATTTAATTGATAATATAATAAAGAATCTAATTAGTACTAAATTAAGAGGGTTTCATTCGAAAATGTTTGATTCAAAATTTGACAAAATACAAAAATATTCTTGATTATGTAATTAATTCTTTTTAATACATTTGAATGGAAGAATATTTAATTTTAATTCTCTATTATTAATCAATACCTTTATATATAGAAAAGAAAATTTAACAATAACATTAGTAATTATATAATACTATTAGTTTTATGTTAGTTAGAATATATATAATTATCATAAAATTTAATAGAAATATAATTATAATGTTAAAATTTTGTTATTAATCACAAGAGGTTTATACTTTTGAAAATTATGATAACTTGATGAATTCTTTTAGTTTAGATGATTTTCAATCAGGAAAATTTGATTCGCCTAATAATATGATTACTTTCAATATAAATCACAGTAGATGTATAAGACTAAGTGATCTCCTATTTTACATTGTAATTATATATACCTTCATTTATTTATAGTAAATAGACTTTGTTAGGATTAATTGCTTCATTTATTTCTATCTATATTAAAAAAGGTAGAATTAATAGAAAGCTAAGGACTTGAACATGAATATCTGGATATTAATAGAATTTGGCTGTATTTTAAAGAAGATAGTTAATATCCAGGTCTAATTTATTAAATATTACATTATTCAATTCATTTCACTGGATATTCATGTTCATTAAAGTATGGGTTTGGAGTAAAATAAAAAGCATCTATTTAAATTCAAGAAATCATATGTTAAATCATTGATTCATGTTCAAATAGAATAAAGTAGTAAAAAAATAAAGATTAGAACAAATAAATATGCAAAGAGATATTATAACGAATTTAAGCTTTATGTAAAACAAACTCAAGTATTCCAGTAATCATCCTTTATCTTGAAAACACAATATGTTTTTATAAAGAAGATAAATATATTGAGAATAAGCTTGTTTAATTATTGAATCTTGATGATACAGATATTAAACCAGAAAGATAAAAAGTGATTGGTGAAGTTAATAATATCATAAAATAAATTATTGAAATTGGAAATACATATGGATAAGTTTGTGTTGAATTATTATTGTAAGATGCAATTACAAAAATAACTCAAAATTTGACAAATCTTTCATTCAATAGATAGAGTTATGAAATCAATGTTTAAATTAAATTCAAATAATTAAAAGATAAAGAATAAGAACTACAAATATTAGTAGAACAATAAATTAAAAACTAGATAATATATTTTATTCAACAGTACGAAAAGGATTTTAAATTTGAAATAGATGAAGAAGAAATCATATAACTTCAATAATGTATCGTTAATTCTATACTTTAATCTCCACAAGTTAGACATTATTATAATACGTATTAGTATCAAAAGGACTCTGAAATTAATAATTATATATTTTCAGCAATAACAAAAATTTAATAACAAATTCTAAAAGATGGAGTAGAATCAATATTCATATACAAAATATTATAATTGATTAACGATTTGATATGAATTCTAACAATTTAGCTATTTAAACTTATTATTATTTACTTGTTAAGAATTTTTATTTTATTTTTTAGATAAGATATGATATATTGTACTAATCAAAATTAGTTTTAGATTTTACTAGAATTATGTTCAAGTGTTAAAATTTTATCAACATGACAACATGAAAGAGTATTAAGTTAAGAAAATAATTATTTTAATATTTAAAACAAAATATCAACTTCTTCACATGCATCCTCATTAGAAATTTTCCAAAATATTTTGAAAATAGTTTATTTACAGGGTAGTTTCGAATTTCTATTCTATTCTAGTTTTAATTAATTTAATAATTTTTATTAATTTTAAAGCATTAATACATTACAATATTTACATTTATGAAATAGAGTCTACTTATAAGAAAGCCTTTTAATTGTACATTATCATTTAATCATTCAAATATCCTTATATATTATAGTGTAGAATGCAAATAGAAATGAATCATTATAATTTAGCAAGCACCTAACATTGGAACTACTTCTTAGTAGCTATTAATTTATAGTTTCTCTATATTTCCATTAATAAATTGAATTGATATAATACGCAAATCATTAATGGTAACAATTTAAGTAGTTTGAGAATAAATACAAAGTATTTTAAATAGTAAAATTTTGATAGTAATTTTGTTCTTTGTAAGCAGATATGTGGAATATAGGAAAAATGGATTGCTAAGTAGATTTTGAAAAATAATAATAGAAAAATTTCTATTGAAAAACAAAGAAGAGAATTAAATTTGATTAGCTTAACTGTAATCTATAATTATTGATGTTTAGGATATATTCAAATAGGATATTCAATTAAAATAACTAAATGAAGAATTTAGATTGGTTTCCTAATTTTTGGACAGGAGAAAAAAGGAGTTAGAATTCTAGAATAGGAACAAATGTAATTTAATTATCCTTTCGCAGAAAGGCAATCATAATAAACATAGTGGCAACTAAATAGGAATACGATTATTGCAATAGCAGAGGAGAAGAAACTGAATAAAATAGAAATGAATTTATATAATTTCAATAAATGTATACTTTAAATATTAAATGAAAATATTGTCTAAAGGTTGTGAGATAGTGGCTGTTTAGAATGAGAAGGTGCACTCTATTAAGAGTGAGCACTATCTGGAAAATGAAGATGTCGAATTATACATATTTTAGGATGAAAGTGTAAAATCCATAGAGTATATTCATTACAAAGACATTCTCAAGAAAGGTATAAGTAATTATATTCTAGGCGTGAAGAAAATAAGTGGATTAGGAGGTTTAGAGATAGTTATAACGCAATGTCTTAATCCAAATCAATTAAATATGGAATAAAATGACCAAGAGTTCAATTGTCATGCTGTTAGAAAATGGTTAAACTTTAAATCATAGAATTAGTTACATTAATTCAATTAACTCTACAGAACTCTTAAAGATGTACTATGTTATATAATTGGTTAGCTCCAAAACGCACAAGCAACTATCACTCAAGTCAAATAGAATGATACAATTGAAGCTTTCCAAAGTTGCGTGGATCTCTCAGTTCTTTCTAATAGGAATGACAGTTTGAAGGAATTGGAGTAGCAATATGTCAAGGGCCAAATGAAATGGGCATAAATCGATATGGAAAATGCAGAATTGGCCACGAGAATCAGATTATTACAAGTTGAATTGCAATAAAGAAAGTAGGAAATCAATAAACTGAAATACCAATATGAAAACAATGCCTATTAATTATTATAATCAAAACAACAATTGGGAGATGTAATAAATCAGGCTATAGAAATTGGAGATTCCTAAATTTTGGCAAAACTTGGATTATGAATATATATATATATATTTATAATTAAAATGCTAAATATTACTAAGGCATTAAAAGACAGTGTTTCAATTGCTTTTTAGAAAGCCTTTGCTCGTCATCATGATATCTAAATCCTATTTCAAAATTTAAAGTATTCAACCTCTTGTCCAGCCACATTCTCAGAGTATTATAAGTCCAATTATGTAAACTCACTTTCAAATCATGTTAGTAAAAAGAATGGAAAGAAACTCTGCTCCCAAAAGATGTGGCTCATGAAATTTTGGTTCACTTTTAATCTCCAACTTGGAATCAATTCAAATTGGTTTCAAATATTGAAGTCACTCAATTAGGAGATTTACAATTTCAAATCAATAAATAATATTATGAGCATCTAATAAAATAGATTGATAGTACTCCTTGGCCCAATCTTACTCCTATTTACAAAACTACCAACATTTATGGTCCATTTATTAACTTGAATGGTCCATTGAATAAAACAGAGTACTTTCTCCATATTATTTAGTTTGAGAGGACTTCATATTTAGAATAGATTGTATTGTATCTTGTCTAAATTAAGTGAAAATTGCAATAAATTTAATAAAATTACTAATTAAATAAGTAAGAATGATTATTTGATTCTTCCAGCCAAAGTAATTAGATTTTATGATTAGATTGTTTGCCAATCCATTCAATTCATATCATTGGGGATACAATTAAGTCTTGAATGAGTCACTTCATTTTGATTCCAAAGATCCCATAACTCCGCTTTATGGCATTGATGATGTAGAACCATTGATTCCAAGTGTTGAATTACTTGCTCATTTTCCTTAAGTCTTAGTTGAGTGTTTAGAAACCAAGTCATTTAAACAATTATACTAATTTGAGTTAACGTATCCAAAATATTTATTAAAATGACAATTTAGTTATGAAATAAGATAGTTTTATATTTTTTTAAATTTCCACCCATTAAGATGCTAAGATATCATTTATTAATTATTATTTCAAAAAATTTTAAAATACTTTTTTAAAATTCCAAAATGGGTTGTCATAGCACAAAATTAAAAAAGCATCCAACATTCATTTAAAACAATCATGAACCTGAGAATGAATTTACAATCAGTTGGAGCAAGAAGAAACTCACAAAATCGAAAACTCATATCGAAACCAAATAGGAAAAACAGACTTATCGTCTCGATAAAAATCCAATACTCCAAAGGAGATAACAACGGTAGACTCAATCTGTTGCATGAATGTTTTGATTATATTATTCTTTTCTTTTTTAACTCCTTAAAATTTTACTGTTTCATTTTTATTCTTACTACTCCTCAAAATGACCATGCTTGTAACTCTCGCAATTATACTATGCTTCATAAAATTAATTCATTAATTGCACAATCACTCATCTGATTGATTGTTAATAAAATCTTATATAATTTTATGATCATTCTTTGCTTCCCTGCTGGTATATTTATATTTATAATCAATATTCTTTTGCGAATTCCTTATTTTATATTAAAATATTTGATATTTTTGTTTCTCATCCAAATACCAACTTATTCAAAGAATCAGAATACAAGATTGATAAATTTGAGATTCTCTACATTATTTTCTCTATTCTTATATAACTATATACTTGTACTTATTAAAACTCTTAAAATCTATAACCAATCAACAGAACAAAAGAATTACAATTGTTTCAATATAAATCAAATTTCCATCGTTTTAACAAGAAATGGTACTTGAATTACCATAACTTAATGGTTGTTTATACACTATATCAAAATTTAAAACAGTCGAAATTATATATTTAGAACCTTATCTAAAATCAAGGACAGAATTCATATCGCTGAACTATTCAAATATATAATATAGATTCTCAATTAAAACTGAATAAAATTACTAGAAGTGTGTGAATCCATAAGTAATTTTGGCAGATTAAGGAATCCTTTTAAAAATGATATTTAGATGAAATGTTCCATAAAAATCCAAGCACTTTATCATCACTCAGCTTGGACCAATTAAAAGAAAATTGATTTTGGATTCCATTCAAGAACTCAATAAAACGTAGACTTAAGCCATTCATCACTTTGAATTGCTAATCATTAGATCATTTAAATGAATGTGTAAATCATAATTAGAAAAAAATTTGAAGGAGATTAACTAGCCAATTATTATAAACAGATCTTTCCTTTGGAATGATTCAATAGTCAAATATTTTTGGCTATTAAATTAAAGAAATATTACAAATAATTAAAAATTTTCGAGCAAATACTAATTTGCTTTACTATAATTATTAAAGGACGTATAAAAAATGATTATATATTTCATGTTATAATAAGGAGAACTTTAAATAGAATTAATATAAACTCAAATGAGCTTGCATCTGAGCCTTTAGAATGATTTCAAAAAAATAGTAATTTTGAGTTTAATTTCTAAACTTAAAATTGTATAAAATTTTAAAGATATGTATTTTATATTGAATTGCCTCATTTTGTATGAAATAATAAAGTATAAATTTCATTTGTCTAATATTAATTTTTTCTTATTGATTAAATCTTAATTAATGAACAAAGTTTCGTTCAAAATTCTAATATTAAAGAATCATTAATGTTCAAATGTCTAATCCATCCTTAATAGCTAAAGTTTTCTAGTATATAAAGATTCCACATCTTTAGGGCATTAACCTCTTTCAATAATATCAGAAGCATTTGATTTGTAAAATGCGCTTTATTTATATGATAAAAATAAAAATTGTTAACAAGTAAATAATAATATCCTAAATCATTAAAATTCATATCAAATCGTTAATCAATAACAATATTTTGTACATGAATATTGATTCTACTCCATCTTTTATAATTTGTTATTAAATTTTTCCTATTGCTGAAAATATATAATTATTAATTTGAGAATCCTTTTGATACTAATACGTATTATAATAATGTCTAACTTGTGGAGATTAAAGTATAGATTTAACGATATATTATTGAAGTTGTATGATTTCTTCTTCATCTATTTCAAATTTAAAATCCTTTTCGTACTGTTGAATAAAATATATTATCAAGTTTTTAGTTTATTGTTCTACTAATATTTATAGATCTTATTCTTAATCTTGTAATTATTTGAATTTATTCTAAGCATAGGTTTCATAACTCTATCTATTGAATGAAAAATTTGACAAATTTTGAGTTATTTTTGTAATTGCATCTTACAATAATAATTCAACACAAACTTATCCATATGTATTTCCAATTTCAATAATTTATTTTATGATATTATTAACTTCACCAATCACTTTTTATCTTTCTGGTTCAATATCTGTATCATCAAGATTCAATAATTAAACAAGCTTATTCTCAATATATTTATCTTCTTTATAAAAACATATTGTGTTTTCAAGATAAAGGATGATTACTGGAATACTTGAGTTTGTTTTACATAAAGCATAAATTTGTTCTAATATCTCTTCGCATATTTATTTGTTCTTATCTTTATTTTTTTACTACTTTATTCTATTTGAACATGAATTAATGATTTAACATATGATTTCTTGAATTTAAATAGATGCTTTTTATTTTACTCCAAACACATACTTTAATGGACATGAATATCCAGTGAAATGAATTGAATAATGTAATATTTAATATATTAGACCTGGATATTAACTTTCTTCTTTAAAATACAGCCAAATTCTATTAATATCCAGATATTCATGTTCAAGTCCTTAGCTTTCTATTAATTCTACCTTTTTTAATATAGATAGAATTAAATGAAGCAATTAACCAAATTGAATCCTAACAAAGTCTATTTACTATAAATAAATGAAGGTATATATAATTACAATGTAAAATAGGAGATCACTTAATCTTATACATCTACTGTGATTTATATTGAAAGTAATCATATTATTAGGCGAATCAAATTTTCCTGATTGAAAATCATCTAAACTTAAAGAATTCATCAAGTTATCATAATTTTCAAAAGTATAAACCTCTTGTGATTAATAACAAAATTTTAACATTATAATAATATCTCTATTAAATTTTATGATAATTATATATCTTCTATCTAATAAAAATAAATAGAATTATGTAATTACTAATGTTATTGTTAAATTATCAATACTTTATATTTTCTCTATATAATTATTCTAGTTTTAAGTAAAATCTTGAGAATTAATCTTAATGTTATTCTTCCATTCTAAATTATCCTTATAGAAATAGTTTGATTTGATTATGTTAGATATATTAATCAAAAATACTCAAAATTTGCATAATCATTCGTTTGAATATGCAATATACAATTTTATTTGATTCTTTTCATGTATAATAAAGTGAATTAATTTTGTAAATGTATGATACATTATATTTGTTGTCTCCTCCAAAGTAGTATTTTAAAATTTCTTTTCATCCTTAATAATTCATCAAAATTATATAGGTTTGAACAGTATTTGATTAGACAAGAATTTATAAATATGATTTTGCCATTTTCTTTTTATTTATTTATAAAGATCTTCATTGTAAAATATTCAGAGAAGGCAATAAATTATATTTAGTAGATGCTTAAAGTTACAAAAATACCATCTTCATAGCAGAAGCACACATTATTTGATTAAATGTGTACCAAAAATATAAATACAACTCTTCAATGTAGAATGAAAAAGGAGAAAATTTTATCATATGCAACTCTGTCTTCAAAAGAGATAGGATTGCTAATTGGATCTAAATAATGCATTCTATGATTTATTTAGTTTTGAAGTGAATTCCTTTAAGTTCAAGTATCTTTGGTAGATTTTATCTGTTTATGGTATTAAATCATCACTGGAATTAAGAAAATACTAATGAAACTTTAGAAATTTTGAAAAAATCTTAACTCTCATATTTCCTTTTAGATATGAGATAAGAAGGGTGAAAAAATTGTAGATTGTAAATAATGATAACTATTTTTAAATGGGACAACCCTCACTTTGCAGTTATGATTAATAGTTTCTATAATTATTTGATCCAGATATCTCTTAAGAATTATTATTTAGTGCAAATGGTGAATAAAATTCCATCATAATTGATGGTGTATCGGTAACTGGTAATAATTTGGTGTTAAAATTATTATCTCAATAGAGTAAAATAAGTTATTTGTAAAATTAGTTTAAGTGTCATTTCGAAAATTACCTCACCATTTTTATCTGGATATTAAATATATCATCCATAATGCATTATTCAACCTGCAGTTTATTCAAACAATGATAAATCAAGAAAGTAATATACTAACTACTCCTAAGTCCTCCTTAATTTATTTATAATACGTTAATAATGTAGAATATAGAGAACGGCTATAGACTTTAGATTTTATTTATTTTTATATTTAAAGGGATGCGTTGCTCTTTTATCCATCAGAAAAATATATAATAACATCTTGTAATATCATTTTAGATGATGAAAAGTATTTCCCAAAACTAATACATTCTATATCTAAAAAGAAAAAGACATAGATATAATTAATTTAAGAAATTCTATTTAGGTATGATAATTTACAGAGTCCAAGGTTAACGGAGTAATTATAGTGTTTAGCTTTTGAATGGGTTATTATTATTTTAGTTATAATATACAAAAGAGAAATGAGATTGAGTGTAAGAATTTTTTCAAGCCAAATCTTATAATTAACAAACAAAAATGTAAAAAAATCAAATCTGGACTCCGAAAAGAGTTGGAGAATTTTTTTCTGGTATTATTATAGTCCTTTTTACACTTAGTAATTGCGCTATTTACAGATATTTAAGGTTAACTATCCTTAGATCTCAATGTTATCCGAATTTTCGGAATGTTTAAAGAAAAGAAAACTATAAAACCTTTATATATCACATCTTAATTTTATTTGATTTATATTTTGGAGGGATATAGAAACCATTAGTTTTTACTAGAAAAAAATCGTTCTTGTCTTCTTCTCAATTAGAGAGCAATAGTACCCAAATTATTTTCTGCTATGTATTTGAATTTTATTATTTCTGTCAATAATTATATTAGATAAAGACCCAATAATAGATCTAACTAAATTTATTAAATATCTGTTTGACATTATTGGAAAATTTTAAATACTGAGAGATTCATTTTGTTAACAAATTTCATTGCAAATATTAATTTAAAACCATGTATGTATAATTTAACATTTTAATAGAAATAACTTAATATTAATTAAATAAAGAAAGGAAAATGAATGGAATGGCATATAAAATTTTTCAATACTATTCTTATAAGGACTTAAAATCATTGTAAGATATTCTGAAAATTGATTCGATTGGATTTGTAAATATTGATGAAGATGAATAAATTATTGAATATGAAATCGATCGATCCAAATGTTTAAGATTAAGCGATCTCATTTTAATGATTGTATAATTTATTTATTAAGCCTTATTAGAACCAAGGGTTTTTTCAAATTTATTTAGGACAACTATTAGGCGTATTTCTTGATCTGTTAAGAAAAGTGATATCATTAAAAAATTAACACAACATTGATCATTAATATCTTGATGACAATAGAATTTGGTTGGTATTCTAAAATCCTAATAAATGTATAAATTTTGATTACTAAAAAATTGAATACAAAATTGTATTTACAGGATATCAATGTTAACTATACGAGGAAAGTTCAGAAATAAAAATACCTGCAGAATAGAAAGTATAAAGGATTATTAAGGATATATTAATTAATTTCAAGAATAAAAATACTTTTATTAATTCTTCTGAAAAAGATAAAATCATTAAATTCATTTATGATCCAATCATTTAAGAATGTGATAAAATGAATATTTAAAACACTCTAAATTTGATTCTAGAAATTTTTTATAAATTTAAGTTCAACAGTGAAGAATAGACTATTGCAATAGATCAAACCAAAATTAAAATTGACAAAACAAATTTATATTTAGTACAAAATAGTTTTAAGGATTTCATTGAAAATTTAAAAGGAGAGAGTTCATTTATTTTAGAAACTTTCCTATTTTTTCAGTTAAAATCATTTACAAATATGCTTGATAGAAGGGGTAGTGAATTTTACAAAGTTGGTAAAAAGGAAAATTGAAAAAGGATTGTAGATGATGAAATAATTCTATGAGAAATATTAATGCTCCTTTGAGAAGAATATATAAAGTATTATTTAAACATAATTTGAAAATATTTTAAAGTAATAATTGGAAAATTATAAATTTGAGATTTCTGAAGAGGAAAAATTAGAATTAATTACAAGCATATCAAATAGAATTTTGAATATGAAATTGAATAAATACTTTTATAATTCACCACATTATTTTATCAAAGCAGATACAAAATAAATTGTAGAATATCAAACTAATTTACTTTCTAAATTATCATAAAGTATAATTTAAGAAGAAGTAGAACTATAAATCGATTTTAAAAATTATGAACTAATGTAATAAATAATTTGATATTTAAAATTTTTTTCACCTACCTTCATTTTGTAATCTTGAAGTATTTATTCTAATTTTTTGTTTTAAGTAATTTATTTTCGAATCTGTAACTCCAAAATTTTCTTAATTTATCATAATGTCACTTAAACAATACAAAATTGGAAATTAAATTTGAATATAAATCAATAGAAAAGTTATTATATTGGGTTTAGATTTGATCTAGTTCTATTTAACTAAATAATTAATTATTGTAGAAATCTAAATAAGTTAGTAATGCAACTTGTAAATCTATTCATTAATTGCAAATACCCTTAATATCCTTGAAAAATAATCAACCTAAATTATCATTGTAGCTACTGATATCGATTAATGAATATAGTCTCATAGGTTTCCTTGTTTAATGAGTGGGACTGTATTTGTAGTGCTTTTGTAAACCTTAGGTTGCATTTGTTAATTTGAATTAACCCTAGGTTCGTATTATTTAAAAGATAAATAACAATTTAATACAAGCAAAATACTTGATATAACCACCCACAAGATTTAAGATAATATTTGGTATTTTAAGAGAGAAATAGATGTTATTCACAACTTGAATATTGATAGAGATTTTCTAATGAAGTACTAATTAAATTGAAAAATAACTTTAATAAACTATAAACTTTAAAAAAATTATTACAGTGACAATTCCTTATAGTAAAATATTAATTAAGGGTATTCCTAATTAGCAGGCAGTAAATCGAAAGTGAAATTAATGAAATTGTTCTCATTTGCACGAATAATTTAATTTTTGACATAGCATAAATAATTTGATTTGATAAAATGAATGTAAAAAAAATCTTATGAAAATTAAATCTTTAATTGAAGAAATATAAAACATTGTAAAAATAAATAATTTTCAAATCAATTCATTAATCAACTATAATATTTTTAAATCAATTAATAGTTCCACTTCTTCTTTAATTATACTTTCTGATAATGTAGAAAATAAATTAATTTGATATTCTAAAATTTATTTTGTATCTGCTTTTATAAAATAATGTGGTGAATTATAAACGTATTTATTCAATTTCATATTCAAAATTCTATTTGATATGCTTGTAATTAATTCTAATTTTTCCTCTTCAGAAATCTCAAATTTATAATTTTCCAATTATTACTTTAAAATATTTTCAAATTATGTTTAAATAATACTTTATATATTCTTCTCAAAGGAGCATTAATATTTCTCATAGAATTATTTCATCATCTACAATCCTTTTTCAATTTCCTTTTTACCAGCTTTAAGAAATCCACTAACCTTTCTATCAAGCATATTTGTAAATGATTTTAACTGAAAAAATAGGAAAGTTTCTAAAATAAATGAACTCTCTCCTTTTAAATTTTCAATGAAATCCTTAAAACTATTTTGTACGAAATATAAATTTGTTTTGTCAATTTTAATTTTGGCTTGATCTATTGCAATAGTCTATTCTTCACTGTTGAACTTAAATTTATTTAAAATCTCTAGAATTAAATTTAGAGTGTTTTAAATATTCATTTTATCACATTCTTAAATGATTGGATCATAAATGAATTTAATGATTTTATCTTTTTCAGAAGAATTAATAAAAGTATTTTTATTCTTGAAATTAATTAATATATCCTTAATAATCCTTTATACTTTCTATTCTGCAGGTATTTTTATTTCTGAACTTTCCTCGTATAGTTAACATTGATATCCTGTAAATACAATTTTGTATTCAATTTTTTAGTAATCAAAATTTATACATTTATTTGAGTCTTGGAATACCAACCAAATTCTATTTTCATCAAGATATTAATGATCAATGCTATGTTAATTTTTTAATGATATCACTTTTCTTAACAGATCAAGAAATAAGCCTAATAGTTGTCCTAAATAAATTTCAAAAAACCCTTGGTTCTAATAAGGCTTAATAAATAAATTATACAATCATTAAAATGAGATCGCTTAATTTTAAACATTTGGATCGATCAATTTCATATTCAATAATTTATTCATCTTCATCAATATTTACAAATCCAATTGAATCAATTTTCAGAATATCTTACAATGATTTTAAGTCCTTATAAGAATAGTATTGAAAAGTTTTATATGCCATTCCATTCATTTTCCTTTCTTTATTTAATTAATATTAAGTTATTTCTATTAAAAATAGTTTTCATTATAAATTACAATTAATTAAAATAAATTTCTAATATTTCTATTTATAATTTCATAGATGTAAATTATTTATCATTGGACTAGCAGAACAATGGCAAATATCAAAAAAGACCAGATGAGACTATTACTGCTTTCACATGACATTTATCCAATACTTCCACAATCTGGCTTATTATATGCTTTAGCTTCTTCAGGGGTTGGGCATGAAGAATTGGCATCCTTCTTTATGCATTCTAATGTTGTTGAACCAACAGCTTTGGCAGAAGAAACCTCAGCACCATCAGTTGAAGTTGTAGTAGCATCTTCTAAAAATCTGAATCTACGGGTTGAATTTGGATCTTCAAGTTTACCATTGACTGAGAATTCAACATTATTAGCGAGGATATCAACATTTAGAGTATAAATAGTTTATCCAGGTTATTTTTGCTACGAAGTTGGCTTCAATTTTTTATTAACTCCATCTCCTGTTATAGTAACATCAGCATCTCCAACTTTCCATTTCTCAAATCCGGATTATTTGACTCTTTAAACAACATAGAAATTTTAACCAGCATAAACTTATGGCTATTCAACAAGAGTTGAACAGGTTTAGTCACTACAAAATCCTACTTCAGTTTCTGCTCTAGAAACACAATTATCTTCAGTTGCACAAGCAGGAGTATCATCTTACGCTTCAGATGTGGCTTGGGCTGTTAAGACACTTCCATTTAAGTCAACTGCTACAAAGAATGTGAAGAAAAATTAAACTAATTTCTTCTCCTAGATTGTTAGTTTGACTGAATAGTAACCAGTATAAACAATCTTATCGGATTATTCATCTTTGAATAACTTGTTATCAATATCTGCATTCAAGATTGTAAATTCCCAAATTCTTAATTTTTTATCATCATCATAACTGCTTGTAACTGTTGAATCATCTAATGTTTCACTTAAGAAACTTGGTCTATATCTGTAAATTTATCTATCTATGCAGGCATTGGCATTTCCGTCTGATTTAACAAGTGGTTTGTCTTTGTTATCAGGGAATGCCAATTAAACAACAACATCTTTATTATCATTGAAGTCAGCTTTCCCATCGAATTTCATTGGAAGCATCCTCTTTCCACCCTCCTATTTGCTTTGAACTTTATCCAAGTTTTCACAGGTTTAAGCAATGCATCTGTCTTTGAACACTATTTCGTTATCAGCACAAGTCACTTCAACTTCAACACATTGTTGTTACTATTCTGCATCTTGAGTCCATTATCCTTTTGATTAAGGAGGACCTTAAGGTTTTTATCCTTAGCCTTGTCCCTAACCTTAGCCTTGTCCTTGACCTTAGCCTTGTCCTTGACCTTGTCCTTAGCCTTGTCCTTGACCTTGTCCTTATCCTTGTCCCATTTATCCTTATCCTTGTCCCATTTATCCTTATCCTTAGCCCATTTATCCTTATCCTTGTCCCATTTATCCTTATCCTTAGCCCATTTATCCTTATCCTTGTCCCATTTATCCTTATCCTTAGCCCATTTATCCTTATCCTTGTCCCATTTATCCTTATCCTTAGCCCATTTATCCTTATCCTTGTCCCATTTATCCTTATCCTTAGCCCATTTATCCTTAACCCTATCCTGTTTATCCTTATCCAAATTGTCCTTGTCCTTATCCCATTTATCCTTATTATTAACCAGTTTATCCCATTTATCCTTATTGTTAACCTGCTTATCCTATTTATCCTTATTATTGTCCAGGAGATTATCCTCCTTACTATTAAGAACCAGTTGGTTTTTAAATTCCCCCTTGTTATTAGGCGCCTCCTGGTTACTAAACTCCACCTTATTATTAAGGTCCCCCTGACTATTAAGTACTACCTTATTATGTGGTTCCACCTGGCTATTAAGTACTGCCTGCCTATTAAGTGCTTCCTGGCTATTATGCTCCTCCTGGATTTTAAAATCCACCCTATTGTTAGCCTCCTCCTGGTTATTAGGTTCCTCCAGGTTATTAAAATCCACCTTGTTATTAAGAACCTCCTGGTTATTAAGCTCCCCCTGGTTATTAAAATCCGCCTGGTTGTTAGGTTCCTCCAGGAAATTATCCTGCAGGTTATTATTAGTTTGTTTATTAAACTTATTAACCAGGAATCTGATTCCCAGGCAAAGTTTATTAACTAGGTTACTATTATTATCCTTATTACTGTTGTCCCTATTATTGTTGTCCTTATTATTATCCCTATTGTGCTTGTGTTGGTTAACATTTCTTCGCCTTCCCTCCAGTCTATGGACCACCTTATTGTCCACCTTATTATCCACCTTATTATCCACCTTATTATCCGCCTTATTGTCCACCTTATTGCATACCTCCTTGTGGTATTCCACCTGATTGTTATCCTCCTGGCTATTGACCACCTAAAAATATTATATATTATTAGTTACCAGCAGTATTTTATTATCCTTGTGAACCAGTCGGGGCACCTTATGTTGGGCCGGAGCTTCCAGAGACAGCTAAAATGCAGTAGATTTAAAGATCTTACGTTATCCAGGCTAAGAGGCACCTTAAGATAGTTGGGTGAACACTGAAGAGATGATGCAAAAAAGAAGTAAAATTTTTACGATCCTCATTTAAAGTAAATAAATTATGTATTTTTTATTCCTAATTAATAGGTTATATACTTGTAAATATTCAATTTATTTATTGGAATGTAATTATAAAAAATCTAATCCAAAGATACAATTGTTGTATTTTAATTAAAGGTAATAGCAGCTTTATGCCGTTATAGATACGAAGAATTAGTAATAAAAAGAATAGTCAAAAATAGAAAACAATATTTTATATGACTTTTCATTTCAGTTAGATGATGGACAATTATGACCCCATAAAAAAATTTCACTAGTAAAAAATTTAATAGGCTTCAGTTAAAAGAGCTAAAAATTTGATATTGGGTTGAAGCCAAATGTATAATGTGAAGTAATTGTTTTCCTTTTAAAAAATAATTTTAAATTATGCTAAATAAAATTGAGAAAAAAGTTGTGAGTAAAAAATAGATTTCATAACCCAGTCAGTATGTTAATTCAATTATTTCGTATCTAATAGAATTAATTAGAAGATCAATGATAAAAATGAAAAGATTTTTGTTAGTCAACACATATCATAATCAATTGATTAAATGAGTTTTATATTTGATTTCAATGATATGTCAATCACTTTTAGGAGAGTCATGTCTCTGACGTTTTTTTCATCAATATTTATAGCGTTTCATATTTGATTTCTATTCTTAATTGCTTGATTTTTAATTTTCTTATTCTTATTTTTCGATTATTGTAGATACATAATCCGACTTAGTTCTGTAGTTGATGGCATAGAGTTATAGCATTTACTAATTTTAAATATTATTCCTTTTCCTCAAGTACATACATAAAAGAGTGGTCCTATTCAGATTTCTTTGGAGGTTATTTTCTTTCATTCTTGAAATTTTATCCTTAATTTTTCAAAAGTTAACTTAATCCCTTTTAAACTACGACACTATTAATAAAGATTCTAAATTAAATTTGAAAATACTTTCACAAATTAAATATATCAGCCCTTCTCAATTCCTGAATGATTTTATTTGGGGCTATGCCTTCAGAAAAGTGTTGTTTAATTAATAATTTGTAAAATATAGAATTTTATTAAATCTCACGCCTTGTCTGCATAGTTTTTCAAGTGTAATTAAATAACATGACACCATTTGAACAATTTGGATCATTAGAAAATCAATTCGCCAAAACCCTTATACTAGTTTAATTATTAAAAAAGGTGGTCAACAAGAGATTCTTCAAAGTTAAATTAAGGACAAGAATTTAACACTCTTGATATCATTACATATTTTTAAAAAACTTAAAATTTGTATTGATACTACATTCTAAAAGCAAATACAATTAAGTATTTCCAAGTTTTCCTGCGTATGGATAAGGTTCCTTGCTAAAGTAAATTAGCCTTTCTCATGTATTTCTCTTTTATATTCAAACATGCCATAGACAAAAAATATGGCAAAACTTCCAATTAGAAATGACTGATAAATTCCTCATTGTATATTTCCATACAATCCTCGCCAAACTAACAGGTATAGGGTAAAATCGAGTTACTCTAGCAGCTTGAAGCATCATTATTGGATCTGTTTGGGGATCTTTGAGAAAAGAAGAATGAGAATATTCTTTAAAACTGAAAAATCTCTCTATGAAAGTTATTGTCTAATTTCTTAAGTTTTACCGTAATTACAAAAGCGATGAGTCATCTTTAATAAATAATACAAACTGTCATTATTATAAAATGTAATAAATGAATAAAATTGTATATTTCCATTCTAGAATTCTTTATATTCTGGAGTATTACTATTCTGAGTCAAGAATAATAATAAAATTTACTTGTTTTTAATCAAGTTTTAATATTTTTTGTGATGTCATTTAATTTATGATAGGATATCTTTAGATAAGAATTGAATTAGGGCTCGATTAAATAATTAAAGTAAGAATAATAAATTCATGAATAACGAGCTTTTGCAATTGTAATTGATTTTATTATCTTCTTCTGTGATCACTCTATTTTATATTTACGACCGAGAATTGAATAAACAAAAGATTTCAATCCTGTTCTCTATTTGCAATATCAGCATCTTTATGATTGAGACCAGGATCATTGGAAATTCTTAGTGTAATTATAATCTACAACAATTATTAGATTTTACAATAGCAGCAGCGTTCTTTCTGATATTTAAATATTATATCAAGAAGCAAGACGACAGCCACATCCCCCAGATAAATATTTTGAATTCATAAGTTCAAAACAACACAGGAAAATAGGATCAAGAAATGGAACAATACCCTCAATAACTACCAGCCATTCAATCAATATATGAGTGTAACTAGAACATCACACCCAAGCAGATTCCGAATTCTAATGAAATCAATATTGGACGCTAAGTTACTACCGAGAGGAGTAAATAACCTATTAAACAGGAGTCTCTAATGGGTTTCTTGGGGGACAAAAGATAGTCCTATGCCAAGAACAGCATAAGCGGATTTCCTTAGAGACAATAGACCAACCAGCTAAACCAAGGTAAGAATATAAAAATCTATAAAGTGAACTTCAATGTGATTAAGTTTCAAGATGATTGTGGAGAGATCAAATTCGGTCTTCTCAAGACCTTGAAATCAATTAATTTTGATTAGCTAGGCAAGGAGATTGAAATCATTTATTAAAATGACAAAACCTTGACGAGATTATTATCGAATATTGAAAAAAAAAGTGGGCCTAGAATGCAGATTCTTTATGAAAGTTAATAAGCACCAAATCCTGTCATTAATGAGAATTTAAGAGGTGGTATATAATTTGATTATAGTAATAATAATGACGCAATTTAAATTGATGAATAAAAGAAGGTAACATGGAAGAAGATTTTTTAAGTATTAACCTGTTAGATGATTTTAACTTGTAATTTGCTAATTCTAGAATAATGGCAAATAAGATAAACTGCATTATTTGCTTTCATTGGTTTAAGATATATATTTGTCTTCTCAAAATTAAAAATAAAGTAATTAGAATTCTCCTTTGAATTCAGGCAGATTTTAATATGGAGTTCCCTAGTAGTTTTACCTTTGGTTACTTTATTTTTTTTAAACTTCATAAACCAGAATATCGCAACTTAAATAACTTCCGTTGCCCAGTTGATCTCAATCATGATTACACTGAAATATTGCAATTCATTATAAGAGTAATTAATATCATTATATTATTTAGACATTTGTATTCAGTATCTTTTTACATACTGTTGTTGGCCACAATTCTTTGTTTTATTTGAAGCGTTACCATTTTATGATATAATTATTTAAGTTTTATTAAAAATTTATTTTATTTTATAATTAAATCTCTTTAGATATTTATAATTTTATAAAATGAATTTGCAAATATTTTCTTCTATTTTGATCATGAAGAACCAAACTATTCAGTCTCAAAGTTAACCCTAGACTCTTAAAACAATCAAGCAAATATAGTATACCTTATTGTGCATTTTTATTCATAAATTAATTATGTTGAAAGTCAAAGATTAGATTTCAAGAAATATTTAAAGGTTGATGTTAATTTAGAATATAGGGTATTATAAATAGCTTCTGGGCTTGCCTCCTATAGATAATTAAATTTCCAAATGGCCTTCTAAATAGGAGATCTATAAAAAGTATCATGGTATACTTTCGAGAGAATTATTAAATATTATTGAATTGAAAAAGTAAGGTGCTTGTTTGCTTGTGAATTTGAGTTTAATTATGTATAAGTTCCACAAAAACCTTAATTAAATCTGTCATTCTGAGTTGTGTGAAGATGCTAGGATGAAAAACATTTTCATTGTTAACTACACTAAGGAATTGTGCCTGAAGATATTTGATATACCCTAAATATGAATAAATATGTCAGGTAATAACTATTTATATAAGGATATTTAACCTTAAGCTCTCCTATAATAGACATTCAGCATTTTAAATTGATTGAAACTTTGATTAAATATTTCCAAGTGGTCTTCAATCTAATTGGTGTGATGTAAAGTTAAGATTGACCTTGTTAATTAACCTTATAATATTTTATGTTGAAAATCATTTTAATCAATTGTTTAAATTTGTATTTAAATCCAGAATGTTTGATAAATCAAAGAAAATCCTAAATAGTTTGGGTAATTAAACCATAGACACTTGCGACATATATGGATAATTACCAAATTTTAGAGTGCTTGAAAAAGCGAGATATACTACTTTAGTTGGATGTTGTATGACCTTCCTTATAGGGTCAGCTACCTTGATTTATTTAATAACTGAATTAATTACATTAATTGATCAAGCAGAGCCAAGTGTTGTGTAATCGGAGAAGCAAATATTTAACTCAACAGTATTAGTTTTTGTTATAAAGTAATTTCCACTGTATAACGATAACTTTACATTAGCGATAACCATAGCAAATCAAAATTCGGAGCCAATTGAAGGAAACTTGAAGTATTACAATATCACTGTGAATTAATGTGTGAGGATGAGAAATGTTAATTATAAAACAGGGAGTGTCAATGTTACATTGAAGTATGAGTTGCTTAAAACTAGTTGTACAAGTCTTCCAATAGCACCATGTAAAAAGGAAGATTTCAATAATGAATTGCAACGCGACTTCTTTGAGAATACAAGATTAGGCGTAGTTTAGTGTTTAGATCGAGAATATTTATAAAGAAACCCGCCAGTATATTTGCTTTCATTAGATTTTAGGTTTTACAGGGACAAATATCTGGATCTTTGTACTAGTACTTGGTAATTCAATTAAGTGTTTGCAAAAATAGCACAGAATATTAAGGTTGTGCACCCAAAGAAGAAATATATAAAGTTTTATCAGCAGGTCATTATTCTGTATATGCCAGTGATTATTTGATGCAATTGAATAATCCAGGCCAACCTTATTCCCAATTAATTAATTTGGATATTAACAGCTTTTCAATCACCACCTCTAAAATGTTGTAGTGGACTTATAGAATAGTGGAAACTCACACAGATGATGGTTTGCTTCTCTCAACGGATAGGGTAGACTTAAATCTGGTTAAACAAGATAGGAGAGAATATTCAGAGTTGTACAATGACAATTATTTAGTGTATCATTATATTCAACTGGATTATAAGAAGATCATATATCGTAGGACCTATATCAAATTACAGACTATATTAAGTAAAATCGGCGGTATTTGGTAATTCTTTGTGATACTAACCGCCATAATCTTGAATCCTTTGATCAACAATCTGATGACAATCTCAATTGCTAACGAGTTATATCGATTTCCAAAGACTCAAAATTCTAAACATTCACATCAAAAAATCAATTTAAACAATCAAACAAAGGACGATCCTATCTTTGATGACCCATTATCTATGATAGGATAGGATCAGCTGCCTAAGAAAGAGGAGAGACTATCTAAAAATCTATATGAATCTTTCTTCATTTTACTTGGATGCAATAAAAAGAAAGGAGAAATGTTTACAAAAGTGAAACAGGAAATCTTGAGACAATTGGATATTGTCAAGATAATAGAGAAATTACATTAGATAGACATGCTTAGATTAGTACTCCTAAATGAAGAATAAAATAATTTATTTGATTTACTTCCTAAACCTCTACTGCAAATTGGATAAGAAAATCCTGACAATTTAGCTGATGAATTCTTCTAAGAGATGGAATTACAAAAGAGTTTTAGAATGATTAAAAATAAAAAACTTCAGACTAAACTTAAAGATTATTACTCTTCATTCTCCTCCTTACAACAAGATAGACACAAAAGCATAATAGATGATAAATTATTGCATATGATCGACAAGAACATAGTGCAGTTTTTTGAGTAGATCCAAAGCTCCCAGTAGCGCAATCTTAATCTAAGTCCAGTTGATCCTCTATTCAGATCCAAGAACGAAGAGTCCATAATGGAACCTTAAATTCAAAAACCCAAGTGATATATTTAAATGTTATCTATTCAAATGACAATTAGGTCAACTAAACCTAAAGAAAATCTCTTTCTTTCTATACTTTAGTCGAACGATTGGCCCATCATAACTTGAATCCAAATAATTTCACACCAACTTAATGCCCCTATTATTCCAAGGAATCCATAGGATATAGAGCTGAAATCTTACTCATATTGACGATTTTACTTACAATGATCATTAATTTTTGGTTTTAATTAAAATTTAGAGCAGAATAATTTTTGAAATATTTTGAGAATTAAGTTTTTAGAGAATATTATTTTATTTTATTAATAATATCATGTATGATAAATAATTGTCTGAAATAAACTAAAATTGGAGGATTTCTAATAATATTATTAATTATTAATTGGAATCGTCAACATACGCATTCAGAATGAATCCATTATTATTCTACCTATAATTTAATAATAATATATAAAAGATTGAAAAATTGACATAATATTATTACTATAATTATGTAAAAATAATGCCGTATATGTAACAAGAAACATAAGTTAAACTTGAAAGGGATCTTATCATACCCTAAGCACTTGTTATTTGGAACGATACCTAATTATTTTCGGAGAGTGACTTAAAAATTGAATGAAAAATAAACTTAGCAGGTTAGCTTATCAGATACTCACATTTGCTACATAATAAACTAGGACATATGTGGCGAATGTTGGACATTCATGTATTAAGGATTTTAATGTCAAAAATGCAACACCTATAACTATCATTGCACATAAGAGATAAAAATATGTTTCCTATGCAATGTTGTTTATTGTTAGAACTGCTTTAGAAGAGTTGATTTATTTTCATAGAATGGACTATGCACGTTTTGCTAATTCCATTAGTCATAAAGTGCTAATTCAATGCGATAGTTGTTATCGTTGTTTTTTGCTTTTATGTTTCCTTGCCTAGCCTTCAAGTATCTAGTAAGCAAATTAGTTAAAACATTTGAAACTATTTAGTATACACAATCTTAGAAAATAATTTGTGTGTCATCATTTGTGATCATGTTTCCTTTAATCTACTGCATATGTTTAATCGGATTCGCTATTATGCTAATTGCTAAGGTTATTAAATCAATAATACTACTTTTGAAAAAAAATTATATATAGAAAAGAGTTGCGGAATGATATATGGTATATAAATTTATTATTAATTGTTTTGCTTGTGTAATTAAATCTATCGCAATTATTATCATTATTATTTATTGATTGACGTATTAATGTATTATAAAATCTTTAATATTTGGATGCAAAAAAAAATTAAGTAGATTAATTTTTGATTAATTGACAAATTGACAAAATTTATTTTTAATAATAACACCATATTTAATTATGTTTTAAGGATATAATTGTGGTTTATTATAACGTATAGTTAGTCTCATTCATTTAGGATAAATTTAACTTTTGATAATAAATCTAACGACATTAATTTTATTCAAAAAAGAAGTGGATTTATTGATTATAGAATTATATAGATGAAAGAGAAATTTCATTAATTTAAGGATCTGTATTAGATGAATTTTGAAATTAAATTAAATATACTCCATTTTAAATTGAAAATTTGAGTATTTCATTTAAAAAAGGAGAGAATGTCTAAAAAGTTATAATAGCTAAGCAATTGGATCTTGTTTGATATTGATATCCAGTTAAGCAAGTACGAATCTATACTAAAAATCATTTAATATATTATAAATTCAATTTCCTTATTTAAGGTTGGAGAGTTAAATTAATAATTTAGAGCTTTCTTCTTGCTTGAATGAATTTTATGAGATGGCAATTGCTCATTATTTAATGTATTGAGTTTTTGAGAGATAATTATTATAATTTATTATTAAATATTTAATTTTATGTCTGGCAAGGAAGACGAATATGAGAAGTTGCTGTCTGAGTAAAATCTGAAGGATAGATTGGAGGCTCCATAAACGGAGACTGCGAGATAAAGGAAATGGCGAATAGTGAAAAGAAAGTTTGCAGAAGTTCAAGTGTATGCAAAGTAAGGTTTCATAATGGGATCACTGGTTGGAGGAGGGTTCGGATTAGTTACTGGATTGTGGGCAGCAGTTTAATACAAAAAATTATCGATGATTCCAATATCAGTAATAGTGAGTGGGGGAAGTTTTGGTTTTATCATGGCTTGTGGTAGTATGATTCGAAGTGACGGGCTTGTGGCTGGTGAATACTAGTAGCATTTCAGACTGAATGATTAGGAAGTGCCAATACAGTAGTTCTGGTTGAATAGAAGGTTTGAATGAATTATGATAAATTGTTTTATTCAATTTGATCATTTGAAGACTGTTATTAATAATAAGGAATTATTATTTTCCAATTTCTCCGTGATGGTATATCTAATTTCTTGGCGATATTATTACATTGACCTAAAATTTTGACAATAGGAGGTGGCAAACTAATTTACGGTTGCTTGGGAATAGGTAGTCGCAAAGAGAGGACAAGGACAAGATGTTGAGATTCTATATAATTAAGAAAATTTCTATATTATTTTAAATGCAGTACAATGAATAGATCATGTCAGCAAAAGTTTCTGATGATTGATTTGATTCCTGTAAAGATCAGTTAGAGGATTGCGTAGGGGAATAGAAGAGGAAACAGCAAAATGAAGAGGAGGAGAGCAGTACAAAATCTATTCTTACAAAAATCATATTGGTGGATTGGGTCGAAGAATTTGGTCACCAAGTAATTGAAGGCTAGGTAGGGCAAAAGCAATCCAACAAATAGGATCATTACGATGTAGGCTATTCTGTAGTAGAGAAATTCCTATTTCTAACAAGAGTAACAAATGCCTTTGGAGGTTGAAAAGAGGTCAAGTAGAGATCCACAGTATAAACAGAGATTGGATTGACAGAAATTGCAATGCTTTATTGGTCCATTCTATACGAAGTTATAGACTTGGCATTTCTAACAAGTGAAACCTTATTGAATGAGTTGCCAACATAATTCGCAAATGTGTTTTTCGTTGTGAAACAGGATGAAGTGATCGATGAGTATGAGTTAGTGGTTGTGCAGTGTAATCAATTTCAACACTATTTGTTGGATATAAAAATTTTTGTATTGAGTCTTCAATTCTATAGGAAACAAGAATAGCGCCTATTTTAAGGTTCCAAGTGAGATTCCACATAAAGAACAGCAATGTTACATGCTTAATATTATTAAAAATATAATTGCTTAAATGTTTATGTGATTTAATCACCTTTTTAATAGTCTTTTCTATAAAAGTTTCTCGTCCTTCGGTATTCTGCCAAACTTGTCTTGGACCTACCAATCAAAAATCACTCCCGGGTTAGAGAGGAATTGCAAAGCGGCATCGTTGCCAACCGACACAGCCAAATGAGCAACAGTTCTGTTGTCCTCTGTTCTGTATTGGGTGAAATCTCTTTCACCAGCTTCGTAAAAGAGATTGAGCATCTCCTCCTTGCCATTCGCAACATCCTGCATCAAGAGTTGGGTTAACTCTTTAATTGGAGCAATCAATTTGCCTTGGAATCTCAAGAGCAACTAGATCATCTGCGTATTCTTGGCCATTACGGCTTCGTACATGGGACTATGTTTCCATCTATCTACATTGTTAACAATCTATGAGCATTTCCTCAAAATGAGTTCAGCAATCTCCAACGATCCTTCCCTTGCAGCCACATGTAATATGCTTCTCTTGTCATAGTCTTAAGCTTTATAATTGATTTCCTATTTTTAATATAGACCTTACAATCTTTGACAATTTCATCGAAGACAGTTTCCTCTTCTGAACACAAATCTGACACAAGATATTTGGAAACACTAGATCTTTATTCAAATCTATCTTAGAGTGTTACTGTTTGATGGCTGATGACAAGGCCATCAAAAAGGGTTCAGTCTCAGCCGCACCGCCAGACTCGGTCAACTCCCCTCTGATATCCCTTTGGAATTCCTCCTCTATCTCATCAACGTCGTCAGTCTGGCCTAATAGATACCCCAGTTTGGTAAAGGCTGCTTATGATGTCATGTCTCCTCCGCTTATACTAAAGATGAATGAGATGAATATGATACACTCCCATGTTCTCAAATATGATGCCTGTCTCATAGAGCATTTCGACTTAGGATGTATGACATTGGGAGATGTTGACTATGACTACTCCTCTTTTGGCTGCCTGAGCGATTTCATTACAAAACTTCTCCTCTGTTTACATATTGCCTGCTCCATATGTCTCTATCACGACTCCTTTCAACTTTTCGTTCTTGAATATCTCATTTAGAGTGACATGATTTAATAAGGGATTCAGACGTATCAAACTGATATTCGTGCAGAATTTCTTACTCACTTAGAGATTCTCTTCGTTGGGATTCTTTAGGATGATATCCCATTTAATGCTAATGTTCACTCCGAAATATCCTAGAGGAGTGAATTTGGGAGAATCAAATGAATCCAAAGAGGAAGAATTCACTTTCTAAGCTCTATTCCCTCTCAACAATTTATCCTAAAAACATATTAATACTTCTGGGATGGTGAAATGTCCAGCTATGGTCAGGGCATTCAGAAAATTAGTAAACCCATCATTTCTCGGTTGTGATAAAGGAACTTGACTGCCTGTCAATATCACTGTTTTGGATAGGTTTTGGAACATGAAGGATAAGGCACTTGCAGTGTATGCCATTGTGTCTGTTCCATGCAGAATGATGAAGCTGTCATATTGTTTATAGGCTGTTTCGATCCTCTCTGCTATGGTTACCCAATCATCTGAATTCATGTTCGAAGAGTCAAGCAACTTCTCCAATTCCTCCACTTTAAACCATATCCTTCGGTTAAAGGCGGTTATAGGAGTAATTAGAAAATCGTCAGTAGCCTTGAAGTAGGTGTAATCCATGTCACAAGAGAACGGGTTGTTTTAAAGGAAGTTTTTTAGAGCACCCGTTTTTGTGACATATCCTGTTTAAGATGGAAACATTGATATGGTTCCACCGGTATTCAAAATCAGCACCTTTCGAGGCTAGTCACTCAATTTCTCCTTGATGATATCATTATGGTTCTGCATATCAATCACCAAATGCGATTTTATTTTGGTCACATTTTGTGGATCGTCGTCGACATACATTTTATAATAATTTATTAATATCGAGATAAACAAAAATAATCATGAACTATATACTTCTATATCAATTAGGTCTTATTTGGATAGGACTTTAGTTAATTTGATTTCTTGATGTTGTCTCGCACTACTTGCCAGAGTGTTATGAGTTTTCTTAATATGACAACCATTCAAACTATTAGGAGATCGTTTTGTCAATTGATCCTTCTTAGATCCTTTAAGAGAAACGCAATCTATCTCGTCTTCTTCTTCTTCATTCTACGAATCTAATTGAGCCATACGATTTTTGTGAACTGGAGCATTGGTTCTCTTCCTTTTGTTCTTAGAATCTCTGGCTTATTTGGATAGTTTTTCTAGTTCAACAAGAGAATTGAAACTATACTGAATCGTAGTTTCTACCATCTTTAACAATCGTTGGTTCAATGAATTTTCTTAGTTTACTCTATTGTTGAATGAGTGTTCGTGATTCTCATGATTTTTGCCATGATGTTCCATATCTTCATTGTTCTCATGATGATCATGATGATCCTGATGGTAATTCTATTAGTGTTCAAGTTCTTCATTGTTCTCATGAACATCTAGAGCCAAACTTTCGTATGCTTTGTATAATGTCTTGAATTTTCTTTCTGTATTATAAATCTGTCTGCCTCCCAATAGACTCTTTGAACTGCTCTTGAATTTCAACATATCGTTCTTTTTGTTTGCCAAATCGTTATTTGATACTTTGTCTTTTTACACTTCCTTCAGATTTTCAGAGATACACACAACTGGTTTAGGCAAGTAATTAAATACTTTCCTTTGAGTCTTATTGAGAAAGATGTGTTTGAACTTCTCGATTTCCTATAGTTTGCTTATAACAACTAAGATGTCCATATCTGTCAAGATCATTTTCCTTGACTTTTCAAATATCTTAGCTTAATAATTGACTGTGCTATTCTTCTTGAATAAATCACACATTTATTTCACAATAAAAAGCACTCCAAAAGACAGTTTCTTTTTGCTCTCCAAAATCAACTTAATAAATTAATCCAAGAACTTCTCTTTATCCTTATCTAAATTGGGCTGGTGTTGATTCTCATGAGATTAATCAACTGATTTCTCTGATTTTAAGTTGCCGTAATGAGCATCGCTGCTTATGACTTACACTTTGTTTGTATGCACACTTACATTGTCTGATTCATTAGGTTGAGTTGAGCTGATCGGAAACTTTAATGCAGTTGCAACCCTTGTCATATGAATTACTCTATGAGCACTATGTTTAAATTTTTGAACTACATCATCAACAGACTTCATAGAGTCTATTATCTTAGTAACCAGAGATTGAAAAGAGAAGACTAATTCTCCCTTTTTTTTCTCTGGCATATCAAATTAGTACAATGCATTAGCCATTTTAATTTACAAACCAGTCTAATTGTAACGAAGTATAAAATAACCCAGTACAGTGGCTAAGAACTTAGTTATGCCACCAACATAGGAAATGAGTTCGTCTATGCGATAGTATTGCTTGGAGTGATGTGTTTCGGATTGCGAAAGACGTAAGTAAAAGGATGCGACCTGAGTAAAATTGGAGGTATAAACTTATTGTTGTGCCAATTTATTTTCCACTATGGAAAACACTTGCTGGTTATTGATGTCCTGGATTCCTGGGACAACTGAATTATCGACTGTCATTGCCTGTTTCTCGAGGTAGATGTCTGTCTTGGTTTCGAGGCCATACTTGGCAGAAATGTAGAAGTCAGAGTAGATTTAGGAAATGTAATTTGATTCCAGGTTTAAATTCGGGATTCGGTTTAGCATCAAAGTGTTGATTTTAAAACTATTATTCAAATAACCTAGGAGTTATAATTATTGAATTTCAGTGGTGGAATAGCAGGCACTAGTTTAACATAGTAGAGCAGTGATTCTACCATATTGGAATGTATTGGATTTGTAGGTGCCTTACAAAATCAGAGTGTAATTGAGTGGCAGACAATAATAGCCATTCAGTTGATTTTTGAGTATTTTCTATGATTATATTATAGGTGATATACATTGTAGATGGTGGATTCATTGAACTCCTGGAAGTGCTTGATTGTACACTGTTCAAGGGGTATTGAGTATTTTTCTGTTTTACTCAATGTACCATTATCGTTTATGTTTTACTCATATTCAGTGTACTTAAAGTCTATTAGTTGTTTGGTTCCGTTAATTATTGGATCCTCTACCTGGAAGGCCATCATAAAATCGGTGTAGTCGATCATGGTTATCGGGGGGTCGATGTTCAGTACTCTATTTTATGAGATCTCAAGAGATTAGCAAATATGTGTACTGTGAATGATTCCTATTTGATTAGACTAATTGCTCCTTGAATAAAAATGATGGCCAAAACAACCACCATTATGATTGTGCAAAATCCACCAAATGGCGATTGATGGGTTTCTTTTTTCCTGAAATTCAATTTCACTTCTGCTCCAAAGGTATCGCAATAAGAAACTTTCTAAATGAAATTTTATATCATAAATTATTTTAATAAACATAGACAGCAAAAATATATTGTTAATAATCCCATAAATTGTTTATGAATAGAAATTTATTAATATAATGTTAAACATTTGTCAATACTAAATCTGATGATATTATGTCTCACGACATCAGAATTATTGTTGCTGATAAATTCACGACTCCACTGATTTGTTTAAACCTATATATTTTTTCTATTTCTTTTTTATATTAATTAATTTTATTTACCTTACCCCTTCTTACGTCACTAAATTATCCGCTCTCCAATCCCGACTCAATCCCTCATCGTATTCCAATATATTTAATTATAAATTAAACTATTCTAATTGAATAGCAGAGGAGAGGATAGAATAGAATAGAATAACTAAACCAAACAGTGGAGTTGGCACTAGTATAGTATTTCTTATCTAATCACTTAGTCTAACTAAAGTCTAATGATAATTTAAATAAATATAAAGAAAATAGAGAGTTTTTTATAGGGTAAGATATCTATATGAGTGTTTGAGTAGTCAGTGAATACAATAATTTTAAATAATCTAGTTTTCACTATTGTTGAATTCCATGAAATCATTTAATAGCAGCTAAATTTGGATAACATGCATTCTACATCATTTACAATAAATGGACCTCCTCCAATTCCATTTAGATATTACTATAATACTTCAAAACAAGACTCCCATAATATTCTAATTTTATCATTCTCAAATGAGTTGAGTATGCAGTCATAATTCTCTTTAGTTTTTAAATTTAACTAGGGAGACTAAAGGGTCTCACAAGTTTTAGTTATTTTGATTTTTATCTATCAAACATTTTAATTTGATAATAAATTGTAACATTGATGTAAAAGTAAAAAAAAAAGTATTTTATAAATTAATTATGTTTTAATCATATGTAATTGATCGGAAATTTAAGACAGAGTCAAGCAAAGTCGTTCAAAATGTACGATTTACAAAGGTATTTCAAAGAGGAAATGAACATAAGAATTATTCTTTTGAAATTCCCAATGATTATGACTAATTACCAAAAAAACTCAGGTGCCAATCTACTTATTCGAATCTGTGTGGTTGCAGATCACATAAATACCAATTCTTTCATGACATCATTTCCGAATTTGCTGAACACAAAAAACAAAGATTGGCTAATGTTATCATACAAAATCTAAGTAATTACCCTTATAAAAAGGATTTACAGAAAAATCCACACTACCATCCCAGGGTTCTGCACGCAACATATTCTCAAAGGGTGGACCAAGCCTAAATCATAATTACAGTCAATTTATGAAAAAAGTTAAAGATTTTAAAATTGCTGAACAGAACATCATTGCTCAAACTCCCAGGTATTCATTCACATTTGAAACAAGTTCAATACAAGAATGCATGCCTCTCACTAGACAACCCTCCTTCGAACAAGTTTTAGACGCAAAGTAAACCCTAACTCCGAGTTACTCCAGGAACCAAAGTCCCAAATTGCTGTTCAGTATCTTACTACCTAAAATTTCAGAACCTTAATAATTTATATTAAAATCGAAGTTCAAAACCAACAATGCCCTTGACAAAATACTGACTGAAGCCAGGAATCAAATCACGACTTCCCAGTCTCCCAGATCAGTGCAAGTGAGTCAACACAAAAAGATCAAGTCTCATCCTGCGAAGGTGTATACTGAACACAACCGACTCTTACAAAGAGTGATACTTAAAACTAAGCTGAACTAATGATATTATTTATTGTAATTTCAATAGTGTTTATAGTATAAATTAGAAAATAAAGTATTCTCCTGTTTTCTGTAGACATTCGACTTCGGTATAGTGTATTATTGTTCGTAATGGAAGTGCTGCTATTTGTTGGACTCCTTCAATCTCTGGAGTTTCATCTCGAAATCATCATCAAACTGCTTTTGCTTGTAATCTCTCTCCACTTGCTTGGGACTTGCAATTCTCCTATTGCAATTCGCTTCATTTATCACATCGTTGAACACCTGTCTCTCAAATGTGCCCAGTTGCCTCAAGAACCCATTATTGGGGAAGATGATTGACCTCCTCTATTCCACATACTCCAGAGCCTCTCTCGCTCCAATCAGGTCTTTTTTTATGAGGTAAGCCAAAACGATAACTGCGCTTCTTGATATCCCCATTTGGCAGTGCACCAAGACATTTGTTGATCTGCGAGAGGCTTCAATGAATCTGAATGATTCATCAAAGTGCTTGCTTATTTGGTAGTCATCCTCGTCGTCAGCCATGCATTGATGATAGAAGTTCAGCTTAATCTTGGTTGATGAGGGGATGCTCTGAGGACACACAGTCAAAATGGCTTTGATTTAATATTAAGATAAAGTGTAAGGATCACCTAAATTCATTTATCAAATACTTGCAGCTTCCATGTTGCCTAAATACAACCCTCCAAGTACTTTTGAAGGTTCAATAATACAAGAGATGGGATCATCTCTTTTACTTGATTGCTTTTTGGGTGAACTCATTAAATAAATAAATTTTATTATTCAATAAAAATAAATAAAATAATCCATATTTATATTAATATCTTTAATATCCAATATTTTTAAATTTTAAATGAGATTATTATTATTACCATCCTTGACTCAGGTATATTCGATATCGCTCTTTTTCATTTTTAGGATTGAAGTAGTTGCTAAATACTAATGGAAATAATTGGAGTTATATAATTAAATTAGAATAGAATATTTAATATGATGAAATTACTTTAAATTAAGAGGAATGAAAGTAATTCTCACACATTATGATAAATAAATGAATACATTTAAAATTAGTACAATTATTTGTTGTTCCTAAGATAATTTAAAGTAACTTAATGTAACTTAAACATTATTCACCAGTACATAGTGATTTAACTATATGTTTCTGGGATTGACAATAAATTCATTGGAATTTTGAAAAGCAATACTTATTATAATTTTTTTATCATTATTCTAAATAAAAAAGTTGGGAATGGATCGTAATCTATTAATAATATTAGAGAAAAGACGAGTTATAGTAGTTAATCGATGAACAGAATAAGGAGGAGTTTTCGGATGACTAGGATTTGGTGTCTCATATAGATATTGAGGATTTTGAATAGCGATTGCAAACGAGTCAGTCCTTTGTGAGGGAGAAGCCTCCGCAACACAGTCAGAGGGCTCAATCTGGAATGACTCAAATTGGGAAGCAGCAACCTCAGAGTTTGAAGGATCTGAATGAGAAGATGCAGTAAAATCTAGCCAAAAAGCAGGTGAATTAGCCCACCAGAGTTTAGGGGCAATAGAGGTCATAGCAGTAGTTTTCGCAAACTTAGCAGGTTCAGAAAAAACAGGAGTATGGAATCAATTCAAATAATCTAGTAAGAGGAAATCTGTGGAGCCGAGGGCGAACAATAATCCTCGTCAGGTGTTGGAGTAGGCGCAAAGGGACAATCAGGATTTGCTGTAGAAGTTGGGGACGATGAGGAGACAGCTGCAATCCTTGGAGGCGGAGAATGCGGAGTTGAAGTAGGAGATTTAGAGGAAGGGTAATTCGAGTGGGTTTTTGCCGAAGATTGAGTAGGCGGCGAACTCGGAGTTGAAATTGTTGAGGATGGAGAATGAGGAGTTGAAGAGGATCGTCTAGAAATAAAATGTACGAACAGTGAAACATTTTGTGTTAGGGTAGTGATTCGGGGAAGATGTTGTAGATGTACGGGTTGTAGGTGGTGAAATTGAAATGTCGGATCGAGGAGCTTACTTAGTAATTGGAGAAGTAGTGATATCATTAATATATATATAAAAATAAATCAAATGAGTATTTAAGCTGTGAATTACGAGGTGGAAGATATGGGTCGCTATTTCAAATCGTAAAAAAAATGAAATCATTCTTAGATCAAAGAAGAAGTACAAATGGACATTCATGTTGGAGGACAAGCAACACATGTTGGAATTAGAATTCTCATATCTCAGTGGGAAGAGAAGACTGGTGTTGGACGGCAGAGTACTACACGAAAGCATGTAAAATGTGATATCTATTATCAGGATGCTCACCTCCTCATTCCAGTATCCCTTTACTCTGGAAGGATTTGCTTTAAACGTGATTTAACAAGGGGATGCGTTTGAATTGAGAATCAATAATAAGGTCTTCTCTCATCTATACACTCAATGTAAGAATCTTGTTTCCCTCCCCTAGAAAAAACAAAGAGCGAGTTTGTGTACGATGAGAAAATCAATAATACCAATAAAACGGACAACAACTTCTATTCTGAGCCTCCCAATTTTAATACCCAATTTTCCAACAATAATAACTTTCAAAACAATTCACAGTATATTATAAATCATCATATTTCATTAGAAAAATTAATTTAAATATTAAATTTGAAAACCCCAAGGACACCAATCCCATCTAATAAAAGACAAGCGTGGTATAATAGACCAAGTATGGAATCTTAATTTATTCTAGAACATCCACCACCTTTGGGTAGCCAGGAGCATTTGAAGAATTTGAATAGTTCGGTCAGGTGTCCAAAACCTCCAATAATCCATTTGGAGATTCTTTCCAGGTTTCAGGATTTTCCTCAGGCCAAGCAGTTTAGTAACAATAAAAAAGTATCATTTATGTATCATATAAAAACAGAGGTGGACTTATTAAATTTAGATGATGATGTGCCATAATAAAAGGCAGTCAATCCACCATAATAGGAGTTTCTATTTGAATAATAATAATAATAATAATAATAGGAAAAAACTAATATACCTCAATAAACTAATTTATTTGATGCCTTTGGTAATGGGTGGAATTAACAACAATAATAACAATAACAATAAATTCCATAACAATAATAAAACATGTTTTAATAACCAACTTAGGTTCCACAACCATTTGAGTATTTATCTCTATTCTATTTTTAGATCTTTTAATTAAATGGGCTAAAATACATAAGGATTTTAAAATCAATAGTAATAGGGTGGATTCCAAAACTCTCATGCTTTTGGATAAGACTTTCCCTAAGCTCCCCAACAATAATAAAATTTAAATATCTTAAATTTGTATGGCAATCAACCACCAGTTGTTGGAAATTTAGCCTATTCAGCATTTCCTTAAGTTCAATAATACAATTAACCAGTGCCCTAGTCATAGCCTACTCCATTTGATCTGTTCAAATGAGATAAATATTATTCATAATAAATATAAATATTCAAATTTAAAAATGGAATTGTTAAATTACGCTGCCACAGTAATCCAAAAAACCTTCAGAGGATTCCTAGCCAGACAAGCAGTGAAATAAATACGAAGGATAAACTACTTCTCCTCTTTTGGTATTGCAATCCTCTCAATTAGATCATCAAAATGAATATGGGTTTTGCATCCAACCCTAGAAATCGAAGAAATCCACTCGCAATACTCAATCACTCATCTAACCAACCAAAAGAATGATCAGAAGTGCAGTCTACATTCAGAAATGCTATCGAGGGTACTTAAGTAGAAAATATGTTTGCAATTTTTACAGATTGAAATAGATCGTATTATTTTTAGAAGGACACATCCATAATTTCCTGAGGAAAGTAAAATGATTCTGATATTAGAGAATTTAATAAAGGAAAATCCACATCAAACAATTGATGGCATAATGTTACAACTTTCAAACTCAATGCAAATCTATTGCAAAAGGTCGATACAACTACAGTAAGTACATGAATCAAAAGCAATTCGATGAAGTAAATGGTATAATATTTACATCTTTCTTGCATCTCATGATACCTAACTTTGAAAAGATGAATTCTGAATAGAAATCTCATTATGTAGATTAAATCTTAGGAGTTGTTCAATCGAATCCCCCAAGGAAAACCATGCCAACCTAGATCAGTTCTAAGACTCCCTTGAAGTAGAGACACATCATTTAGAAATGTCAGTGTTTTGTCTTCTGAAGTAATGACAAGTAATGGTAGTTGCACTTCAAGCCATAAATCCAAATCGAATTTGACAAATGAAGAATTCAAGTCAATATTATAAAGATAGAATAAAAAACCAAAATGACCTGATTTTTATTTAATTTTTTGCTGAACTTATAGAAAATAATTAATAATACTAATTGATTTATGAAGATATAAGTATTAATCTCTTTAAAGAAACAGAATATTGATAAATAATTATGGAATGTGTAGAATTATGAATTATGTATTATTGTTATTGTTATTATTCAATTTAACACAAATGAAGAATATTTCATAATACTTAAACTTTGATTTCAAATCAATTGTCTTTAAATTATGTATTAATTAAAAGAGATTTACTCTATTATTTTGATGATATAATTTAATATATACATTGGATAATAGAGTAGATAATATTTTTATGTCTATTTTATTCTTCATATTCTTCTTAATAACTCAAGATAAAAGATTATATGTTGTCTAACAAATAAGAAATGATGAGGTTAATTAAATTGTGACAATGATTTTATATATAAAAAGTTCTTATAATTCACTTCTTCTTTCCAACTGTCTTAGCTAACCAATCCAAACCATCATATAATCCGTCTCCAGTGAGTGCACAGGTACCTTGAATGTACCACTCTCTTCTAAGAGTGTGTAATCCCAATTTTTCAGTGATTTCAGGGACTGTCATTACACCCATATCTTGTTTATTGGCAAAGACCAACAAGACAGCGTCTCTGAGTTCGTCTTCACCCAACATTCTCATCAATTCTTCTCTAGCAACATCAACTCTCTCTTTGTCTGATGAATCAACGACGAAAATGAGACCTTGTGTGTTTTGATAGTAATGTCTCCATAAGAGTCTGATTTTATCTTAACCTCCGACATCCCACTACTGTGAATTTGATGTTCTTGTATTCCACAGTTTCAACATTGAATCCGATTGTGGGGACAGAGCTGACCACTTCTCCCAATTTCAATTTGTACAAAATGGTTGTTTTACCTGCTGCATCCAAACCCAACATTAGAATTCTCATTTCTTTCTTTCCGAACCACTGTTCGAACAATTTAGAGAATGAAAGACCCATTAATTACTTAAGTTAATAATATAATCATAATAGATGGAATTGAAATTTAAATTAGTAAGTTTTCCTTGTCAGAAAAATTCATTAATCACTATTTTTAGAACCTAATTTATAAATATTTATTATTGGAATCGTTTAAAATAATAGAATAATTATTCGTAAATTCATATAAATAATATTTTTATATTCTTGGTATATACTTTCTATAATAAAATTATTAAATAATAATGTTTGAAGAACAAGTTGCTAATGAAATTCAAGAAGCAGACAAACAGCATGTCCGAGTCTCATTCCCACAACGATCATGGCTGTCCATAATTTAGGACAAGATTGTGTAGTAAAGCCAAGTTATCAAAATTATTACTCATATTTTAGATGAGTCAGTCAGAAATGAACGAAAAACATGAGACTCGATTGGGTGTGACACCAAGTCTCTCCGATAGAGAAACTTTGTGCAGAAAATAAATTGGATAATCTGCCTGTTTTAGAGAGGATTTAGGAAAATCCAGGATAAGTGATTTAGATACACCCACTACTCGATACAGGGTATTAATTGTTAGCTACTGCCATAGACTTAACCACATGAGGTTCATTTTAGGATTAGAGTGTTTATTAAGTATTTGTTCTTGAGGGTAGTATTTACTGTTATAGGTCCATTAATTTTGGGTTACAGTTTAATTAGGAGAGATTGGCTGAGTTTTATGAGCAACTTCAGAATGATTGGTAATTGGGGCGAAGTTTGGTATAACTATTTCCGATGGATATCAAACTACATCCTAGTTTTTACGATCCTCTATGATACCACTGATGAAGAAAAGAAAATCATGCATTACGAAATCGCATTCTTCATTATTGTGTACATCACTGAAAATGTGACATATGCTATTAAATTTGCTTTTTTCCACCCCTCCAAATTGGTGTTGATAGAAAACTTCGATATTTGTGTAGTTGGTGACTCATGTGAGTAGAGCATCAACCCTTATCATTGGGCATAGTAACACCAATCTACAATCAGCAAAGAATTGGAGCAATCCTTAAAGCGATCCCAAGTGGAAAATTCTATATTCCAATTGTACTTCATGGTTGCACCGAATTCAGAGAGATTGAAAAGAATCTAAGTGCCAGAATAAGATTTAAAACATAAAATTTAGATTGAAGAAACAGCTGCCGATGGCTTTTTGATGGCTAATGAGATAATCAATGAATTCAATAAGAGAAACAGTTATAAAACTGCAATACAACTCGCAATCTTACTGGGAGTCATACGAGTAGGGTTGTACATCTTGATCATGGAACTCTGTGAAGAATCCGTTAAGAGCACTAGCGTCGTTGTCTAACTTTCTCTTTTTCAGTTCATGTACTTCAGCACGATCCTCACGTTGATGATCCTGACTTACAGAGATCTAAGGAGAAAGGTTTTCTCAATGACACAACTATCGCATCTGATATCAGCAGAAAAAGTTGAAGTCTACCAGGAATCCAAGATCTTTCCAACCATCAATTTGTTATGCACTGTTTCCATATACTCCTGGGTTAATCTGAGGATGATCCTCCTTGATTATGGGTTGCAATACACAAGAAGACAAACATTCATATTGTCATTCATCATGATTATCAATACCATTTTGATGGGTGTGATGACTCTTCTCTTTTATTTGGAACTCGCCTCTATGAATACCATACTCCAACAGACTATGGACTTCGCAATTATTGCTACCTTCTCTATTGGCTTAGTCTTATAGGGAGCGAGGATTAATGCTCATTGGTCTATTCATAGGGGATTACTGAGAAAGAATCTCTTTCTTATTCAATAATTGGCCTATCAAATGTTCAGGCCTTTGGATTACAGCTTTAAAGCAGAAGACCCTGTGTTTCATGTATTTATTATTTCAATTAACTCTAGGCTCTATCAAGAATGCTGGATACTACCTATTCAGATGTCATTATTAGAGAAGACTCGCTGCTTAATTACTCAACTTTTTGCATCAGTTCGATTCAATATGTGGTATATCATTTATTTAATTCAGTTTGATAATTTGGGACATTAAGAAAAGTCTTAGCCCTACACTGTAATGGGTATAGCTATGACATATTAACTATTGTTATAAGTTTGTGTGAGTGCATTGGGATTGATTGCAACTTCAGGATTGAATTTCATACTGTAGGTTACTAAATGATTACAATTATATTATAATAATCATACTAAATAAATATCAAAGAGATTTTGACATATTACTCAAAGGTTACAAATTTATGCATTTCTCTATTTTTTGTTATTGTGTATTCATATCCTTAAATGTAGGCTATAAAATATGTTAGATGATAGCTACAGACATACTAATGAGGATTATTGTTTCGTATTAAGATGCTATAAAGCAAATTTATTAGTTCAAATTAATTTGATATATTTCCTTTTTTGTTCCATTTTTACATGTAGTCTTCTATCATACTCTTATCTATGAGATGGTAAATACAGACATTTTTTATTAATTAAAGACCAAATATAATAAATAGAGTATCATTAAAATAGACTCCAAAGTAGTATAACCATAAGTTCACTAGGTGAAATTACAAATTCTATCTTTTCCACTTATATTAAGATTAAAAAATAACTATTTTTGAAACTAGTCTAGATTATATTTATTATTACACTTCTAATTGGTTACATTGTTTACATAAAGAATATAGAGAATGAAGGATTTTCAAATTCATTCCCTCCTACCATTCCTCAAATTTCTGAACATGTATATTTACAACCCTCGAAATTAAAATAGGAATGAAGTATTCCTTTCGAAGATTGAATTCTAACAATTGTCATATTGGAATTTGTTGGAGAATAAAAAAGTATGAATAGAGGCTACTTATCGACAAGAATCTAGGTGTGGATGATAAGGAAGGAAGTGGAATTCTGAGTATTTTGGGAAGAATAAATAAAATTAATTAATTACACGTTAAAGAATTTCTAGAAGAATTCTCTTTGTATATAAATTGAGTATACACATCATTTGGAATTAATTTATTATGAAAAGATTGTTACTTGCTTTGCTCCTTGTTTCTGTATCTATATGCGAGAGCACAGTCGAATGCCCAGTTATTGGTATTGACTTGGGTACTACTTACTCATGTGTTGGAGTGTTCAGATAGGGACATGTTGAGATCATTCCAAATGAATTGGGAAATAGAATCACACCTTCAGTCGTTTCCTTCACAGATCAAGAGAGGATTGATTGGTGAGGCTGCTAAAAACTAGGCTGCCACCAATCCCAGCAGAACCCTTTATGATGTCAAGAGATTGATAGGCAGAAAGTATATATCCATATGAATATCCCAAGATTCTCAGACTCCACAATCCAATATGACAAGAAGTTCTTGCCATTTGAGATTATCGATAGAGACGGCAAGCCTTACATTTAAGTGGAGAAGGGTACCTAATCAAAGGTGTTCGCTCCTGAGGAGGTGAGTGCAATGGTGTTGTCCAAGATGAAGGAAATTGCTGAGGGTTATTTGGGTCAAAATGTTATCAATGCAGTCGTGACAGTTCCAGCATACTTTAATGATGCTTAAAGACAAGCCACAAAGGATGCAGGAAACATTGCCGGTTTGAATGTAGTTAGAATTTTGAATGAACCAACTGCTGCAGCTATTGCTTATGGTTTGGATTCAAAGTAAGTCGAATCTAACATCTTGGTTTTCGATTTGGGAGGTGGTACTTTCGATGTGTCCATTTTAACAATTGATAATCAAGTGTTTGAAGTCATCTCTACATCAGGAGATACACATTTGGGAGGTGAAGATTTCGATCAAAGATTGATTGATCACTTCATCAAGTTGGTGTAGAAGAAGTACTCAAAGGATGTTTCAGGAGACAAGAGAGCAATCTAAAAATTAAAGAGAGAAGTTGAAAAAGCCAAGAGAAGACTCTCTGCAGCTCAAGAAGCCAAAGTAGAAATCGAAGATTTGGTTGAAGGATTAGATTTCAGTGAGGTCTTGACAAGAGCCAAATTCGAAGAATTGAACAGTGATTTGTTTAGAAAGACTATTGAACCAATGTAGACAGCTTTGAATGACTCAGGATTAAAGAAGAGTCAAATCGATGAAATCGTACTTGTTGGTGGATCTTCTCGTATTCCAAAGGTCAGATAACTCGTGAAGGAGTTCTTTGAAGGCAAAGACCCAAATACAGGTATCAATCCAGATGAAGCCATTTGTTATGGTGCTGCCATCCAAGGAGGTTTGATCTGTGGGAGAGAAATCTGATGCAACTGACGGTTTGGTCGTTATTGATGCCACTCCTTTGAGTTTGGGTATCGAAACAGTCGGAGGAGTCATGAATAAGATCATTCCTAAGGGATCCTTCATTCCAACCAAAAAGTCTCAAGTGTTCACCACTTATGTTGACAACCAAACTACAGTCACCATCACTGTTTTCGAAGGAGAAAGACCTTTGGTTAAGGACAATCACAAGTTGGGTCAATTCGATTTAACTGATATTCCAAAGATGCCCAAGGGATAACCTTAAATCGAAGTCACTTTCGAAATTGATGAGGATGGTATCTTATCTGTGTCTGCCTCTGAATAATCAACTGGAAAGAAGAACCAAATCTAAATCACTGCCGATAACAAATTGACTAAGGAGGAAATCGACAGAATGATCAAGGAAGCTGAACAATTCGCTGAAGAAGATAAGATTGCCAAGGAGAAGATTGATGCCAAGAACAGTTTGGATTCCTACATCTATTCCATCAAAAACTAAATCGAAGATGAGGTATCATCATTCTCTAAACATTTTAGAAAAAGTTAGCCAAACACTTGACTGAAGAATAAGAGCAAACCTTGAAGGATGCTGTCCAAAAGAGTGAAGATTGGATCAAGAAGGATGAAGCCAATTACGACAAAGAAGATTTCGAAGGAGAATTGAGAGATCTATAAGAGTAATTCATTCATTCTAAACATCTAGGGTTTGTGATCCAATCGTTCAAGAAGCCTAATAGAAGAAAGATGAAAATAAGGAAAATGAAGAAGACGCTGATGATACAAAAGCTGATTTATGATTTAATGTGTGCAATATTTTATTTTAATGAAAGTTGTATTTCAGATTTGCATAATTTCCTTACTATTGACTACCTGCGATGCATTCAATATTCATCAATATGCTGCCATGCTACCTGGTCTCAAACTACCTCCCAACACCAAAACCAGAGTATTGGTCATTGACACCTTCGAAGACTTCTTATGGGCCAATGTCTATGTAGGGTACGATCAACAATATTTCAAATTAGACTTTTCTACTACTTTTCATACTTAGCAACTGGAGCTGCTCTGGAATTCACTAATCCCATACCAAAATCTGCCTTCAGACTAAAAAACATGAAACTTGAAATCAGTAGAGGTGTCTCAGCCTTATTCTGGGTTCTGCTCTCTGCCACCATATTCATGTGGAAGGTTGAACCACTTACACCATATTATGGCTATTATGAAACACATGATTTCGGATTGAAGGAATGGCTCATTGGACTCTTAGTGTATCTCTAACTTCTATTCATTAGATATTCCATTGGATTCGATTTCTACTTCTACGTCACCCATATCATCCTCCATCAACCATTCTTTTGGAAATACATCCACAAGCAACACCACGAATTCATCGAACCTACAGCGTTTGCATAAGATGCAGTCCACCCAATCGAAGCCATCGTACAAGGCCCCTTAGGACATTTCTTCCCATGTCTCTTCTACCCAATCCCTCCAGTTTGGCATCAGTATCTCAAATTATTCTACAATTAGCTTTTTTGGCTTCTTGACTGCTGTCTATGCCCAAGCTGCTCACGATGGAAGATGGGATCCATTCGGACATATCAATCACCATTTCTATGTCACCTGCAACTATGGAATTTGGGGAGTTTGTGATAGAATATTTTAAACCAACCATTCCTCATCAAGATTCCCTGTTAGATACGTTCCAAGTTGGGAGAAAGACGCAAAGAAAGTCAAATGATCACCTTAAATAATTCACGAATAAATCAACATTCAACAAATCCCATTCACATTAATAAAATTCTATTATTCTGATCTGTTATTCCTATTAATTCTTTAAGTGTCAACAACCTCATTCAAAATATAGTAATTATCAAATGTTAAATTACCTATGGAAACGATTTAAGTGGCCAACTTGAATATTTGGAGGTGATCTAGAAGATTTTCAAAATCTCAACATTCTTATTTAAATTGAAGGTTTTTAACGAAAAATCATTTAATTTGATGATTTATTAGTTAATTCAAACATGTATAATTCTCAATTCTTAGATTTAAAAACTCTTAGTAAAACTAATTTTCAAATTATCAGTGCACTTTCTGTATAACATGATTATATAAGCAAAACATTAGTGTAGAATAATTTAATAGTCTCTTATTACCTAAGTAACCTTTCATTTATTTTTTATTATGTCAAACATTTCATACAAATTATTTATAATTATAAACAGTCAGTTCCTATTTATATTCTAAAGTCTTATTTTTTCTTCAAATGATTGCGATCTTATCTATAATCTTAAATCTTTTGCTTATTTCAAAGTTTTTTTTTTATTAAAGTTATCTAAATAAAACTATTATTATAACATATTTTGAGAAATATTGATGTGCCTCCTTATCAATTCAATTTTCATAAGCAGAACCTTTTGAAAACAACATTGTAAAAGTTCAAAATAGAATTCCGCTTTTGAAAATAACCTCATGTTTTAATAATTTATCATTTTCATTGTCATGCCCCATCTAAGTTTATGCTTGGCTCATTGATAAATTATAACTCTTCTTATAGGCATTTAGGATACTTAAATTTAATCTACTTCTACCTTTATTAGCATTTTTACTATAAATTGGAATTATACAAATTACTAGAATACAATAGTTTATAATAAATATTAATCAAATTTATATGCAATTAGATTCTTGTAAATTAAATTAAATTACATTTTATATGAAAAAGATATTAGGAACTTTCTGAAACACTAGATTCAATGAAAATTACTACTAGACAATTACTATTTTAGTATAAGAGATAAGTTAATATTAAATTAATTTTAATTATCATTGTTATCCTTATTTAACTAAATCATCGATAGATTTTATTGTTATTTATCTTTTTCTTATTGTTGATTATTCTACCTAATTGTTGCAGGCTTACTGATTTAGATAATTAACATTTTGATAAGGCGATTTGGGATTTATCCTTTAAACTTCTTATATTTTTATGATAGATTATCCTCTAATTCTACTACTATTAACGTTGGTATTGTTATTTTGACTTGGCGGAGGCTTATTTACTTAAAAATACATTTATGGTGATCTCATTTAGTTATTCTTAGTAATTCAAAAAACATACTCACTCAAAATTCATTTTGACTCTAAAATCAACAATAATATTTAAGGAAAATAATCACTTTTTCTGTAGGGAAAACTTATTCACCTGCTGATATGATATTTTCAATTATAATATCAGTTTTACTAATCTAATCTTAAATTAATTTAAAATCATTATCAAATGATTTAAAATACTCTCTTTCATAACCTATAAAAAAAGAAATATTCAACTTTTCCTTTATATTTCGGGTTAATTCATTAATCTTTTACTATATAGTTTTCTAGTTGTCTTATAGTAAATATAATTAATTGTGCATATTAGAATATTTGGAAATAACTTGTTAGTTTTGATTAAGTTAACTTTACAACTTATTAATTTATTCGTTATTAGAATTAAGTTCTAGTTTTAAATTATTGTACTCTTATTCAATTTTCTAATCAATTTATGCAGAGAAAGTAAGTATTTCTCTAGACTCCTTTTAAAGGTCAATTGACATTTTTTAAGAAAAGCTTTTATATTAGAATTAGTATTCCTACTTGATTCCTTCTATAGTTTTGCTAAGCAAACTAACATTAATATTATTTTCGATGAATATAAAATTATTTAGCTTATTTAAATAATCTATTGATTGTTCCTTTATTTTTGACATGTTGTTTTTAATCTTCTCATATTTATTCATTTTCTCCTTTAATTGCTACTAAATCAACTCATAATTTTTATTAAATTCCTTTTGCATAAATTGTTTGATCTTTTCCTATTCCTAAGTTATTAATAAAGTCTTCTCATCTTAATCTTACTTGATAGCCTTATACTTCTTCGCAAAGCTCTTGAAATCATGTTCTTTATGAGCATCTTTAAGGCATGTTTCACAATAAAAAGGGAAAGTCGAATTTTGAGTGAGACAATCCTTGTGTGTACAAAGATATTTCTATGGTTTAGAGTGAGCAACACATATTTTATACTAATTTGCAGCTTTTTCGTTTGCTTTTGGAATAGTAGTTTAAGGTAGATTGAAAAAGATATCAGATAAGTCAGATATAGAAAATTTTAAGTCCTTTATAAAGTTGATCCTTGCTTCGATGTCTTTAATTTGAAGTTGTCTTTCGATCTCTTATTGCTAGCTTTCATTCTAATATTGAACTTCATATTATTCTGCTTTATTTAAACAATTATTTAATATTAAATCAAGATTTTATAGATTCAATACTGATTGTAACTCTTTGATTTTTATATTTAGTTTCTAATTTTCCTTCTCTATTAATCCATTTATTGATTTTTTCTATTAATCGTTCCATTTCAAATATATTACCTTTTGACTCTCTAGAAAATCTTAAAGTTTATTCTATTCCTGAGTATTTTTCTATATAATCAATTCAATGAACCGAATTTGTTTATTACAGTTCATTTTTGCTATTGAGTGAACCTCCTCAATATTGTAAGGTGTATGTTCTCTATGTTATTACCAATGACATTAGTAACAAAACATTTTATTACCTGTAATTTTTACACATTTTGGTAGCAAACAACTAAATTCTGCATTGCGTATTTAGCAAATTTCACATCTATTCATTTATGATCAAATTTTATGAATATATTAATATATCATTTTATAGAATTATAAAAATACAAAACGAAAACTATTGTTTTTATTACACAATTTAAAAATATAGATTATTAGTATCATTAAGGAAAAGATGAGAGAATTAAGGTTATGTAAAATTGATTGATAAATATCTCAAATTAATAAAATAATAATCATTAATTTTGCAAAAATATGAATCTATCAAAGCTCAAATAAATAATATGAATCTTTAATCCTTCTACTAATTAGATTTACCTCTAAAGCATATAAATATGTATTACAAAATTATTTTCAGACTTTATAATTTATTTAAAATGATTTGTAAATGAAAACAATACTATTAACTCAAAAATAAAAAATCATTTCTCATTATTTAATATGCAGATAAGCGTATATTGATTCCAATTTAATTGAGTTCCCAAATTGATAATATACATCCAAATTCATTCTAATAGATTGCAATAACCATTATTTCATATATACTAAATAGATTTTGCAGTATAAAGTTTTTATTTTTAATGATTTATTTTTAAGGTGACAATTTTCAAAAAATAATTATAAAGGAATATTTTTCAGGGAAAATTTATGGTACAATATATAAAGAATATAAAGAACAGTTAAGTAATTATATATAAAATCTAATAATATTCTATAATTTTACAGATAAAAAAGAAGTATTCTTTCTCAACAGTTATTTGTTATTTTAAAATCCGAATTGCTTCAAAAAATAAATTTGATGGTAATTTTATATTTTTATGCAAACTATAAATTCAATATTCACATTAGGTTCTTAATTTTCTTTTTGGGAATCCAGTTTATAAAGACAACAAATAAATTTAAAAACTGGTTCCAAATAGTCCATTTATGGGCCTAACTCTTTTCAGTAGTCTCTGCAGACAGAGACTAAGATTATTGGATTTGTGGTTGGTGCATAAAAAAGCTTCTTGGGAAGTTGTGTTACAATTTGCCAACCTCTTACAAGAATTAATATAAATTTTAATATTAAAAATTTATGAAAGAAAAATAAATAAGAACTCAAATTTTAATGTTAAGTTGTGATATATATATAGAATAGCTTTGATATTGATATTGCTAAATTTCATTTCAAAATTTATCAGATAAACCTTAAGTGATGTTTGATAGTATTTTATATTTCTTTGAAGATAATATAGAACTATTTAACATTTTAGTATTACTTGAGGTATTGTTAAAATGAAGAGAAAACATTTGAAATATTCTAATTCATTTCTTGAAATTCAATAATGATGCTTCTATATATCATATTGTTTCTCTTACTTCTTTTTAATTTAGAACCCCTATAAATCTTTAAACTTAGAATTATTTCTTAAATAACCTTAAATTCATATAATATTATGATTAGTAAAAAAATTGAAAGAAATAAATTAAAATTCACACTAATTTAAGGGAAGTATGGATTGCTTAGAAGGCAGGACTTCTATCCATTTTATTTTCATTTTATCTTTAAATGTTGTAATGAATCAATTACTAATCATTCGGCATTAACCTATTAGGTCTAATATTTAATGGGCCAAAAGATGTAACCATGTCTTTTTCAGTTTCTTAATCCTCAGAATCTAATTGATAATCGATCATCATCATATGATAGGTATTTTCTATGTCATCCCTCTCTATCATTTAAGAAGGAGCTTCTTCATAGATTTCTTCTTGTTTAATTTCAAAGGGCGAGATATTATCATGGTCCTTTCTAGGAGTTTTACTCAAAGACGGAGGGATTTTTGGTTATTTTGGTTATGTATACTGTTTTTTGGTTTCAACATTAGCACATATGCTGTCATTAGATTCTATTATATTTTTATGGTCTTGTAGATTTTTTTTAATTAAACATGTTTTGAGTGGATGGACAGTCACGAGATGTGAAATGTTGATTGGTTCATTGAGAGTAACTTTTAAGACTTCAATGGGTGTTTTTTAGATGGATTCAGTTCTGTCAATGAACAATTATAGATTCTTATTATAGCTAGTCATAATTTCATTAAAAGGTTCATTTTGCATTTGTTTGAGAATTCCATCTAGATTGGATTCCACATCATTTTTCATGCTGATGGTCTCAGATTTTGAGATTTATAAGCAAGCTATGGAGTCATCATATAGTTTGGAAAGAGTTTTGAAGTTGGTGAATAATTGCTGGAGCAATCGCATTTTTTCATCTTCTAAAATTTGGCTTATTTGGATGTGGAATTTTTCAAGGTTGTCTCTTTATTGATCGTAATATTTCTGAATGTCTTCTCGTTTGGCAATTAAGGCATTCATGAGTTTGTCGATTTAAGGTAATGAATTATTGACTGAGATAATAAATTTAAGGATTTGGTCTCTTCTATATTCATCCTCTAATCCTGGGATTTCTTCGACCTTCCTTCCCTTTCCAACCATACTGACTGCACATTTGGAACACAATTACAATGAAAAGTCGTTTACAATACGATATTTGGCTTTCTTATTTTAATGATTAATGCATGAATTCAGTTTATGATTTTAAAATGTGTTTTGATCATTTAATTTAATTTTAGAGGGAGTAAGTCTTTGTCTGGCAGTGGACATAGGTTGAGAGGTAAATTTGAATTTTAAATTATTAAAGGAAGTAAAAATATTCAATATTCATTAAATTTCTCATAGAGCACACGCTCATATTCCTTGCTAATGAGAGGGTCAGGACAGAATCGACTTTTGGTTTTGTCAGCTTTTTTGAGATTATACCTGTTATTAATTGTAGAGAATGGAGTACCTGAATTTATAGGAATATGTAAGCATGGTTTAATTGGGTATGGGTTGGAACTCTGTGGATTCAATTTATTTTTCTAATTGTTATCGATGAATGACGGCATATTTATCAATATTCATTGTAATTAAAAATATTGCTATTTAATATTGGACTTTAGAAAGAAATTGACAAAATAAAATTAAGTTCAATATGATACCATAAGTGCAAGAATCCGATTATCTTTACAGTACTCCAAAGTCATTCTCAACCAGAGCAATCCATACAGGATAACATGCTGAGCAAATTCACGGCAGTGTTAATGTTCCCATTCACTTGAGCACCACATATAAATAAAAGGCACCCGGTTAACCTTATTCTTCTTTCGATTACACAAGATGTGGTAATCCAACCAGAGCTGCATTGGAAGAGTGCATAGCAGATCTTGAACATAGCAACCATTGCATCACATTCTCATCTGGATGTGCAGCAATGTCTTGCATCATCAATCTCTGTAAACATGGTGAATAAATCATCTGTTGTGATGATGTCTATGGTGGTACTCAAAGATATATGAGAAACTTCACTGTAAAGAATCATGGAATCGAAGTTTTGTTTGTAGACATCACAGATCCTGAAAATGTGGCCAAGGCAGTCAATGAAAAGACCAAATTGATCTGGATTGAAACTCCAACTAATCCAACCCTCAAAATCGTAGACATCGCTGCAGTTTGCAAAATTGCCAAAGAAAACAAGATATTAACTGTGGTTGATAACACATTTGCTACTCCATATCTCTAGACTCCAAGAGACTTGGGAGCTGACATCACTGTATTATTTTTAATCCTATAAACAGGTTAACTCTGGAACCAAATACATGGGTGGACACTCTGATGTCGTCTTTGGATCTTTGACTTGCAATGACAAGGAATTGTATGACAGATTGTTCTTCTCTGCCAAATCATAAGGAGGATGTCCAAGTGTTTTTGATTGCTATCTCATTATGAGAAGTTTGAAGACCCTAGAGTTGAGAGTCAGGTAGGCTACAAAGAATGCTTATATCTTTGCTAAGTATTTGGAAGGCAATCCCTTGGTTGAGAAAGTTATTTACCCTGGATTGCCCTCTCATCCATAACACGAATTGGTCAAAAAACAATAAAGAGGAGGTGGAGCCATGATCAGCTTTTATGTTAAGGGAGGATTTGAAGAAACTAGTAAATTATTGAAGGCCTTAAAAATATTTACACTCGCTGAATCCTTAGGAGGAGTTGAAAGTATATTAATATCTTTAACCACTTATCTAGGTTTAATTGAAGTACCATCAGTCATGACTCATGGATCAGTACCTGCTGATGTCAGAAACTAATTGGGAATTACAGACAATTTGGTTAGAGTGTCAATTGGTATTGAAAATATTGAAGATTTGATAAATGATATGGAAGACGCACTTAAAGCATCACATTGAATATATATTAAGTAATGTCATATATACACAAGTATTAATTAGTCATTCTAGTATTCATAATTTTGCCCCATTTTTAATACTCTAACTAATTAATAATAACATTGTCTGTAATTAATACGAGTTGTTGTCTATTCAAATGGACATCAATATTACTTATTATTTTATTCAGATCCTTAATTGTCTTTCAAGTTCTCTTTCGATATCGGTGTTTCAAATTTGAAGCTCTCTCTGTCTTTCAACAATTTGATTATTATGCTATTATTAAAATTCTTTATTAACATATATAACTTAAATATTTCTATATATATTTAAGATATGATTAATTTATAGTGTTATGCTATATTTCTCCAAATCCTTTACCTTGTAAATCTCTTGATATTAATTCATAAAAAACTCATTATAATTAAATTTTAAACACCAAATTTTAAATTCTATTGATATCAAAGTAAATAGTGAAGGAAAATGTAAAATCAAATTTCTAGTAAATAATTAACCTTAGTTGAAGAATATTGAAACTGGTCTGAAAGTTCTTTGGGCTAATATTCTTTTCATAAAACTTAGACACAATTTTCTATAATATAATTTAAATTAGAATTTATATTTTAATTTTTTAAATAATATGTTATTATTGATCTTTAATCTAATTCAGCATGCAAACTCTAATTGTAAATAAAATACTTAGCAAATTTTCATGTATATTTATGTTTAAGAATTATGTTGGGATTGTGTTCAGCTTCTAACGAAAACTAATTCTATATAGAAAATAATTACACTGATGCGTAATTATGACACTAATATTAGCAACCTCATTAATTTTCAAATCCACTATAAACCTGTTTTTGATGGTGCACTAACACTGAATTACAGTTGCATTACGTTAGCGATTCTAAAATTTGGTAGAGTTTTAATGTACAAAAAAAGAACAACTAATAATTAATTATATAAATACAATCAAAGTGCCTAGGTTCAGATAATTAATAATTTAAGATTATCACAGATTTAGTGTGTTATAGGAGATAAATAAAGGAGTGGAGATTTCAAATTATCTAATAATGATGATTATGATATTATTGATGCTTATTTTCTTAATTAATTAGTTTACATGAATACTGGTAATTAAGATTATATATATATATATTTTAAATATAATTAATATATGGATCAGAGTATGTTTGAGTAATTTGGGGGTGATGGGTCGATATCAGATTTGATAGATTAATTTTATTATAAGGTGTTATTCGATCAAAGTTTGAGAAGCATGTTTTTAAAAGCAGACATGACTAGAGTCAGATTGTAATAAAAGACCTTTTTCGCTTAAATGTTCGGTTGCATTCACACCAAATACACTGGAAAGTATTATTACTAATGAATATACAGAGATCTAATAGAAGTGCATAAGAATTTGAGCATAACTGATCAATAATTTGATAGATTCTTACATCATCTTAAAAGTATTTTAGCCGACATGAATAAACCGTAAGAATTGATAGATTAAATATTGAAGAAGGTCGACAGCCATAGAAATTTTATTGTGTTTAAATGATATATTCATTATTTTTTTCTTCTATTATCCAAGTCTTTAAAATTCTATTCTTCCAATTACAATTTGGCTCTATAAAAAGATAAAATAATTTATACTTTTGTGCATCCTCCATCTTTTGACTCTTCATAAATATGAGATCATCTCTTTTGGTAGTATCAGATTCTAACACTTCTTAAGGCGAGATCCATGGCTTCTTTTCTTCGTCTATTTACCAAAGTTTCTCTTCTCCAAAGAGCAATCCTTCCAACCAGGATCCGATTCCTTATTAAAGAAGAGTTCTACAATAATAAATATATAGTATTACTCTGTTTTATTTCCATTTTCATCAGTTTGCACTTCAAAAATGTCTACTTCTACAATGTCGAAGATTTTGGCTTATTCCTAAGACTTGAAGAAAGAAGTAATTTTGGACATCATCCCTTCAGCATTGTAATTGAATGTAATAACTGATTTCACACCAGGTCCTTCTATAACCATCTTGCCTTGCCAATTCAAAAGTCGATCTCCCATCACCAATCCAGTTATTTCCCTTAATTTTATATATTTAGAGTTCAATACATAGTTGGTCTCTATGCACACTTATACACAGCACCATTATTGAAGATTATGGTTTATCTACCATTCTGCACTCCTGTTAATGAATTGACAGTCTTGTGCACTTAAATTTCTAATCTGTCATCTCCGTATATTTTATAATTATTTCCCTATATGTAATAAAAACATATTGGTGGATCGAAAGAAGTTTATTCTGCAAAAAATTATGTGCCATCCTCTTTCACCAACTACACTCATAGATACTATAACATTACTTAAATTGTCTCTCCCACTAATGGATCCAAAGGCGATTTCATCTTTGTAATCTCCCCATTGCAATGCAATCCGGATATCTATGTAATGATTGCTATTCTTACTTGATAAGCCGAGATATATTTAATTTATTCCATTGGTGACAACTGACTGCATCTCTCCAATAAATTACCGAATGTGTGTCCTCTTGAGTTTATATTATTATTTTTTACAAAGCCACTCCATGTAAAAAACTCATATCCAAAGACATAGCAATGGGCTTGCTAATTTGCATCAATGATCCGAAATTTCCTGTTATCAGCTTCCCACTTAATTATTTAAACACACTTGCTGCCACTTTTTAAGTTTCAGAATTCTCTTCACCAAATGATAAGTTAAGACCTCCTAACGTTATATTAAACATGCACTAACCTTATTAATGAGCTGCCTTGTGTCTATATGCGGGAAATTGTTGAGCTTATTATACATTTTGAGTGTCATTCTGTTTTTTAAATCCAAACCACATCTTATTAAAAAGATTTGATATTAATAATATTATTTAACAATATTTAACAATATAATTTTTGAATACCAATATTATAAAACAATCATTTTAATTAATTATTTATATTAATAATCTCATAAAGACTTAGAAAAATTATAACATTTGATATTACTTTTTTATATTAAACAATTTTCAATTAACTTACTTAATGAATTGATTCGAATTCCACCTTCAATCTTTATCTAATTTGAAATTTATTTCTTTCTATTTGATAAGCATTATCAATTAGAGAAAATTCAAATGTGGAAAACTATTTTTGTAAATCATAAAAGCAAATGTTTCTTATATTATTATATAAAAATGAATTGAGAAAAATTATTTATTCATTAATTCAAATTAACCGAAAAAATGATGTTTTGATGAATTATTCATCAACCAAGTATTGTATTTTTTGGGTATTCATGGTTCAGCTATGATGAATCATATATTTATATTTTTTTTTAAATACACTTCTTAGAAAAATATTAAATGATAAACCAATAGCTAAATGGTATCTTACTATTATTGAGCCTACCAATATATTATGCTCCAATTTATGATATAAAATTAATCATCAATCTCAGAATTCAAATTTTTTCTATTATTAGAAATAGAGAAATTAAAAAAATTGTTTTCCTAACATAAATTAACCTTTTTGTACTATAAGAGAAATAGAGAAATGTATTTTTGATTTATTAATATTTTTAATTAAATACCACAAATCATAATTCTATTCTGATTGAAGAGAGTAAAACAAATTAAATGAATGTGGAAAAACCTATCTGCATTCACAAAACAAAACTACCATAAGAAAATATTGCAGAACATATATTAATACCTTTTTCATTCACTTTTCAAATTAACATTTAATATTGGTTTAAATTAATGTCAAACTTGATAATTCTAATTTACAGCATTTGAGGTTAATAGCTCATTCACAAGTATCAAAGAAACCAATATTACAATTCAAGCTAATATGGCAATTTTTAATTTTATTTGTTATTTCCACAACTCATTCAATGAAAATTTAATTTTTAATTAGATATATTAAATTAAAATCTTAATGTATTTAATAACTTCTATTGCCAAAAATGTAATTCCAAAAAAATTGAAGAAGAGGCAAGATAAAATGCTGCCAAATATGTGGAAATGCATAGCAGAACAATCCATACCAACGATGAACTGAAGTAACAATATATTAAAAAATTAAATGATCTTCAGGTAGGCCTAATTTAATATTTTTAGAAATAAATAAAGAATATCACCTCTTTTATTGAACAATAAAGTTCGATATTAAAACAAAATATTAATAAGGCTAATATGCTTTTAAACTAATAATTAGTTTTGGATTCTCAATCCATTGATAATTTAATGATTTTCCTGACTTTAAATGAAGAAACTTAAGAAATTATCTAAAATAATTATAAATGGATCAATAATTGTTTAGAAAGATAATTCAATTATGAATTTACTGAAATTGTATATTCAGTGAACTAATTTATCAACACAGAATTTGAATATGATGTTGTCCCATTTTATGAAGAAGAATATTGAAAAAAAATGGATTAAATTCATTATAGCCAAACCTACAAGGAGGGAAAAACCTTTATTTGTACACATAAGGATAGTTTAGAAAAGAAAAAACAAGAAAAAATGTGTTGTAAATGGTCCATTACTACTCATGTTGCCCATAAAAAGACGGGTTTGTAGACCATTAAAATTAAATTAAAGCTCAATAATCTAGAATTGCATAAATAAGAAGTTTATAGGATAATTGATTAAGCGCTAGCAGCAAATCAATAAAATCAATAGGAAACTTTCTAAAGTTTTTAAAGAACGAGAAAACAACTTATAGTATTGGAAGCCCAAACTAAGATTGATCCTTTTAATAACATTCCAACATTGATTTTTAATGGTATTGATTGGAATTTATTACCCTATGATGTTGAGATGATCGAATAATAAATTTAATCTAAATAAAAGGAATTATAATTTTCAATAGAATAGGAGAAAACAATGAGATATTTGCAATGTTCAAAATAAAAGACAAAGTAAACTTCAAAATATGTAGAGTTTATACTATTATATAATCATAATATTAATTATATTATATAATCCTGTAAAGGGATAAAAACTTAATCTATAATATTTTATTATTAATCATAATCTTATTTTTTACCTTAATTTTGGTTAGTTCTTAAAGTATATTCTTCGACTGTAGTCTTTACTTTTCATTCTAACTTTTCTAACCAAAAAGACATACAAAAGAGTTTTTCCATTTATGACAATTGCTTATTTTAAAGAAAAACGTAAAAATTACCATTCTTCCCCCTCCTCCCTTTCAAAATGGGCAATATTATTTCAGAAGCTATTCTAAGGTTTCTTTAAACGAATTAAATAATCAATAAATTTATTTCAAATCGATGGGGGAAGGCCTTCCCGTTTTTATGCTATTCTCCTTAGCTTTTAAATTGATTACTTCTTATTTGTAAATTTATCCCCTTGATTTTAATCTACATATCCTTTAACATCTCGATTTTTTTTGATACTAATTTTCAAATTTGTAGAGAAACTCATCCAAATAGTTATTAAAATATAGAGAGAAAATGTTAAATTTACACAACTTTATTCAATAGCCATAAGTGTTTAATAATGTAATGAATCTTTTAAAAAAGAAGTTTGAATGCCTGAACCGAGAGTTTTACTCGTTAGTAATGTTTTTAGAATAAAGTATAAGGTATTCAATTATAATTTAAGTTCTTTTGCCACTAATTAAATCCTTTTTTGAATCTTAAAAAGTTCCACTTGTAATAATGCAAATAGGAAGCAAATCGAAGCTCGAAAAACTTAAAAGGTGGACTCAAGCTGCGTTTGTGGAGGCATAACTGTATAACCCTTATTTAATGGTAGAAGCTGAGCTACTCTTAAGTAGATGTTGGTCTCTCAAACTGTTTTAAATAACTTCTGAAGTAGTTCAAAGGATTTGTTTTATCGAGAAAGTATCTTAACTGTTGAAGAGTTAAATTAAGGATTTTTAGAGATTTGAAAATTTGAAAATTTTTATTTTAATTCTTTCAATTAGAATGTGAAGCTACATCATCAAGCATCTTATCCAAAATACTATTATATGATAGAATTTTGAAATACTTATTGGTCTTTATTATTGAATACCTTTGTTCTTTCTTAAGTTTATCCTGACATATTGAAAGAAAATCGAATATTTAAATTATATGTTCTTATTAATTAAAAATAAATGCGATTTCCTTACTAAAATTTTATCTTCTTTTAGTTTAAAACATTTGTCTATTAATTTTGTTTAGGTTCTTTCAAAAATTACAACATTCCTAAGCATTATATTTCAATGGGTGTAGGGTATAACTTTAGTCACATATTAAAGTTATTTTTATTGAAAATGCCTCTAGATTTAGATAATATTGGGTACAATTAGGTCTATCAATTGTTAAAGCAATATTTTTAGATTTTTGGACTAGATCATCTTGATCGTTAATCTTCATCAAGTTTATTCGTATAATTATATTCTCTAAAGGATTCCTCTTATTTCTTGCAGGTGAATTAATTGCAGTTGATCGATTTTGTGAGTTTTAAGTATCATTATTTACTAGAAGGGGTTAATTATATTAGATAATTCTGAGTTCACTGTTTTTAAATTTGATTTGATTAATTAAAGTATTTTCACAATGGGAATGGGTGACTACCTCATCTACATAAATATTAATAATAATAACTAGCATAATTTAGAAAATTAGCCTATTGAAAATATGAATTATTATGATAAAGAATTTCTTACAAATAAAAATTATTATATTTTATTCTAAATTGAACTCTGTTTTGCATATTTGTTTTCTCATTAATGTGTAAATTAGCAAGTATCTTCGCCTCGAGCATAACAAAATGCGCCCTTTATAATTTGTTCTCATTTGATGGAATTGCAAGTCTGCATAAGATTAAAATTAACATTTAAAAAAAATAGAGATTAATTACTTGTTGCTAAAACTATTATAAATTATTAAACGAGTACCAATCTACCAGTATCTATCTCATTTAAAAACTTATGAGTATTATTCTCATGAGAATATATAATTTTCTGTATAGATGATTATAAAAATAATAAATTCATATACTAATAGATAGAATTATACTAAGAACATCATATTAATTATTCATCTTCTATTATTTTTGTATTATAATATCAATTCTAAATTTTCTTATTCCTAATATAAAAACACCATATCTGAATAAGCACATTCACGATTAGTTTAGTAATTAATTAATGCTATTTTAAATTCCCTTTATAATCCATAATTATACCTAGATATTTATATTTATAGATTATAGGTAGATCGTTCATTTCTAGTTATTACATATTGTATTTGATTGGCATTATTCCAGACTTTGTGTTGTTAATATGCAGTTCCCATTCTTGTGAAAGCTAATTTAAAATTTGTACAAAGCCTTGTATTTGGCATTTGTGTAAAATAAATGCCAGGTCATCTGCATAACTTAATGTTTGTACTTCAGATCCAGTTTTTCAGATAATTTTTTCAGAAAATTATCCATGTATACATTAAATACTAGAGTGAATATAGGAGAGCCTTACGGGACTCCATTTTTCTAATGAAATTCTTCTTACATATTGTGTGCATGGATATATAATATATTACTGTGTATTGCTTGTAGAAATCTTATTTCTTCATCAGGTAAAATGTTATACATTAACAATTATTAATATAATCGATATCTGTCAATAGTTTTATATGCGCTGGAAAAGTCAACAAAGATGATGACTTTTTGATTTTTTTTATTGTAATTTTTTTATATATCCTTAATTAATAACAAATTGGTTTAAGTGTCGTACCTTTCTATGAAGCCAGTTTATTCTTTTTATATTTTATTTATCATATAATCCATAATTATTAATAGAATCTTAGCTCTATTAATTTAAAAGGGGACTTAGTATCACTAGTGGTCGAAATTGTTCTTTTTTAGGAAATTTGGATGAACTTTGTTTAGGGGAATGAGTCTTACCCATCCTAGCTTTTTGTTAACTTCAAAAGTCTTGGGTCCCCAGATATCTCTTAAAAGGTTCCATTTAAATTCTTTATCATCTAATAAGTTATGCAATCGTATGATATTGCTTTGTCAAATTCTATTTGTTTCTGTAATTCTAAAATCTGATTTTATGTTATTTTATTGATTTTGAAAACTTTCCTAATAGCTCGAAACAATTAGAATATACTTTAAGGCCAGCGACCAGTTCTTAACTTTCGTTTAATAGCAATTGTAGAATCCCCATTTCTTTTTTCTTTATTTTTTATGATGTTTTCTTCAATAATTTAAAAAAGGATTTTCTAATTTCTGAAAATAGATTCTGAATTAATTCTATGGCGAGATGGTTTTATGAAGTTGTTTATTTACTATAGTCTGATTCTTTTTATATTTATTATCTTCTTTAAGTGGTGTTTATAAAATGAATCAATGTCTTCATGTAAATTCTATATTTTAAAAGATTCTGTTATTGCTTTTTTTTTATCAATATATATTATTTCAGAGTCGATTCTCTTTAGCTTTTTCTCTATTTCTAATTTTGTCTCAATCAAAAAATGATCGGATTCTTTATACCAATAAGACTAAATTTTAGAATGTGATCAGTTTATGATCGTATAATTCTATTTAAATTTTATCTTTATGTTGTTGTGTTTTGGACTAGAACATTGAGGAATGGAATAGGGTTTTATCATAATTGAAGTGTCCACATATTAGTAAAGTCGTTTATTATCCTATTTATTCTATGGTTTTAATAATATTTGTTTGAAGTTTTGCATATTATTTTAAAACTACTATCTACTGTGGAAGTAGGCATTTATGGTAACCAATTCTATAATTTGATTTACTATTCTAAGTATTAGAATATCATATGGTAAATTATTTTAGGGATAATAATAGTTAGTGATATTTTGTGAATAGAATTATTTATGAACTCCTATTATTATGCCTCCAGATCTTTCAGTATTTTGGCGAGCATAGTAATATGTATATCTAACTGAGTTTTCTACTTGTTAGCCTTTCATCTCTTACAAGCAGATTATGTGTGGACTGTGTGTTTCTATTATAAATAATTTATTCATTGTTAATGAACTGATGTTCCAGTTCACGACATTTAATTTTGTTTATATATTTATATCATTCATGGAGGTGTTTAAATTTTGCTTTTCTCATATTTTATTCCCTCCTTTTTAAAATGTATTTACTTTATTGATCTTTGTTTCTTTCCCATTATGATAATTCTTGATATGCTATTAATAGGAGTGCTATGACTTTTTAGCATTTTTTACAAAGTAATTAAACTTCAAATTGTTCTTCGCTATCGTTTGAGGTATGATTATCAAAAATTACTTGTGGGATGATTGGTATTATATTACTTGTGTTTCTCTTAAAGCTTATTACTTTTATTCATTTATTAATATTCAATTTTGTTTGTCTTCTATGTGTGTTTTGTTTATGTTTGAATTCGTTTATTTTCATTATTGATTTTTTGTTCACCCAAATGATTGTTATGTAGCTTTCTCTTTAGAGGTGAGAATTATCCAAATTTTTCATAAAGCGATTGTTTCGTTATTTTTGTCTATTTTTTTTTCCTGACTCCAACCAAGACTAAATTTACTCAAGTGGCCAGGAATTAGGCCCACCCTAGATATAGAAGGTATCAAAAGTCTATAGAAGATTGGAAAGCCATTGACTGGATACTCAGGTAATAAATTTGCAGACTGTGCTTAAATTGCTGCTTCATTTGTTTCTCCTGATGCACAATTATAAAAGATAAAAAAAATAATCGAAACAATTATTTAATACAAATGATAAAAATTCATTAGGCTATTAATTGTATAATTAAAGACTAATTAACATAAATGTTGTGAGTGAGTCATCTTAATGTACTCTCTTATTGTAAGAAGGAAAGGGTTTATGTTATCATCAAAAAAAGTTGAATTTTTTTGAATTAACAATACTCAAATAATTAATCTATTGAAGACAGGCACTTAATTTATTGTTATAATTTCAGAACAATGAATAGAAAATACCTTTAATGTTATTGAAGAGATATTAAATCATCAAATTATATATATATTATTATTTGTTTTGGTTTAATTTGAGAATTATTTCATAATAAATTTTATTTTTGCAGCCACAAGAGCAAATACAAGATCTAGTTTTTATTAATTTTTATATTATTACCAAATATCGAATTCTATAATGATAAAAAAGTGTGAGTCTCATCAGAAGTATGAAGAAAAATTTATCTGCATTCACAAAACAAGGCTATTGAAAGAAGGTAACAAGTTTTCCTGCCTCAAATGCTTAAAATGGAAAAAATCAAATAATTACCTAAAAAGTATAGAAGAACTTGAAGAAGAGGGTAGAGAAAATGTAGCCAAATTTCTAGTAATGCAAAACAAAATATTCAATATCAATAATGAAATGAAGTAAAAATATATTCAATAATTAAATGATCTTGGCCAAAAATTCGATCACTATTTTTAAAAATTATAAAAGTCCATCACTTCTATCATAGAACAACAAAACCAAAAATTGACTCAAAATATTAACAAAGCAAATTAACTGTTAAACGAATAATCTGTTTTAGATTCTTAATCCATTGATAATTTTATAATTTTCACTACTTTAAATGAAGAAAATTAATAAATTCTTGAAAATAAATATACTTAGATCAATAATTGTTTAGAAAGATAATTCAAATACGAATTTGCTGAGATTTAATTGAAAGTAAACTAATTTACAACGATAGAATTTAATTTTGATAGCGTTCCAGTATATGAGGTAGAATAATTTGAAATTCAAACTGTGGGCAAAAAAAAAGATTAATTGCCTTTTTGCAAAGAACACTAGTTGGAAAAAAACTGTATTTGTACACACGAGGATTGTTTAAAAGAGCAAAAAAATGAATATATTTGCCTAGGATGTGCTATGAATAATCATGAATACCATTATAAGCGGAACTTTGTAAGAACTTTAAAAAAAATTAAGAATGAGTAATCTGAGAAACTTAAATTAATTGAGGAATAAAATAAAATTTTTAAATAAGAAGTTGATAGCAGAATTGATTAAGAATTAACAGCAAATTAATAAAAACAATAGGAAATATTTATTGGTTCTTAAACTATTAGAGAAAATCTAAAATTATTGGAAACCAAGACTAAAATTGATTCTTTTAATCAAAATCCAATTTATATTTATCATAGTATTGACTAGAAGTTATTATCATATGATTCTGAAATGATCAAATTAGAGTTTTAATCCAAATTAAATTAATTAGAATAATTATAATCAAATATTTCAAAAATTAAAAAAGAGGAGTTTAATTAACAATATTAAAATATTGAAGAATAAACATAAAATTTGAAACAAGAAACATTTAGATTAAGGTAATTAGTGCTTTAATAAGAAACCAAAATTTCAGAGTTAGGAAATGAATTAAAAGAAACATCAAATGAGTCAATCATTGCAGAAATCCAAAAATCCTAAAAATTTTTCATACAAGAATCCTTTGAATACTATAATAATAAATCTATTGAGATAAAGAATTATATCAAATCTTAAGTTGAATCTATTCAATTGAATATTTTAGAAAGTAAATAAATCACTTCTCTGTAATAAGACTTAAAAGTTAATATAGAAACAATTAACTATATTAAATAATAAATGGAAACTATTCCAAAGTCTGTTATAGAAAGTGAACAATTTATGACTTTGTCATAAGATTTAAAAAATACTTTAGCGACAATAAATTAAGTAAATTCATAAATTGGAACTGTTCCTAAGTCGGTTATTGAGAGTAAAGAATTTACTACTTTTTAATAAGATTTGAAAAATGCTTAAACAGCAATTAATTAAGTAAATTCATAAATTGGAACTATTCCAAAGGCTGTTATTGAAAGTAAAGAATTTACTACTTTGTAATAAGATTTGAAAAATACTTAAACAGCAATTATTTAAGTAAATTCATAAATTGGAACTGTTCCCAAGTCTGTTATTGAGAGTAAACAATTTACTACTTTGTAATAAGACCTCAAAAATAGTTAAATGACAATAAATTAATTAAATTCATAAATTGGAACTATTCCAAAGTCTGTTATTGAAAGTAAACAATTTACTACTTTGTAATAAGACCTCAAAAATAGTTAAATGACAATTAATTAAATAAATTCATAAATTGGAACTGTTCCAAAGGCTGTTATTGAAAGTAAAGAATTTACTACTTTGTAATAAGATTTGAAAAATACTTAAACAGCAATTATTTAAGTAAATTCATAAATTGAAAATGTTCCAAAGGCTATTGTTGAAAGTAAACAATTTACAAATTTATAATCTACGATAGAAAATTCCTTTAACTAAACTTAGATGCAGGTTTAGAAGATAGAAAATTCTATCAATGAATAGAAAAATTCTTTGTATTCATATTAATTATTCGAATCAAAACCTTAAGTTCAGATTCCTTATTCTAGAATTGATAGTTGTAAGGCTAACATCAATAATATTAATCAAAATTCTGCTAACAACTCGGCTAACAAAAAAAATTGAAAGAAAATATAAGCATCATTTATATTATTATGAAAAGATAAATATTTTTATCCATTTTCTCTAATGAACACTATTTTCATAGTTTTGCTTATACGCAATATTAATAATTGAATTTATATTATTTATTTATTTTTAAAGGAATTAATAGCGATTAAGTGTTAAACTATTAATAAGAAATTATGAGCAAATATAAATCTATCAGAAACCATCGCAAAATTATTATGTGGAAATGCAAGACTCTTTATTATGTTTAGACCCTAATAGTATTCTATTAATTCTTCAATATCTGTGATGTCCGATTCTAAATTAATTAAAACATTATACAAAACCTCTAAACCCGAATATGCAAATCTATGCCGAATATATAATTTATTAATAAATATAATCTAATGAAGAATTCAGTAGATATTATATGTAGAGTCCACACTAAAATTAGTTTAACAATTGTATTGGAGTTTATATTAATTTGATAAATTTTATTTTATTTCAATGATAATTTACCTCCAAACTTAATAGATAATCTATAATTTTAATCAAACCACTCTGGTAGTTTCTCGTTCAAATACTAAACTTTATGCAAGTATCTTATTTGAGCCGTCTTTAGGATTTCAATAAATATACCTTTACAAATGTCACCATTTTGGATAAATCAATTCTTATTCATCCATATAACACTTTATCTCTATGATAACCCTTTTCAAAGTCATATAAATAATTTATAAATAGTATATTTGACAAAATACAATTAAATGTTGCATTAACAAGTTGGATCATAACAGCCTATTAGCAATCCATATTTTAGATATATAAATAGCATTATTATTGTTTCAGTCTTTAGGTAACAAGTTGACATCATTGGATCAAAGTTAAATGCCATAATAAGAATCAATCCTTCATTTGATGAAAAGAAGGAGAATAAGCCATCAAAAATATAAAGCAAAAAAATTACTAAAATTAAATTGTAAATTTACTAAAGTACCAATAAAAGTAATTCTTCACCCTAAACACTTCAATAAAGGTCTAACTTAAATAATAAATGTGTTTTATTAGAAATTTTAATGAGAATAACAGCGAAAGATAATATTATGGACAAAATAAATCATAATTACTAATATGTTTCAGTTCAATTTGGACGAAAGTGAATTGCTAATGCAAATAGGCATTTAATAACTTGAAACCTTATTCCATAAATATGAATTCTGAGAATATAACTTTACATTAAGTGTCTATTTATTGTTATGAATAAAGCAAAAAACCTTTTTTTTCTCCTAGATTTTGGATTGGACCTTATTGTAATAAGTTTGAAGTGTAAAAAATAATAAGTTTTCATAATCTATATACGATTTTCTTAACAATTTTTTATACATATGATACAGGATACAAATATTAGCATTCCCTAATTGTTTCAACAATCACCATCGACTAACATGATTAAATTTATTTGACCTGTTAAGAAATTTCAAACCTAAATATACTAATTGTGTTTTAAAGATATACAAAATAGTATTTAAAAAAAGTTTAAAACAGAATTATCAAAAAGCAAAAAATGGTTGACATGTTTAAAGCTATTAATTTAAATGATAATATAAAAATATATTGTGTTTAATCTAAAGATAATATAATTATTGGAAGTCCATAAATTGAAGCATATATTAATCTATTTAAGTAATCCATAATACAGATAGACGATAAAAGATATGAGTAGCATTAATATAAATATTAGTTATTTGAGTTTACATTAAAATTTCTAATTGACTTCAATGAACGATCTCATCTATTGATCAAAATTACAAACAATCTTTGATCATCTATTTTAATGATATGTTTAAGGATTGAAATATTAATCTGATATCTAATTGTTGAGAAGTGTATTAGATGTGTAATAGTGCCTATTGTACAATAATATTAATTATAATAATTTATCTAATTCAGATATATATGAATTCTTAAAAATCACAAGAATGTGAAGGTTTCAGGTTGATAGATGTTGATAGTTCGTACAAGAAGATAAAGGAATTTTAGGAGAGTTAAGAATTGATTAATTTGGATGATTCATGCATTTAGAAGGTAAGAGGAGAAGTATTAATATGTAGATGGCTCAAAATGACGAATGGATTGATTGTTTATGTATTTTGGAAATAGAATTAAAAGCAATATTGTTGGACAGAGTTAACAACATATCCATTTTGCCGCAATATTTGAGACAAAGATTATAACCATTCATTATATTTATTATGAACTAAATGTATAATATTTTCTATGAATTAGAGTATTTATTCAGAATCGAATGAAGTTACAATGTTATCTAAATGAGATTCTATTTTTGGTTTAGAAATTGGCATTCAAAATATGGAAACAATATCCTATTTAATCGCTTCAATTCTTTTATTTGGTGATTCCATCACATGTTACCTAATTTTACAACAGTCGAGTATCGGAATTATTAATTTATAAATCTCTCATCAATCAGTTCTATTATGAGAGACAGGTTTACGGCATCTAAAACTAAGCTGAGAGTTACATTAGCAATTCTCAAATACAATTATTTTACCCTCTTCAATAGGAGATTCTCAGTCAACGCAACTTAGCCGAGAATGTGCTTAGTTTTTCACCATTTTTACGTATGCAAATTCATTACTTTTATAAGAATGGTGGTTTTGAACGTATAAATGAATCTTTATCTAATTTCACTCTCAAACATATAGATGCCTTATCTCTTTTAAGTTATTTTAAAACTAATATCAATGAAAAAATATTTACGACTTTCTTTCAACACATTAACTATTAATAAGTTGCCTTTTAATTGTGTGATGAAGATATTAAAAATGCGAGCAAAGAAACATTCGCAAAATTTAATGCATACATCGCAAACCTAATATCATTCGTTACTTCCTTTTCAGAGCAAAAGGCTTAGATAAATCTAGTGTATATGACTATTTATTTGCAATGCCTCCGTTGTTCTTCACTCCAGAAACGTATATATGGTAATCAGCATAAAATGTATTTTATTAGGATTGCAATCACTGTCCAACATGATCGACACACAGGGAAGTTATATTCAGTATTCGTAGGTGACCAGAAACTTCTTGAAATTCCTTGTGGATAATCAAGTGTTCTAGGATTTATTCGGAGAGAAAACCCATTTTGAATTGATCAAACGATCCTTCCCTCTAATTAAACTCCTTTATGAGAATAAAAGTTTAAAAAGAGAGGAATTAATTAGTATTCTCAGATTGGCCAGAGGTAAACATGAGACCTGGATTAATATAATTTCAACCTTATTATAGGATCTTGCAGAAATATTAAATTTGGAAGATATTCAGATCTTGTTGCAAAATATCCAGTCCAACTAAATCGGTTTGGATGGTCTCAATTTCATAAAGAGTTTGGGTCGAAACAAATACCTAAACAACAGGTAAGATGCCCAAGACTCCAATGTCACTGATAATAAGTATAAAAAATAAAAGCTTACTGATGAAGATTACAAGGTGATATCAGTTGGGAATTGTGAAGATTCTAAAAATTAATGCTAGTCTGATTAACAGAATGCCTAACAATAAACAACCTAATATGAAGACATTAAGGCCTAAATTGTGGAATACCTATTAAATGTGGTTCATGATCAACATGATACCATCATAGGTGAGACAGCATTTGAGATTGCCACTTAACTAATTTGCCGTCAATTCACATTTCTGAGAATCTAATATTTGATGAATGCAATACAGGCGTTGAATTTGGATTAAGCTCAATTGCCTATCCAGAATTACTTTAATTTGATAAAAAAAATCATTGAATCCTCCTATCCGATTGAGCAATTCTCCAATCCGGATGATGTGTTGAATTGGATGTAGTAATAGTATAATTTAAAAATCAACTTTTTGAATTTGATAAAAAGAGAAAAATTAAAGTATCTTTATAGAGAGGAAAAAGAATACTTGTAGGTGATTATTCAATGTGTTAATTTCTATAAATTTTTACATAAGAATAGTAAAATTAAACAATATGAATTATAGATACTATGGAAATTGCTAGTTGAAAATGCAAGATGTTTGGAGGAGAGAGACTTGTTTTTCGACTGGTTCTATGAATAACTAAATTTAGATTATGATGCAATGATGTGGTTATTCATCAAAATAATCAAATAAATTCCATTGTCATAATCAATGCTTAGATGTTTAATAAAATTGGTTCTGTATTACAATCAAAAATACAAGTTATTTAAAGTGAAATATGAGAACTATCAATTAAATAACTACGATCTGATAGGTCTTAACATATTGTGGAGGATATTTCACACTCACCCTGATTTGTACAATCAACTCTCCGAATTCTTCATTAAACTATTAAAGATGGATCAATACCCTGATGTGCTCAATCATTTGAAACAGCAATATCTAGATGAACTCTTTTCACACATCCAAAATCCCACTTCTATCTAATTTGTTCTACAACTATTGGAAGAGTTTGAAGGATACAAGATGATTGAATAAGAAGAGAAGATTATTGTAACAATCCTTAACAAGTGTGCAAATGCCTTGAATCCCAAAAAATAGGAAATCTAATTGCAATCTAATACACAGGTTTATTAGGCTAAACAATTCATAGGAAAGAAATTGAACCCTTCGATGAAACCAGAAGAATTTGATATCTTTTGCAGAGGCTCCTTGTTCAAAGACAATAAGACCCTCAAAGATTACAAGGTGAACGAGAAGTTAACCTTCACCGTCACAAATAAATAGGGTTTCAATAACGACTTTGAACCTTGTGAACAATATGACTTAGATGTCCATGAGAAAGTGAATAAGATTCTAGACATTGTCGACATTCAGAACAAAAACTTTATCATATCAGTTTTGAAGGATAAGAACTTTGATGTAGAAAATACCATAGGAGAACTCATTGACCGAGGCGATTAATTATATAATGAGTATCAATAGAAGAATCTGAATAGAGCACCACCTCCAAAAAAAATAGAAACCAACACTTCGTTTTCTTTTCTAATTTCAAATTAATATATAGATTAATTATTCAACTTATTGAATTGCAACAACCAACAATTGAATACTAAAATATGGAGTATCTTGCAAATGATTCCCAGTAATCAGGAAGTATATTAATTAATTGAATAATCACAGAATGATTGGAGTAAGTTGTTAGTTGTTGATAACAAATATCGATTACAATATCATTTACAAATATTAAGGGAATAATTGTCATGTGATTGTGTAGAAGATGAAGATAATTACAGAATATTGAGATATAATTTCATATAAATTGGTGGTTTACAACTGTTATTGAACAATCTTGATAACCCATTAGAAATATTACTCATAATATTTTATATATTTCATATGTATTTGAATATTTATGCTGCCAATTAACTCACAGACAATAGTTATTTGATGCTTCTTAAACCAAAAACCAATGATCAAGTTATGAGTAATTTTGCTTCCTAGGACATCATTCAAGACTATTAGTCTTAATCATTATTTAAATTTTAAATTTTTGATATTGAGATCAACTGGGAGAATTTATTGAATAAATTATTCAATTGGATAGGTATTGAACGATGCTACACCACTATACTCAGTATACTATTTGTTTAACCTACTTTATTGAATTGCTAATTTCCAATTAATTAATTGCTAAATTTATTGAATAATCCTTTGTTGGAACAACGTAAATTGGCAGCAAATTTCATAGTCACATTAAATGATCTTGGCATTAAATTTGGATACAACTTGAGCGTTCAATTTCTGCCAATATTGATTTAAGGACAGACTGAATACGAAGAATTATTCATAGTTATTGCAGATTTAATTGATTAAACAAACGACGTGTCCTTTTTGTAAACTCAGGAATTGGGTTTGAAAATCATAAATTTCATTTTGAATAGGCCAATAATTGAATCACCATTTATGGAGAACGAAGATAAAGTATTATAAGGTAATTTAGTGTTGCTGATATCTTTGTTGAAGAAGGATTAAGACTTATAAAATAATCTAATTGATAATCAATTTTCTAAATATATTTATGAGTGTTTGTTTGAAATGCACAACAATTATTTACTCTACCCAGTGTATAAGAGGAGTAATACAAGGAAGAGAGCTTTCGATTTATTGTTAGAGTTAAGCAAAGTCTAAATGCATCTCTATTAAATACTAGATCTAATTCAAATCAATCAGCAAACCAGAACAAGTTCTCAAGAATTAAATTCAGAATTTGGCATCAAAAGAGAACATGGATTTGTAGGTCTCTGCAACTTAGGAGCGACTTGCTATATCAATTCGTTACTTTAGCAATTGTTTATGAATATCCAATTTCGAAAAGGTATTTTGAATGGGCAAATTCTCATCAAGACTGAGCTTGGAATGTAACTCATAATAACAAATTACGCTAATCAAGAGCAGATCGAAAGTTTGAATGAACACACCTTATTCCAGTTGTAATTGGTATTCATTTAACTCTAAGAATCAGTCAAGCAATACATCAATCCCAACTAGTTTATTAAGACACTCAAAGGCTTTGATGGTTAATAGATCAACCCTCTGATTCAGGAGGATTGCAATGAATTCTTTAATTTGTTAACTGGAAAGTTAGAATAGGATTTGAAGCATACTGTCGAATAGAATCTCATACAACAGAGTTTTGGAGGTACTTTGGTAAATGAAATCAAGTCATTGGAATCTGATTGTGACTTTTCGAAGGAAACAGAAGAGCCCTTTTTGACTGTTTCTGTTGAGATCAAAAATAAAAAGAGTTTGTATGAGGCATTGGACTTGTTTGTAAAATCTGATGTTTTGGATGGGGAAAATCAATACTTTTGTGATGAAGTCTAACGTAAAATCGATGCAGAAAAGAGATGTTACTTCACAAAGTTACCCAAAACTTTCATTTTCCATCTTAAACGATTTGAATTTGATTTCAATACCAACACTCGTAGCAAGATAAATGATTATTGGGAATTCCCCTTAGAACTCAATATGTTCAAATGGACTCGTGATAATATTGTTGAACATCAATAATTGGAGGATTTCACAGAGTATATGTATGTTTTGAAGGGTGTTCTTGTTCACACAGGAAGTGCTGAAGGAGGCCATTACTTCTCCTACATTAGAGATGGTAAAAATCAATGGTTTGAATTCAATGATAAGTTGATCACTCCCTTTGATACTCAGAACTTGAAGGAGAAATGCTTTGGAGGCAATCAAAGTAATGAGTGGGGAATACCTAATAGCAAGAATGCCTATATGTTGTTTTATGAGAAAGAGAAGTAGGCTAATTAGTAGAAGATCAACCAAAACAAAATAGAAATCGAGAGTGAGGATGAGGATATTAACATAGAACAGTTGAGAAAGTAGGTTATCAAGTAGAATACACAGTATTTAGAAAACAAATTGTTGAATGCTCAAGAATATGTGAGTTTTGTTTAGAGACTGGTGTAAGTAGGTATGGAGAGTAACTAAATTCAATCACTTGCACAATTGCTTCAATTGTTCACCATCTTCACTTTCTCATAGTTTTTGAAGAACAAGGACATCTAGTAATTTTAGAATAGCCTCAAAATTCTCAACAACTCCTATAATCAAAACAATTCAACATGTGTATGGTTACTTGATTATTTTAGATTCAACAAGGAAATGTTGATTCACAGTTTAATTGAACATCAATTAGTTGAAATTGCTTAATTCTTGAATTTAGTGATTGAATAAGCTGGTGCATATGATTCATCGAGTATATAGCCATTCTTTTAGTTTTATCTAAGTGAATTGCTACCCATTGCAAGTAAAAATCATAAGAATGGAGTTTACTATTTTGAGGTGATCAGTTATAATATCGATAGACATGAAGCTTTGCTCAATTTGTTAATGCAGGATGGTTACTTCCATAAGTTTTATGAAATACTAATAGATAAATTGAAATCAAATTCTCCCTCAAATTATTTGTTAAAGGAGGATTCTATGATCCTAATTTGCGAAATATTGGGTAAGATAATTAGATACTGTTAGACAGTTGGCATGTTATCGAACCAAGACTGTCCAACCTATTTGCATAAGGGATCAGTAATGTTTGAGTTAGATCAATTGTGGATTGAAGAATTGTTTTAGTAGAATCACTTTAGAAAGTACATCTTATCCATGGTTAAACATCAAAAGCAATTGATTTAGATGATCAAACATATTTGTTGGAATGACCAAGGTGTCAGTAACAAAGTCATTTAGGAAATTCTGATTCAAATATTGGACAATGACAATTCATGGTCTTCATTGGAGAAGATAAGGGAGGTCTTAAAGGAAATCCTGCTTATGGAGGATGGATTGCAATAGACTAGAATCATATTGATATTCTCATATGACTAAAGTGGTGAATCGAAAACCGCTAGAGCCAATACATTAATAGAGATCATATCGAAAGACGATCTGGATTACACGATAGGAATTATCTGCATGTTAGCTGAACTGGGTTTTAATGTGGTTGCTTTGGCTGAATATTTGAATTCAAACAAGGGGGATTATGAGTTCCTATTGTACAAATTAAAGGATATCATGACTATTTCATAGCGCTTTTTTTATCCAATTGTGTAGATCCGAAAAGCCATTGAATAGGTAATCATAATGTTATTATCAAAAAGTTGCAAAGCATTTTCTAAACACAGGTTGAGATCAATGTTGAAGATGACAATCGACGATAATCGGATGAGGAATCGAAATGCTTAAGTACTCAAGTGCAATAAGATTTGGAAGATACTAATCAAATTTCATAATGAATTAAAATATATAATTAATAATATAAATTAAATGGCATCAGCTTTTCCCAAATTGCCAGGTTTTGTGCCCACCCAAGATATTGATGTAATTGAATAGTAATAACTTGCATTAGAAACCGAACTTCAGAAAAGTCTCATCCACTAAACAAGAATAGAATAGAGAAGTCAATCATCTTCCAAATAAGGAATATGCAGTACCTCGTAAACAACCAATTCAAATACCTCCTCAAAGTGGCATGTTCAATCCTGATTATATGAGTACTACTCATGCAATGCATCTCCCCAAAGTATAAAAAACAGTTACACTCTTTTAGAATGTAACCAATGACTCTGAAGAATTGTATCAGCCATCTTGGGTGAAAATGGATAGACATGTTCTACGATTCAGCGGCTATTTCAAAGAAGCTGTGGTCGAGTCTGCACTTGAAAATTACAGAATTCGCAAAATCACCATCTGTTACTACCTTGAGGATCACTCCTTAAGCATAACCGAACCCAAGTAGGAGAATAGTGGAGTGCCTCAAGGAGCATTCTTGAAAAGACAGAAAGTATAGTATACTCTACTAACTTAATAGGTTCTACGTGCTGATGATTCCAAGACCTTCATTCTCCCTGAGGATTTCAGAATCAACCAAGACATCATAATCTTTGGAAAGACAATCCGTCTCTATGATTGTGATCAATACACAAGGGAGTTTTATGAGGTATCTCACATTCTTTAATTTCACCTAGTTACAAGGCATACCATAACAACCCTCCTTTGCACCTCAGTCTGACTCATTTGAAACCAAGACAATGACTAAGTTCATTCCTCAAAAAGATACTGTTATGAAAGATTACTTAGAACATAAATTAGGAGGTGGTCGAGTGACATCCTAAAAGCAATTTTTGGAGAATGACAGAAAGGTTTCATTTAAATTATCTAATCTATAGGTTCTTAAATTCTATGTGTTCTCAGATATCGAATATATTCTACACTACTATCTGGCAGATGACACCATTGAAATCAAGGAAATCAATTCTGCCAACTCCGGAAGAGTTCCATTTCCCATGATGTTGAGAAGGTAAAAACTCCCCAGGAAGTTCTCACTCAATCAACCTGGATAGACTTATGCTGAGGATTTCATCAGACCATAAGATATTCAATACGGACAACCACTCATTATCTATAATCGCAAGTTCTTCATCAATGGTTGTGATCAATTCACTAGATATTACTACTTAGAGAAGTTCAACGTAGACTTCCCTTTAGGAGGATAGGAAGAACAAGTGCCATAGGAGAGATCAAGTAATTATAGATAATTAGAATCTATTTAGACATCATCATCCCTCCTCACAATGGCATTGGAGATGAGTAGGACTCACTCGGGTACATCTACAGGTTGTAACCTAAGCCACCGAAGAAGGATTTCTTTAAATGGGTTGATAACTAAGTGAATCTTAGATTTCTGGCCATGTTCAACACAACCAAACCAGAAGACAAGGACAGAGTATTTGTAATCACTTTCTTCTTAAATGATGACAGTCTTTTGGTCTATGAACCAACAGTGCGAAACTCAGGTATGTGATGATGTTCTCATTCTTATTAGGAATACCTGATGGGAAGTTCTTGGAAAAGAGAAAGTACAAAAATGTCAATAATAACAATGAGTTCTTCAATCCAAATGATCTCATAGTTGGGAATGAGGTTGTCATAAATGGGTGGAAATTCCAATTGCTTGATTGCGATGAGTTTACTCAGAAATGGTATGCTCAAAACTTCAAATGAGATTCATTAAATAAATAATTTCACATATAAATTAATGTTTAGCAGTTAAACCCCTAATGCATTTATTCCGAATGCTCAATCCAGATATGTGATATCTCCAAGAATAGGATAATCCATGTAGGTTAATCAGAATTTTCAATATCATCATCAACTAACAGAATAAGAGAATATCAATTCAAATCCATCGGAACATTTGCATCTGCACCTTCACCATCTAACTAAACTCTATTTTATGATGCTCCTATGCTATTTCATTGCCTTGTTTAATTTAGTAGCTTATTTATACTAACTAGATTGATTTTGAATCGATGAATGCATTCTTTAATCAAAATGGATATTTTCTTTATTTGTTTTTAGGAGCACTTCTATTCATATCAGTGTTGTCTCTTGTAATAGATAATTCAATACTCTATATACTATTCGTAATTCTATTCTATTTTTTATTTGCCTGCATAAAAGCTGTGAATAACATGAATGTGGCTTTGATGATGATATTCACTTATGGAGGACAAGTGCTCGCCCAATTTTTGAGTGTCCTATCAGCCAACAATGAGAAAGATTTGTAATTGCATCAATAATCTTTATATATCTTAACAAGTGGTTTGATTGTCTTCTAATTGTTCATAACTTGTTTTGACATTGACTTCTTTGAAATGATTGTCATCCTCATAACTGGGTTTGTTTTTGGGTATGCTATTGATAACTATTACTTCTGTATAGATTCTTTTTGGTAATTTCAACAATGAGCAATGAATCCAGATTCAATGGGAATGCTTTACCTGAAAGCATTAGTATCTATACTAAAATCTTAGTTTAAATTCTAAGGAAGGCTTAACAGATAGCAAGTCTTTATTACAAAGATCCTGTGGAGGTGGAAATAAAGTTAATAGAAAGGAATAAGAAGATCGATGAGAATGATTATAAGATGATGAATCAGAGTGATGCCAAGAATTATCAACACTTGTTGATAAACGCATTGAATGGCTTGGATGGGTTGATTGGATTGAGTGATGGCACCTTCATATATAAAAAAGGAATGATTTAATATTCTAATTCCAAATTTGAAGAATGCACCAATGTGGCCATTATGAAATTATAATGATTAATCAATTATTATAAAATAATTGTGGCCCAATACTCACTTAACAATACAACTAATTCTAAGGGGACTGAGGTATTAATCGATCCATTCCTGTTTCAAATTCGGAATCTCACCATTCCGCATAGCCACAATCTGCATAAACTACGAAGCTATCTTTTCCACATGTTGCGTATGCTAAGCAGCATTCTCCTTCTTCCGTATACTCATATTGCACATTCTGGTCGTATAAGAAATGCCCTTATTATCAAAGTACTAAGTGATCTATTGGTATGCTTGTCTGTTGATGTATGCGAATCTCATCTTCAACTCTTCAACCTCTTGAGTTTCTTTAGGCAACATGAAATGGTAGGAGAGTACCTGACTCTACTTGATCTTTATCCTATCCATTTCAGTTACCATTTCCCACTTCTCGATGGGTTCGGTAGTAAAGTATTTGTGCTTCTTCTTCATCAAATCCTAGAACTCTTTGAGATACCTGGATTAGGCTTTATTTCTATTGGAAATCAATTCCACACACTGATTTTGCATGTCCCTCTAGAATCTGAAGAACTCATACAGATTTTCATTCAGAGTGTTAGCCAACTTGTTTAAATTGGTGCTCCAATCTACCAAGTATTCCTCCAGTAGAGTGTACACAAATTCCAATAAGGGGAGACTACCAACAATATTTTTTAAATTGAAGGCTTTCGTAGCTTCCTTCAGAGAACCAATGCTTCCTCCTAGATTCTTGACTTTGACGATGAAATCCTTCATAGAGGCAACCAGAAACCTAGAGTTATCAGTCAACTCTTTGTAGATATCATTAGTGTTCAACATGTAACTATGAATAGTGCTTGTTATTACTTATTAATGTCCATGAAGTACTTATCCATCATGGGATTGAATTCCAGAATGACCTATCCTTCTTGATTAGCATAATCGCTATATTTGGTTGGTTGTTTCAACACTGTGGAAGCAGCCAATAATTACTTGAATTTGATATCATCATCTATAAACAAAAAGCCTTCAATAAAATCCGATTGTCTCAACAAATGGTTATTTAGGATGGCACTCAAGAATTATTCTAACATTTTGCATCTCTTGGAAATGTGTTCTGGAGTGAACTTTCTAAATAGGGTTTTGGCAGGCAATGGTGGTATCAGACTATCTGGATATTACTACTGTAAGGACTCTTGTAGCCAATAGAAGTGTTCGACTCTTCTCCACACATTGGAACCGAATTGTCCGACAATTACACAATAGTTCACGTAATTTGGGGTGAATGTGTTGCCTTCTATTATCTTATATTCTGGGATTCTGGGCTGTATGATAATTTGAGGATTCTCAACGTAATACAGGACAATCCTATTGGGAGGCAATTGTTTGCATGAGATGGTCTCTCTGTAGTTTTTCTCATCATTGATTATCACATTTGGTTTGAGTAGGATCTCCTCCTCAATGCTCATTGTTCTTGTGATATCTTGCATTCATACCTGGTCCTCCTGAATTCGTCATGCTTTTTCTCGACCAAGACCTTGACTTCTGCTTCCAAGGCCTCATAGCTCCATGAGTCGATCAAATCAAATTGTTCTCCCTTGACTTGACTCAAATGCTGAATCAATTCCTCTTTGGGTATTTTCTCGTAAAGGACTGCTGCCGACAATAAGTCCTGTTTCTTGAGTCTCTCAAATGTCAAACTCATTCAATACGCAAAAATTAATATTCCATAACATATGTATTTGGATACATTTAATGAATAATTTTATATTCTTTATAATTTACGCATTTTTATTATAAATCCAAATAATCCTCTCTCTATTTCATTATTTTTTGTGACATTTTTTAAATAAATTAATGAAGCAATCCTTTTAAATCAAATCTGACATGTATTTATTATTATATACTAGTTAGATAACTTTGCTTTAAAATTGTGTTCTTGGGGTCCAGTTCAGTGGGCAAAACCTCGATCATTAAGCGATTCCTCAAAAACGAATTTGCGATGAAGTCGATGAGCACTGTAGGAGTGGCATGCGTATTAAATATTGATTACCCAAGGAATCGAAAGTAATTACTATAAACAACCAATAAGTAAAGGTGCAATTGTGGGACACTGCAGGACAAGAGCGCTTCAGGTCCTTGACCAAGAATTACTACAGAGGTTGTGACGCAGTGGTGATTGTCTATGACATTTAAAACATGAAAAGTTTCGAATAGGTCAATGGTTGGATAGCTGATTTCGAGGAGTATAAAATGTCATGATGCAAACTAGCAAATGCGAAAGACCAGCAATAAAGATGTTGTTAGGAAATAAAATCGATCTGAGTCGAGAAGTCGGAATTGAGTTGGGTCAGCTCTTCGCCAGAAAACAGAAACTATTATTCCACGAAGTATCAGCAAAAGAGAACATCAACATCGAAAATGCCATCATCAAACTAATCGAAATTTTGATTCAAGCAAGATAAATCGATTCTGGTGACAAAGTAGTCCGAAGGGGCTCTCTTGTCGAAGGCAAATCCAATAATGGAGACATGTCAAACAGTGGAATTAGCAAATCAACCAGACCTGTATCCTACAAACCCCCAGAAAAAGATGCTTCCATATCCGATACTTCTAAATTATAGGCTATTAAATCGGGGGGTGAAAGTTCACAAGAAGAATCTCCTTATACTTCTGGTCCTGTGTTGTAACAGACATCTCCACCCACCATCATTGTCACTCCGCCTGAAGATACTAACGCTGTCAGTCAGGATGAGAACAATATGTGGTTATAAGAATCTAAGAAGAACAAGTTGATGAAAAAGAAATCTCATTGTGTAAGCACTCTAGCTGTGCCGTTGAAATTGGTTCATCCCAGAGATTCAGAGGTGAATAGGGACGAGTATCTTCTAAGACACAATGTCAATCAGGGGTGTTTCTGTTCATGTTGATTATATTAAAATCTCTATTAATTAATTCAGAAAGAAAAAAGATTTAAAAAATTATTTTAAATAAAATGCCAAAGGGACAGACAACCACTACCCAAAAAGCTTAGAAGGCTGCTAAAAATGCTAGAGTTGCAAAGAAGGTTATTAGAGCCAGAACTCATTTCCAAAATAGATTCCACACTGCCAAACCTTTGGCACTTGCAAGAAAACCCAGATTCACCAGATTGACCAGATAATTGAAACCCATTACCAAAGGTTTGGATTTCTAAAATGTCCTCAAACATCCTCTCATTACAGAAAAGGACATGAAGAAGATGGAAGATGAAAATACCATGGTCTTCTATGTCAATTAAAAAGCAACTAAACCATAAATCAAAAGAGCATTCTCTAAGATCTACGAAGTCAAAGTCAGAAAAGTCAACGTAATATTTACATGCCTATATTCAGATCTTAAATACCTTCGGAGGCAAAAAGAAGGCATACATCAGATTGGGAGGTGAAAACGACGCACTCAATTTGGCCAACAAAATCGGAATCATCTGAGTGACAAAGTCATTTTATTGCATAGTAAAATATATATATATATAAATATATCTATTATTTTTTATATTATTCGTTAAATTTATGAACACTACTATCCGTAAATTGTATACTTTCAAAAAGAAATAGAAGAGCTTCGACAAAACCTTTGGTGCCAAATATGTCCAAGATTTACTCAACAATATAGTTGTCCAGAAAATAGACTTTTCAGCAACCCCGGAAATCTGCAAAACCGAAGAAGATCTTGATCTGGATGATCTTATAATACATGACATCTCAAAAACGGAAGGCCCTGAAGAAGATCTCCTTCCCATAGATGATTTATCACAAAAATTGAATGATCTTGTAAGTCCCAGGAAGAAATTAGTCACCTTTGATTCAGATAACTATAGACTCATTTATAGATTAAAGAAATCTAAATCCAAACTCATTGTTGTACCTTGCAAAGTCTCAAAACGCACCTTCAAAATGACTGATCAAGACCTCCAATTTCAATAGTTATTTGACCAATCCAATTTCCAATTTTAACCTCCAAATGAATTGGATTTCTTGATCCCCTTTAATGACTTTTACTAAAAAATAAATGAAATCGTCCTCAATCAACTGTGAATAGATATTATTTTATTATTTCAAACTTATATATTCATCACTACAATTATTTTCCTATCCATCAAGGTGTTTATCTACTCTTAAAATAATAAAAACTATAATTTCTCAATTCTCAATTTTCACTTTCATCCATTCCAATCTAAATACTAATAGATCATTAATACATCTGATTACCTTGTGACTCTTAAACAGACAAACCTGAATTAATTAAATTAGTTAATTTTATACAATAAAACATAATATCTATCAATTAAATAAAGCTTCATTAGTTTAAATGTAAAATGGAAGCACCTACATACTCCTCTACAACCATGCATGATTATAGGCCTGTTATGCTGTGTATCTCTCTCTAGACAATCGTTTAACTAGGTTTTCTATGAAATCCCTGAGATCTCTAGATGCCGTGTAAGGTATCATGAAGCATGCCTATATTAAAGATATAGATACTGTTTTCATTAACTCTTATTGGTTCTCCTTCCAGGGAGGCTTGCCAAAACAAAGTTCATAAGTTAATACACCCAAACCCCATATGTCAATCTTCTTATCGTACATGTCACCTTCTAAGATTTCAGGAGATGCATATATCAATGTCCCACATTGAGTTTGTCTGTATTCATCTGGAGAATATACACAGAATGAGAAGTCTGCTAGTTTGACCTATCCAAAACTCAATAAAATATTGTCTGGCTTTATGTCTCTATGGATGACATCTTGATTGTGAATGTACATTAATGCAAATGTAATCTATTAAACCAATTGAGCTGCCTCGTTTTCAACGAATTTCTTATTCGGTTTAGTCTGTTAAACAGTATTCAATTGTCCATGAGAACAATATTCTAACACTAAAACGATTTCAGATTCTAAACAGATATTTTATTAATCTTACAGGTTTAAAAGAATGTATACAACCTTGTGATATTGGGATGTTCTAGGAGATATTGAATTTTGATTTCCCAAGCCAATTGGCCTTACATCTTCTCCTTGATTATTTATGCTTTCTTTATCACTTTCAATGCAACCAAGAATCCCGTCTGAATCTAGATTGCCAAAAACACTTCACTGTACTTACCCACACCCAATCTCTTGATTGTTATAAAATTCTTATATTTTGGCATCTCTTTTTTCTCTTACTCAGAGATCACTTGCACCTTCTTAAAAATAATTAAATCCATACATTTTGATTCTCCACTTTGTTGTTATTACTTACAAAACTCGTGATTTGATTCTGCTCTGTTGGAAATTAAATTTAGTCACTTTTCTTAGGAGATACGTATTCGAGTTTGCTTTTCAATGTCTATTGTTGCACCATTGATTTTTGAGAAACAAGTAAAGGAGAACTTCCTAAGTTCTTAACATCTGTGTCTGTTTTTATGATCCCTGTATTAGCATAAGATTATGAATATCTAGCCTAAGGATCTGATGGTCGGTGTCCGTACGTATTCCTTGATTTCTGTAATACCGAATCCACATAAGAGAGTATGTTTGGATTCTGGCGAGGTGTATTCCCTACTATAGAATAGGGTCGATAAGGTTAATATGGATTATTCATTCGGTTTATTACGCTTTGATTTATATAAAAATTATACTAACAGGCGACATGAATAAATAATAGAAATCCAATAGAATGATTTAAACTAATCCTCATGTATTCATCAATTTAAATTTTCTGGTCTGCAATAGAGACTATTATTAATAGATAAATAGATTATTATATATAAATTGTTAGACCACACTTTAATATCAGTTACTATTAAATCAAATATTCATTTAAGAATTTTATGAAGATTTATCAGCAACAGCGACATATCTTTATAATAATTGAGAATTCAAAGAAGGAATTCAATAATTTCGCATTCTTACAAGATATCATATAAGGTATCTTTTAAGAAATCAAATCTTCAGATAAACTTAATATAAAACAGTAGAATCTCTGTCCTCTTTATGGTTTTAGGACTATATCTGTAATTTCTTTAATGTTGACTTCTAATCACTAAAATTGCTTACTCATGTTTTACACCTTGAACAATTTACAAAATATTTAATTACATATACTAAGCAACATGATTTTTATTGGCTCTTAGATAAGCACTCATAAGTTCATCGTGATTTACTTTATTAACATTTAATGTAATTATATATAAAATCAACTAAATTATTAAAATGTCTATTAAAAGTTTTATGGGTCCTCTCTCTCTTCCCTCTTACTTTTTAGGTGATTCAAGTACCAGCCTGCAAATATGATCAACACAACAACAATTAGAGTAACCAAGATCCAAATCCATGTGTTTGATTTTGAATCATTATAATTTATTGTGAATGTAGAACCACCAAGGGGTAATTCATAATTCTATAAGATCACTGCGAAATAATCATAAGTATTTGTTGGCTCCATTTTGATATAGAAGGTTGTGTAATAGTTCGAAAATGTCATTTCATTAAAATCAGATTAATAATAATCCTTTGGCCTTTCTTTAGAAGAATATAAATATGATGAGCTCAATTTGAGTAACTCCTTATCTTCTTAATGGCCAACATTAAATAAAAAGAGTGCGTTTTTAATGAAGGTTCCATCATTTTATAAAACCATTGGGATGTCGAGAATGAGATAACCATCCTCAGATCTATGGTTTATAGGTTGATTCTTGTATAATGCAAGAGAAGGAGTCTAATAATCAATTTATCGGTTTGAAGTCTAATATAATGAAGAAGTTATACTGTAAATTTGTATTGCGGAAATGTTGCCCCTCCTTTTGAGCCATAAGCTCTGTATGTTACTGGAGGTGATGAATCTGTGCGATTCAAATAATCATAAAAGAAATATGTTCCAGGTATTGGTTTCAATTCAACTAATTTTCCATCCTCTGATACCCTAGCAAATTAGATTGGGCCCTGAAATGACAAAAATGAAACTTATGTGGTATAGAAACCTTCAATTGTGAAATTCTTGATTTCATTTTATTCCAATACTCCATAAATATCATCAGAGTATGCAAAAATACTTGTGATGAATAACAATATATATTTATTAATCATAATATTAACTTGATTGTAATTTTTAGAATATTTTGTAAATATTAATGTCACTACATGTAATGAATTTCTATATGCATTCAAATGTAGAAAACCCTAATTTGCTTTACTTAATTATACTAAAACAATTAATCAATTCATTTCTGTTCAGGAGGTTTAAATTATTATCATAGAATACAAATAATTGATTCAACAATTCTGTACTATGATTTTAAAGATTGCCATTCAATCAATCATGTAGAATACTAAATAATTACATTTTGCAATGTTATTAAATATATATGCTTACCCATAAATATTTTATGAATTTCATTAATGCTTTGAAGTATTTTTAGGGTTCATTTTGATTATTATATGAAATTTATTGAGAAGTTGCCATTACATATAACTTCATAGCTTTTAATTAGAGTGAGATTTCATTCAAATATTATCTTTAATAATAATTAACTGATTTTCTAAGACTTCTAATTAATTCTTGAATTAAATTCATTATCCCTTACTATTGATTTAATATTTAAACTAAAAGGCTATCTACTAAATCATTAAAATTCATTAGAAATAATTATATCAAAATAAGAATTACTAAATACTTGCATTCTATTCCACCTATTTTGAATGATTATTTGATATGAGTAATTCGTATTACTTGATAATTATCAAAAATATATTGATATTTGAGATATAATAATAATATTGTAATGAATACTTTTATTTTTCATCTTCAATTGCCAAAACCCGAAGCTTCCTTGAAATTTCTCATAACTTAATTATCTGAATTGTTATCCCATTAAGCCAACTCAATACGCTCTTGCATTTTGTTAAGTGTCTCTTTAAGCATGTCTGCAAATTCTAATGACATATCATCTATCTTCTTCCTTAATTCTGCGATATCCTAGTCTTTTTTCTTCAGTTTCTCCTCATAACTAGCTCGATAATCGGTTATTTATTATTCTTTGGTTTCTAGGTATATAGATGTATTTACGTACTAATAACTTCATCTTTCTCTTTGACAGTAGCATTCAACTCATTGATATCTTTAAGTAATTCATCCTGCATTTGTTTATATTGTCTATTCATATCAGTACTGATATTGAATAGCTTTTCCTTCTCTCCTTCTTATTCCTTCTCCATACTTAAATATTTTTATTGTAACTGCATCTCTTATGTTTTGGAACGATCAGCTCTCATTTGTTCCTCGACAATTCTCATCTATAATCTTTTGGCTTCAAAATCGAGCATAGTGATCTTGGCTGCATTGTTTTGTGCACCATCATCTTTTTATTTTTTAGGAGGCATTGTTATTATATATATATAAATACTATATTAATATATAATTGATATCGAAAAGGAATGTAAAATATTATTTAACACAAATAACTATATATATATATTGACTGTTATATTTCAATACTTGTGGTGTTTCCTAATATAGAAATTTGAATTTTTACTTGCTATGTTTTCTTGACTTACTCCTTTCTTTTTCTTTTTCTTTATCTTTATTCTTCTTTTTACTGCTTTTTTTCTTACTCTTCTCTCTTGAATTCTCTCTACTCCTTGATCTCTCCTTTTCCTTCTTATCTTTCTACTTCTCTCTCTCCTACTCCTTATCCTTTGCAATATCCTCCTTGAATTCCTACTTCCGAGCTTCCTCTTCCAATATCTTCTCCAAAACCAATCTACGAACCTGCAACTTTTGTAATTCCACTCTAATTGTTGAAAACCCTTGATGTATTCTTCCATCTAGATGTGTTCTAAGAAATAGATTAATACTAAGATCTATACTTGACTTTATTCTCTGTCTCATAGAGAGATTGTCTTGCCCCACACACCTCACAAATTTTATATGTTTTAAATGGATTGTTTGTACCCTCATATGCAAGTAATACATCTTCTCGAGCCTTCTTTAAATTGTCTGCCTCCATGATCAATCTTTCTGACTCGTCTATTTTTCCTTATTCCCCCATCTTCTCACTCTAATCTGTCAATAGATTAATCTATCTTTCCATATTGTCAAGTCTATCTTAAATTTCCTTGGGTCTATCCGCCACTTACAGTTTGCTTGATTATTCAACTTACTCTTCATGCTTGGTCAATATCTTGTCTACTTCCTTCAACTTGTCTTGGATGTAGGCTAATATAATTATTAGGTTCATACTAAACCTATCGCTTCTTCTATGTATTTCTTCTCTCTCTATTGCTTCTTCAGACTCCTGTCACTGTTGAATTCATTTATGAAGAATTGATCATGTCTCTTATTGCATTCTCCCTCATGATCATACTTTGTATGCTTCCAAAGATCATTGAAACACTTCGAAACTAGTATATTCTTGCACACATCATCATTCCAATAATGAGCATCATTTTTCCTCTTACTCGCAATCACATTTCTCTCCTTTCCAAAAAGTTCATCAAGGAGTGCTCGAGAATCTTCGCACATTAATTTGTTAATTTAAATATTTTATTCATTTATACTCTACCCTTCAAAAATGAATATAAATATAGATATACAATAATCTCTTATATCTCAAATTAACTTTATAGTTGACTCACCAATAGCTAGTATCTTGTCTTAAATAATGCAGAAGTCATAAACTTTAAAAAGTGGAATCTATTTGCATTGATTACTCAACAAATCCCACTCATACAAGTTTGATCTCAAATTAATAATGCATTTCTTATCTAAAAACAGACACTTGTTTATAATCTCTCCCTTTGTTTTGCAAATCTATGCCAATTTCAAATCTCTTATTATCCATTCCGATTGAGCATTTAAAAACAAATACTATGAAGAGAACTTTATCTACTTGATAACGCTTGGTCTACAATCAGCTACTAATCAAATATACAAAAATACCCTTCTGAACCTATTAACAGGTCACTACATCCCATACTTCAATCTGATTCTTGTTATTTAAAAAATACAATAAATCTGGTGTTGGCATACCAAATACATCAGCGTTGAATTACTATTAAAATTAAACCTTCAATAAACGCTTGATGTTTTCATCATAGACACTAATACCAGTACTTTGATTCTGATCATCGACTCTTTTGGGAGCAAAGAGATTGAACTACTGAGAAGGGGGATTATGAAAGTCATAACTAAACACCGATCTATTCTGATATAATTGACAACTCTTATATTTCTCAACCAGCATTTCTTATTCACTGTATTCATTAGTTATAAAGTTCCATTTCACAAGGAGAGGATAAACACTTTTGGAGATCTTGAGAATGCATTGTATAGTAGAATCATTGAGAAACATGACAGTCTTGATCTCAAGATTGTCAATCTCCTTTCTTCTTTAGAATTCCAATTTATTGTCAAAGGGATAGATTTCTATCTCAATGTGGAAGATCACTTCTTCATCATAAAGTAATCCACACTTCTGAACAACAGCCAAAAATTACTGGTTTGGACTTGAACAACAATGCAAAACTTGTTTTACCCTCGCCTTGTAAAAGAATTGCTTCTCTAAATTAGTATTCAACAAAATGAAATCCTTCTTAATTTTGTGTTCAGCTATTATGATTTCTTAATTCATAGCAATTAGAGAATAAACACCAGGACAAAATTTGACCTCAAACGTCTTCGTTTTTGTTCCCAACACAATGTTCCAACTAGTCACTACTGCATTCTTACTAATAGAAAACAGTTAACTGTTGGTATAACATAAACCATGATGAATGTCATCCTTTGAAGAATTCAGGATGATTTAAACTATAGCCGATTTATTAGATTAGAATTTTGTGATCACAATCTAACCATTGGAAGCAAAGGCTACAGAATCATATGAGATGGGAGTCCAACATGTCACTGCACAACCATAAGTAGTTTAGAGTTCCTCCAATTAATCATTTTCAAAATCGATAATGAACACTTCGCCTACCTTTTACTATTTGCCAAAAACCAATCCATTTTGCAACATGAGTAGATCATCACACTCATCGAATTTGTCTGATAGTACTTTTTATAATTCAATCACTTTATTGGTTTTTGGTTAGAAATTGTTGTATTTTGGTTCCATTTGATTTGGTTTTCCCAAATTGGATGTTCTCCATAACATGAGTTCCCCATCTTAGACACCTATGATTCTAGGTATGTATATGACACTACCTTGGATTAGGATGATCTGATACACAAAATGCTGTAAGTGCTTATTCAATCAGGATTGTCTTTTTGTTGGTTTCAGGCTCTATCATCATTAATATGTCCCCAAAAATTAAGTAGATCTTATCATGAACTGCCACCAATTAATAAGGCATATTTTCTATCAATCCCTTGTATTCTTTTTTCAATTTCATTTCTTTGTCCCAAATTGCTAATGAGTCTGATCCAGCCGTATCACACAAATACCCATTAAATGCTATAAGGTTATTCATAGAAGGCTCTAAATAATCCTCACTAATTGGAATCTAATTGCTCAAAATAGCCTTACTTAATCAAATTATTAATCCTATACTGTGACTTTCAATTCCAAATTCAATGATTCCAATGAAGTCTATTAAAACTATTGACTTTGTTTTTTATTCACATGGAACTTCTTCTTCTATGGTATGTCAATGCCAGGAGGTGGGCCAATCTAATTGTCATCATCATCACCTAATCCAGGAGGCGGGTTCATTCAATTATTTTAATTTAATCTTTAATTACAGAATAGGTACTTGTTATTTATATCTTATTATTAAATAATATTCATTATTTGTGATGCTTCTTGCTCTTATGATGACTTTTATGGTGCTTCTTTCCTTTGCTTTTGGATTTCTCCTAATCATTAAAATCATAATTCGGCTGAATTTCTCCAGGCTCAGGTTCATGCTCTTATTTCACATTTTTAGACTTTTCAGGTTCAACTTGACTGAGATCTTGTCTAACAGAGCCCTCTTCCTTTGATTTTTTTTCCTTCTTCTCCTTTTTCTCCTTCTTCTTTTTCTTCTTTCTCTCACTCTAATCTTTTTCAGAGGTTTATTATTATTATTAAATAGGCTCTTCTTGAATTTGAGTAGATTATTATTATAATTATTATTGTTATTGTTATTATTATTGTTATGGTTATTATTATTGTTATTATTATTATTATTATTGTTATTATTGTTATTAAATTTATTGGGTCTATTAAACCTACGATTATTATTATTATTAACTCACAATAGGTACGATAGGTATTTGCTAGGATTAGGTTTGTTATTATTATTATTACAGTTGCTGGAGAGTGGCCACAAATGATTCATATTGTGCTTTCTTTTACTCTTCAACCAAACCTGCTAGTTTAGGATTCTCTTGAATCTTTTAATTGATGATTGGTAACATCTCCTCATAAGATTTGTAATCAGGCAATGATTTTAATAATTTAATGTATCTTTTACACATCTTTTTATATCGTTTGCTCTGAATGTTGGATGACTACTTAATGTTTTCTTGGAAGTAACGATAATAATATTTTTTCTCATGAGATGGCATTTTCGTCCAGATCTAGTTATCAACAAAGTAAGCTTCCACTTCCTCAAAGCTAACATTGGTCAACACCTTGACTCCCTTTTGTTAGAGATGCATCTTTAACTCCGATTTATAGAGCTAGTGGTTCTACTTTAAATTTGAAATGAAATCTTAAAACAACTCATGAGGTTGAGAGCCTGGTTGTCCGAGCATGCAAATAAATCTATCATCTTATTATATTGTCTATACAAATTAACCCCATTTAGTCTTATGTGTCAATAAGCCTTCTGCCAGGTGTTCCTAGAGCAATTCCCTGAAGTTGATCCTATTCTACCTGTATTTAGAGATGATTGACTATCTCCATTGTTCATAGAGCGGATTGATGACCTAAATTAAGGAGAGAAGGTACCTCTTCGAAAACTCCGAGAGCATCGATTGGCAACATCTGTTACAAGAGTCTATCCTGACTGAATAACTTTAAGCACTCATCCCAAGTGGAACTATGACTTAAGACTCCTATTTCTATATGTCTTTGTAACCTCTTTCTGAAATCCTCAGTGGTAGTTTTGCGACTCTCCTTCATCAGCTCCTACTCTTGCTTATATAACTTATCTAAATAATCCTGGAATAAATTTTCCCTTTCCTTTTCATCAGGGATTGCTTTCCATCTTGCATCTGTAACAAGATAACTTTATACTTTCCATAACTTTATGTCCGAAGAGAGGATCTTGTGTTCCTCCAACATCTTCATAAAATCCTCCTTTGCCATGCTCAATTTGGTTTTGTTCTCCTCCTTCTCTTGTTTCTTCATCTCCTCCAAATACTGATTGTAGATCTTCTTCTTATGACTGATACTCCCTATGCATTTCCATCTTGAATCACTTTGCAATTGCTTCACAACTGAATCCCACTTTACGCTTGAAGTAATCTTATTATCCTTCAGTAATTGCGTGAATTAGTCAATCGGATTTGGCGGGATGATGTCCTCTTCCTCACCTGATCTGCACTAATATAATATATCCATACGTATCTTGCTCTTCCTCTGGCTTCTGCCATTTACTCTCCCTTGTATTGCGATTGTACCAATAAGGCTTACCATCCTCTGTCAAGTATTGTTACCATTCTTCTTCTACTTCAGATTCTTCATCTTAAAGACACTCTGGTTTCTCCCACTAGGATTGGCCTGTCTTCACGTTGTAGTAATAAGTCTATCCGTTGGCAGAAGAGTGCTTTGACCAATATCCTCTCTCGTTGTCCCCTTCCTTCTCGATGCTATCCATTAAATTATTTTAAATAATAATAATTTCTTGCATGAAATATATGAACTGACATATTAAAAAATTCAAAATCAAATAATAAATGGAAAATTCAAAATCAGAAATTCTTCATTGGATCAACACCCTTCTAAAAGTAATGAATTCAAAATAAGATAGACAAATTTTACTAAAATAGAACAACTGGGCAACGGTGTAGCATACTGCAAACTACTTAATTTGATTGATCCAACTTGTTTGAATTCTACTAAAATTGTACTAAAAACAAAAACATAAATTGATCACATCAGCAATCTCAAGCTCTTCCAAACTGCAATGTAGAAACTTCATATGAAGAAACAATTTGACATTGACAAAGTAAGCAAGTGTTATTTCCATGAAAATTATGATCTAGCCTTATTCTTAAAGAAATAACACTCCCTTAGGTTCTCTAGCATAAATAAAGAAAACACATCCATCAACAATTCTATAATTTATGAAAATCATCCCAATATTCTTGAAGAATAATAGACCTCAGATGATAATTTACTTACTTAAATAGCATCTATAATGTAGAGCGTAGATTCTGCTGAAACAAAAGTGTTACAAACTATCAATTTATTGAAAACCCACAATTTTATCAAAAATAATCCTCAGTTTATTGATAATAAACCTCTGTATGATACTACTAATAACATCTTTAATATGTTCAACAATCAAAATGTTTTTAATAAAGATAATCTATTCAAAACAGATTCTAAAAAACAACAATCTCTTGAATAGAATAATAATTTGTTATGTGAAACTCCAGAAATGCTCCTTGATCCTCATCAGAATAATGAAGACATATTTGATCATCAATCTTCATCTAAATTGATCATGAAAATTCAATCATAATCGAAGATATAATAGGAAATTAAAAAAGAAACTCCAAACTTTTGTGAATCTCCATTTATATAATAACCATAATAAAATAGTCTGGCTGATTTTATCAAGTCAGAAAGTAAATAGTAACAACAATACATGCAATAATACTCTTTATAAAAACAATTGCAAATGTAAAATCAGATCAATACTAATCCACCTTAAGAATACCAATCTCCATTTCGAGAGTAGATTATTCAATTATCTTCATAAAAAGAGATATTCAATTAGATTACAAATCCTTAAGTGTTTTCTTCATGTTAAAAAGAAACATCTTAAAACAACTCTGTATTCTATTCATGCAAAGATAAAGGAGCAATAATTGAAGAATGATAAAATATTAATTATAATTTCATTTTTAACTTCAATCACAAACCCGTTTTCAGTTTTCCTTAATTTATTACATCTCCTCAATCATATTCTATAAGTAGCCAACATATAACATAGAAACAATATTGTTTTTATTATATGCCTAAAATCATAATTATTAAAGAGTTAAGTTAAGAACATTTTATATATATAATAATATATTATGTAAGAAAAGTAACAATCTTCTTATTGGTCTAAAATGTTGGAGAATTAATAATAAGAGAGACAATAAAATGATTACTAATCTAAATAGGATCAAGAATAAAGGAAGCAGAGGTACAAATAAGAATTATAAACTGATATGATGCTCCATCAACAGAAGAAATAAGTTTAATAAAATTAAAATCAACAACTGGAATCCATAACGTTAGAGACTTTAAGATAGAGAGAATCCAAGAAGATGAAGGAAATGGAAGAAAGAAGGATCAAGTAAATCCAGACCAGTTTGGATAATCTCAATAATCTAATGATTAAAAAGAAAATGAATTTGGAGAGATCTTATCAAAATTAATAATTAGATAAGGAATTTATTAGATAAGAATAGATGAAGGCAATGAAAAGCATAGAGGAAAAAAAATAGAAAAAAGAAGAAGAAGCAAAATTACTAAAAGTTACATATGATGATATGATCAATAATAAAAGAAGGATGAGAGAGGAATTACAATAACATACTTAGCCATCAATTCCAACTTTAACAAATGAAAATAATAAGGTGAAAATAGATACAAAGAAATATTAGGAGGAATTAAAAACCTAACTAGAATAGAAATAAAAATAAATGGAAGAATTGAAAATGAAAAAGGTTGAAGAAAGACAAAGAATAGAATAGAAAATTGAATTTGAAAAATAAAGAATGATGGAGAATAAACTAAAAAATTATTAAACTTATAAGTAATATGAGACTGAGAATTACGAATTGTTATAAGATCGAAAATATTAATAGAATAGTAATCCTTAAGAATTGAGATTACTTTAAAATTCATTTGAAAGTAAATTGCCAAGAATTTACTAAGACAATTATTAACCATCTGAAAGAAAAAGACAGTTAGCCTTACTTGATCGAGATCTACTGAAATATTAAATATTACAATAATAATAGTAAATAATAGATAAGAATCATTCAACAATCAATTAAGCTAAAGTTAATTATTAAGATGAAGCAGTATCATAAACATCAAAACAAACAAAATAATCTAAATAGCTTTCGAATAATTTCATTTAACGCGAGTAACCGTAATAAGCCTCAACTCCCTCTCAAAAATCAAGGAATTCCAACCTTATTCCAAATAACCCCATAGACTATTTGAATTAAAAACAACATGCTCCAAAAAAAAGAAGTTTTAACATTGTTACAGGAATTGTCACTCTTAATTGATAAAACTCTCTTTTTTACTCAATTGTAAATGTATTTAAATAAATATAATAATATCAATTTATAATATTAAACTTAGAAATTTTAATTATTTAATCAAAATATCTTATAAATCATTTTTATTGATAGATGAACTTTTTTTGATAGATAATCTGATTATATATTTATTCATAATAAATATTAATAAAATCTATTAGAAATTAATGGAAAAAGATAGTTTTTTTTTTTCATAAATTCTGAATTAATACCTCATTCAAGTTTACCTCTCAATTAGAATACATTTTACTTAAATAAAAGAATAAAAATTTGTATGATTTAATAACAATGATATCAAACTGTTAAAATAAAAATTGTTGAAAATCATAATTATTACTAAATGCATTATCATAATAGTTATTTTATTATTTGATTAAACTTTTTAAGAATCTCTCTATTCTTATTAATCTTGGATTCCTCTTTGGTGATCTTGGCTTCCATCTGTTTAGCTTTTTTAATAACCTCTTTAGGGACACCAGCTATTTATGCTACATTGGTGGCAAAACTTTTTTCTGCTACTCCTTCAATTAATTTGTATTTAAAAACAACTTAATCCTTCTCTTAATAATGCTTCATAACACATTATGAAATATTCTTAAACAATGCAAATTCATCTAATAAGATATGATAATGTGTAGCAAACAAAGTCATAGGTTTAGTTTTATCTGATAGGAATCTAAGGACAGCAGATGCCAGAGCTACTCCATCATAAGTTGAAGTTCCTCTACCTAATTCATCTATGATGACTAAACTTCGTGAAGTGCAGTTATCTAGTATAGTTTTAGTTTCTTCAAGTTCAATAAAGAAGGTTGACTTTCCTTCTAGTAATCTATCAGTGGCTCCAAGTCTACAAAAGATCCTATCAAAAGGAGTCAAAGTAAAAGATTAGGCTGGTACAGCACATCCAATTTGGGCTAAAATAATAGAGACACCAATCAATCTTAATAAGGTGGATTTGCCACTCATGTTCGGTCCTGTAAGTAAAAGAGTATCAATAGAGCCAGTAAATTTGATTGTGTTTGGCACCCATTCAACATCTTTATTTTATAATAAACAAGGATGATACGCTTCAATCAATTCACACCTCTTTGCACTTTCGTCTTGAATAATTTATGGAAAACAAGATACTTTTTATTCATTCGACACCAGAGCCAAAGAAATTCTAAGAAATAAACAAATATAATTACAGACAGTCAGCTTCTGAGAGATAGGAGATCAATTAAAAGAATTCTTTTCTATGTGAATAAAATTTAGTGAAGTATTCATTGATAAAGGGGAGTAGTTTTTAAGATAATTCATCTTCTACCTTTCTTAACTTATATAATTATTCTTCTATGAATGTAGTCTAAAATCTTTGAAATCCTTATCTTTTGGAAGTGATAATTAATTCTTTTGGTTTTTAATTGCCTTCCAAATATTTCTCAGGTATTTCTAATTAATATTTCATTCTTGCATGAGTGTAAACAATTTCAGGACATTTCAATTTCTTCTTCCACTTTTCAAGTTCATCTTGAAGGGAATCAGTGATTTCATTTAACCTATCTAATGTCTGATCATATTCTGGACTTACTCCCTTAACAGGTTTTGGTTCATTATCATCCATAGTCATACACTTTTCCAATTCATCAAGTGAGTCTTTCAAAATCTTAGCATTTTATCTATAATTTAGGATTTCCTTCAATTTTTTAGATTTAAGTTATTTTATATCTTAATCAAAGATCTTAAATGCCTCAGCAGCCTATCTAATATGACTCAAAACATTCTTAATTTCCTTCAATTTAGTTTTCCCAATACTCTCACCTCCAGTAATGGGGACAGCCTTTAATTTGTGAGAATGAATAGTATTAAAACACTTAATGATGGCACGTTCTATATCAGGTAATGATTTGATTCTTCTTTGAAATTCTGCACATTTAGGTATTAAATTAGTTAATTCTTGTACACATTCCTATCTCTCTATAATTAGTTTGTAGTTCTATAATGGACTCTAAACCCATTTAGTAAGTAGTCTCTTAGCAGGAGCAGTAGCACATCGATTCAAATAATCAAACAAACTACCTGCAGTAGTGATTTTAGTTTGTAGATTCACATTAAATATTTCCAAGCTTTCTAAGGCTTAGGAATCTAAATAAAGATGAGTGTTATGAGTGAAATTGGAATCAAGAAAATTGAATTTACCTCTTCTGTAAACTGAATCGCTAATTAGTAGTTATCTCAAGTAACACAGTAAGAGATACAAAGATTATGTTGAATAATAATAAGAATAAAAGCTAGATTCATCATCCTCTTTATCTTATTACTTTTTTTCATGATAAAATTGTTTCTCCAATTCTATTAGTATATTAGGATAATCCTAACTCAATTAATAATTCTCAACACATTTTTCTTCTCTTATCTCTTGTTTTGAATCTGAATACAATCCTTAATTGATATCAATATCTATTTTTTGTTCAGATTACTCTTTTCGACTAGGAATTACAATTCCATCAAATAGTTTTTAATTTTAATCATTTTTACCTTTAACCACTTCCATATATTCAATTTTAAATTATTGGAATATGAATTCACAATCTTTGAATGATTTTTTGTAAATAATGATAGTAGGATTACATATATTTCTAAAATTATATAACTTGAATAAATTACTTGAAAATCTTTTCGATTTCAGGTGGTGTCTTACACAGTATGACTTCTACAGGTTTAGTATTATAAATAATAGATCTAAGATGATTGGATTAAGCATCATCGAAGAATTGATCAAATGTAAAAAGATTGGTCGTACAATCAACAATAGAAACCCCATAAATATATGTATGTCCTTTTAAATTGACAGGTGCTTTTGAGCAAACCAATACTAATAGATTCCTTTATTCATATGTTTCTGCATCCCCCAAGTCTTATAGAGTGCCTCTACTTATCATTTAGGTAATTTCTCTTCTCACAACTTCACCATCCTCTTTGTTAGCCACATCTGCTTTTTCCAATTATTCAATCATTATTATTTTGTGTCCTTTCTCCAACAATGCTCTTTAATATATGGGCAATTGATTATCATAGACTGTTACACAGGGTCTATCCTTTCCCCAGAATCCCAAGTATCGATTGAACATTTTAGCAACAATAATGGCATCGTTGTACATTACAGCTATCCATCTACCACATCGAAAGAATATCATAGAATCTAAATGGTTTTTCTTAGCATTCCAATACTACCTGAACATTGGTGGTAACTTTTGATATTGATCATTTGGGATGTCAATTGTGGAAGGATTGTAATCTGGTTCATCTGGTCGTCTCCCTTCTGAATCTCGAATGTGTTCAGGTTGCATGAAAATGGGCAAGGTTTATTCAGCTAATTTATAAAATTCTTCATCTCCTTTGTTATGTTGTTACTCTTCTTAACAAGATTCTTGTTGTTACTATTATGGTTATTATTCTGTTTTTTTGGGTTGTTTCTTTTATCTGGTTCCCTTTGATTTCACATTAGTATGGGATTGCCTTTTTTTGTTCTGTTTCTCATCTTCAGAACTAGGTTGAAGTTCAGAAGAAGAGGATTCTTTTTATGCTTAAGGCGTGTAATCATCATCATCTTCATCATCAGCTTTCTTCAAACGACGAGACGACCTTTTTCTATTGGTTGATTTCTTCCTCTATTGCTTCTTTGATATTTCAAACAATTCATCATCATCATCTTCTTTCCCATTCTTACGCATTTTGATTTGCTACCAAAATATTTCTTTAATTTAATTTTAAATTCCATCCTTAATGTCCTCAGAAAGCAATAAAAAGCCTATAGTCATAATCCCACAAACCACTATGAACATTCGCAGGTTGGAAATTGAATAAGTGGATCAGAGTGATGACCTCGAAGCCTCATCAGAAAAAATCTCAGAATAGCAATCAGATGACCCCTTTTTAAATTTTGTTGCCTCATATTCACTCTTCACCAATAATTCAGAAGATACTCAATTAGATCTCACTTAAGTGCTACAACAACTCAATGATAAGATTTAAATCATGAAACCACCATCGAATCACTTATTAGACTTTCATTAGTAATTATAAATTAAAGAAAATCAAATAAATGAATTAGCAGACACTCTCAAATAATTACCAGACTCTAAACTCCTTTCTTGTATTCAAGATGTTGAGAAGTAAAACTATCCTCACATTATCTAGACTTTACTATAGACTATCAGTTGATTTTCAAGAAGAATTGCGCACTGCCTAAAAACTAAGAATTGTTTGATCTACAAATATATATTTTATATATTCATTCATAATCAATAATAATTTATTATATTTTTTATCTACTCTAAATTACAACTCTTAAAATTACCCTTTCTCTCCATCTCCCCATAAAGCAAATGAATTTAAATTAACAGACATGACTGAAAAACTATATATGTAAAACCATTGTAATAAATACTGGAATTCTGTATTTCAGAATGTTATGATAAATAATGGAGTCAAATGTAGTCAGATATATACATCTTTAAAATTTCTTGGAGTCTCGTATGATTTTATCAAATTTTTTATAAGATTTATTTAACGATTCAGTAAAATTAATATAATATAACATCATATAGTTATCATGATTAAGATAAATAAGCAGCAGGAGTAATATTTGAACTTTGAGTCTATCTTTTAGAGTATAAGGAATTTAAAGTTGCAGGTTCTAGAACTGGTACATCCACATATTTATTTGAATTGTAATCAAACATTCGAACAGTTTTCGATATGTCTAAATTTTTAGCATTTTATTTGTATTTATCTCCTTTAATCTTATTCTTATTGTTGTTGCAACAAGTTTGAATGATCCCCATTTTTTTATCAGAGCAATTTAAAAAAACTTAATATATTAATATATTAAAACATTAATATCAAAACTAAAAAAGTGAGGCGTAATATCATATTGCTGTCAGAGAATTTGATCTTAATCTTGATATAGTTTTTTTTTAATTTGGATTTTGAATTGCACTTTTAATCCTTTATCGACTATGCGTAGTGCTGCAAGAAGGCATTCTTTTCAAAGGGCTAATGCAAGTCGAATTTCGAGGTGATTCTTAATCTAAATAAATAAAAACCATCTAAAAACCTTAAAGCAGTTCCAAAATGCGATGTTGCAACAGAAACTAAGTGTCACAATCGGTAATAGACGCTCTCAGCACGAAATCATTTTGAATCAACATATCTTGTTTGAGAAAGTAAGGTACCTTTGATCATTCCCTTTTGTTCATAGGAAATCAAATTCTTCTGGTACAACTAATATAGTGCAAACAACACTTCGCTCTCGGTTGCCATATATATTAATTAATTATAATATATATAATTATACCCTAGATGTGTCATAACAATAAGAAAACCACTTTAATTGTTAAAACATAAAATTGAACAATTGCTTAATTACACCATTATTTTGTAATTTAAAAAAAGAAAAAATTCTCTAATTTGAATAAATCAATTGGCAAACTCTATAAAAGAAATCAATATTAATGCAGGAATTGAATTAAGGATATTTTTAGATAAATTTTGAAAGATGTGTTTTATGTAGGCATCATAAAAAGATTTAATTGACATCAATATACGATAGTCTTTATACTGCCTTTCACGATTGATCTTGTATATAAAGAATAAATTAAGGGGAATCTTGAAGTTAAATTAGCAGTATTAGAATAATCTACATATATAGGATTTAATTATGATATTGGATCTTAATAATTTCCATCTCTTAAATCAGTGATTAATGATTTATTGATTGTAAATTTAATAATACTAATGACTTAAAATTCTTATTTTTAAGGATTATTTTGCTTTAAGAAATATGTGAAAGTTGTAGAAACCAATAACTAGTTTTTGATCTAAAGTACAAGATAATACCATAGTAAATGGATTAATAGATTATATAATATTCTAATTAAATAATGAATCCGACTTTCAAAATAGTAAAGAAGTTCAATTATCGGCGTAAAGAAAATCGTCAAATGAGACCCATCTAACCATTTTCCCCATAGAGAGTAAATGATGTGAATATATAAATGGATTCTCAAGTTGATAATAATAAGAAAAATAAATATGATTAGGATGAAATTAAGGACTCTACTCCTCTTAATAAAAAAAATCTAATTCCGAGTTTTTAATATTCGAGATCGACCAACTAACCAAGTAAAAACAATTTTTATCAAACACCGCCTGAAATTCCTAAAAAATTACCTTAATTATTTTTGCCATTCGTACTCTCATTTATTGTAAATTTGGGATTAGGGATTGCTATTTTTGCAACCTAAGGTGATCAAACAGCAATCATAGTCTTTGAAGTTTTTATGTAATAATCATCATATTCCTAAGGATTCTTTTAAATATTATTTCAGGGGCCTATTATTACACTAAATCAACAGAAATCATAGTGACTAGACCAAAATGTTTCTACATTTTTTTCGGAACAATACTTGCAGAATTCTTGTGTTTATTTATCTAACTTCTTATTTCCTGGATAACAAAAGCTAGTTTTGCGATATAAATACCAAATATAATCTCGGTGACTATTTTCTTATTATATTTTTACTATAAGAGAAAACAGTATTATTAAGATGAGTGAAGAAAATGAAGTAGAATATTTAAGGTGAATGAAAGAATAAATTAAAAGTTAGAATTTATATAAAAAACTCATTAAAGTTCTATTTCTTTAGATGTTCCTAATTTTTTGCCATTTTGGTAGTTTTAAATAATAACCACTTGATATAAGCTTAAAACATAAAATGAGATAATACTCTCTAAAGTTATGATGTAAATCGACCCATTATCCATCTTTATTTCCCTCCTCATTATATATTCCTCCTCCTCTAAAAAGTAGGAAATGATGATTACATAACACCGTTATTGAAACATGTTTCCCACATACTGCTCTTAATTCCATCAAAATACTCGCCCTTATAAGTAACTTAACAAAATCTAATTGTTAAATCATTTAACTACTTAGTGAAATTGATATGCAAATCTACCCAATCTCCATTTTTCAATCCACTCTAATCATATTCGCCTCCTCCACTATAATAAATTTATTAAGCAATTACATAGTTTAGCCCTCGAAATTAATAGCCCAAATTCCTTATTTGATCCCATTTTTGTACTCTCCATAATGAATGATTTATGCGAAACTATGTATTAATAGTAAATGTACTCGGAGTAATTTTCATGAAAATCAATCCATCTGCCATGTTTTAATCCATTTTCATTGTAATTGCCACCTCCACTGGAATATAATAGAATACTTACACATTCTGATTATTCATCACAATATCCCATCTGCCTTATCTTAGATCTTTCTGGTATTCACCTTTATAGAAGACATTGCATCCACCACAATTTGAAACAAAGTATTTTTCATGCAAGTCAACCCATTTTCCAACTTTTAATCCGCAATTATATAATCCACCACCTCTATAAAAATGGAAATAAAACATACATAACACTGGATTTTGGTTAAATATTCTCTTTATCAAACTAGATTATTTCCCATTTTCCTTATTTAGCTCCACCACTATATTCCCCAGAGTAAACAACTTTGCAGTAACTTTAAATTATAATAATTATTATATACTCTGAAAAGTTTGGATGCAATTCTGTCCATTTTCCTTTTTTACGGCCATTCTCATTGTATGTTCCATTGCCTCTAAACGTAGTGATTGATCATACATGATGTTTTATTCAATTTCTTTATATCCTCTGTATATGATATTCCATTTATTTATTTTTCTTCCATTTTGATATTCTCCATAATATCCAACTTAACAATGTCTAAATTAGAACAACATTTCATACTCCCAAAAATCTTCATGTAGATCTAGCCATTTTCCATTCTTCAATCCAAATTAATTATAATTGCCTCCTCCTCTTTGAAATAGATTATAAAAATTACAAATAATTTCCATTATATGTTATTCTCCAATTTCCGCATTTTCTGCCATCTTAATATTCTCCACTATAAGTCACTTAACACTTCCTATAATATTGTCATAATTTCTACTTTTTGAAATTATTATCGATTTCTGTCCATTCACCATGTTTCATACCTTTTTGATTATAGGTTCCTCCTCCACTAAATATATAATACTGAAATATACACTCTTTATTCCTTCAAAAAAATGTCCCACTTTCCTGTTTTCCTTCCCTCGGTATAATTTCCAATAAAATATACTTTGGATTTTCTAATTATATAATTATGATACATCCAAAAATTCTCCCATAAATCTATCCATTTCCCTTCTTTTTATTACATTTAATCGCCAAAACCTCCAGCTTTTAATAATTCCCCTCTCCAATATACTTTATGTTGGGTTTTAGAAGAATCACACACTGCTTCCCATCTCAAGTATCTTTACTAGTCTAAATTTCCTTAAATCGTTTTCCTTTTCATTAAATCTTGGATTGATTCACTTATACTATAAATACACAACATACATTTTTAATATTTCTCCATCCTTAATATATTTCACTTTTTCACCTTTTTTCAGCAACATGAAAAACATGATTTTTTATTGAACCCACCCGTTAAATAAGTCCCTATACTCTTATTTCCCATATTCAATCACAAGATACTCTTGTTTAGCCCTTTCTTCGTCTGATATTTAAGACATATTATGTATCATTTTATTATAATAATAATTAAAGGGATATAGCAATAGAATTAAGTTTAATATCAATAATGCACATAATTTAATTAACATGAATTTTAGTTCCATATCATCATATCATACTGCTTTCTATTATATATTTTCCTTTATTTAACATTTTTTTCATATAACCCATTTAAGTTATTTAATAACTTTACTTCAGAATAATTTGTGTATTCTAGAGCAGATGGAACAAGAATTTAAATATTAACAGTTTAGAAAGATTTGAAAATATATTGCCATTATATTAATACTGAGTCAAAACGAACAATTATTTATATAACTTATTGGATTATCGTATCTCTAATATCCTCTACAATTATCTGATATTTTTTACAACCAGATAAAAATAGACCATTTTATCAAATCGAAAAAAGAGAACATTTTTTAAAATAACACACTTTATTACAAAGAGAACTTTTTTATATTTTGATCAGAAATAACCGTAATTAGAAACTTTATAAACAAATATTTAATGAAAGTATATTAATTAAATTAATGATACCTAATCAATTAAAATTCTTTCTTGATCCAACTAGTTGTAAACAAAGAGATGATCCTAAAGAATACTTTTTCAGTGTTGTAGCAAGTAGCTTGTTAAAGGAAACTAAATACTATGAAACATCAGATGGCTCAAGAGATAAATTGATAGCAACAATGAATACAATTGCAAACATTGATCCTGAGTTTATATTATAGGTGGCTTACTATGTTAGAAATCAAATGTATATCAGAAGTATAAGTAATTTCATCCTTGCATTTTCTACTCTACATCCTAAAACTAAACCATTCTGCTCAACATATATGTGTCCAACTATGTTAATACCTGGTGATCTGATTGAAGTTTGCTAATTTGTTCAAGTCATTTCCAAATGTTTGAAATCAGACAACAAATTGGATGGAAACACAGACATCAGAAAATAATTATAGTTCCCAAAAATATTGTAAAAGCAGATCCAAAAAAAACTTACTCAATTCAATGTTTATCAACTTGGTAAACAATGTTCGGATGGTAGTAGAAAAAAGAACATTAAGAAATACCAGGAAATTCTCAAGCCTGATCTCAAAGATAAGAGAAGAGAGAAAAGATTATTGAAATTAAAATTAATTAGAGACTAAATCGAATCACAAGGACCAGATGTTAAAACCCAATTCGAAATCAAAGCCATCTAAAAAACTAATAGATCTAAAAAAAATAAAGGAAGACATATGAGGAACCCTCACATCAATTAGGTTCAAGAAAAACTAAATGTTTTTGATACTAACTTCTTAAATTTAAAGGATATCGTCACATTTAGTCATGTCAAAGAGCCTAGAAGTCTAGTAATGTCAATTTTAGGAGTTAAATATCCAAAAACACTAGAAGAATTTGAAAAGGAATTTAAAGAAGAAAAAAAGTTGTAATTTGAGCCTGAAAGAGCAGGTAAAAGAATGTCGATCCCCATTCCAGTCACATGGGATAGAGAATTAAGTAAAGGATTAAATTCAAAGAGATAAATCTGGGAAGACTTAATCCAAAAAAATCAGGTTCCTTATTTAGCTTTGTTAAGAAATCTAAGAAATATATTGAAATCAGGTGTGAGTGATGAGGCACATTTGAAAGTTGTTGAGAAATTATCAAATTTGAAATAAGTTGAAAATTCAAAGGTATTTCCACTCCAATTCTTCACAGCTTTGAATGAAATTGACAAATTGAAAGTCAATAAATAATCAATTCAGAAGGAAGTTAAATAATAAAGAGAAAAAAAGGAGAGGGCAAAAGAATAAGTAAAACCAAAGAAAGAGAAAAAGGAAGTGTAAATTGAGGAAGAAGTAGATGTGCCTCCAAAAGTAATTTAATCTTATAAAGATGCCATTGAAAAGGCAATGAAAATAGCCGTTGATAAAAATTTAGAAACTATTTCTGGTGTTACTTATGTATTTGTTGATGTAAGTGGATCAATGCGTAGTCCTATTAGTGGAGGGAAGAAGTACGGATCAGTTAATCAATGTTAGGATTGCGCTTTTGTTTTGGCACATTTGATAAGAATAAAATGCGAAAAATGTGAGTTTTATTTATTTGCTGCTCCTAAGAATAATGTTCCATATACTAAAGTTACTTTTGAGAATGATACTTTATTAGAAGGTATACAAAGATGTTAACAAAAGAGTGGAGAATTATGTGGATCTCATGAAATGATTGGATAAACCATCAATGATGTATTATTAGTTCCAAAAGTCAGAGCTGATAATGTAGTTATATTAAGTGATATGATGGTAACATAAGGATTTTCAGAAACTGAATTGAGTATGGAAAAAGTGTTTAAAGACTATTTATAAAAAGTGAATCCAGAAGCTAAATTCTTTTTCATGGACATCTCTGGTTATGGCTAATAAGTTAGTTTTGGCGATGATCTCAAAAGTAAAAATTGCTTTCTCATTAATGGGATGAGTGACAATGTATTGAAATACATCTCTTACGCAGGCAAAATTAATCAACTCGAGGATGTTGTGGCCTTTAGCCAAGAGTTGAAAGCCAAATAGCAAGTTTAGGAATTGAAGAACAATGCCTAGATTGCCAAACCTTAATAAATTGAAACTGAATGATTTTGTATATAATTCCTAAATAATAATAATCTTGCTTCGATTTTATTTATATAGTATATATTAATATCAAATTTCAGATGAATTTAATATGGTAGTGAACATAAAATTTTCTTCTATCAATCATTTAAAATTATCTTATTTATAATTTAAAATATTTAATTAAAATCGTAAATGGATTTCATCAATGAAGGAGAGATCAACTTGTAATTGATAAACTTATAAGATTAGACCACCCTGAATAATCTAGAATAAATAACCTTCAATTATAATTCTAAGATAATATTAGCAATTTAATAATCAATCATTTATGCTTATTTCTTTGGATTGAATAATTTAAAAACCATCTCTAGTATTCACGTTAAGAGGAAGAACACAGAATAACTTAAATAAATTGAATACTTACAAGCTTCAAATTCTATTTTATCTATTGTTAATTTAAAAATTCTAGTTGCTAATCTTAATGCCTTAAATACAAGAAAATTTTAGTTAAAAATTGACTATGGTTTGTATGGCTACTGTGATTAATTGTTATTGAATAAAAATTAAAATAATCTCTTTATAGGTTTTAAGAATTATATTCTGTTTTTTGAAAATAAATTCTGCGTTTGGAAATACTCTAAACAAATTATAACAGGGTACAGAGATTACATATTATCAATATGTTTAAATTTTGAAGAGGATGAATTGTAAGTTTATGCCAACGATAGTTATAATTGCTCAGCTTATATTTATATCTACCATAAATAAACCTAAAACAATTCAATTTAATGGATTTTAAATTAGACCATAAAGTTTACAGACGGAATAGGATACTTATGGGGAGGATAAGTAAATCATTTATACTTTATGAACCCTTTTTCTCTGAAAGTTTTCAAATAAGACAAATAATTATCAGAATATCAAATATATTCTTCCTCAAATGTTTCGAATTAATCTGTAATCTGTTGGGTGTTTTTGCAAAATAAATTTATACTACTTATTGAAAACAATAATAGAATCAGTGTAATGATATTAAATTAGTAGTAAAAATTAGAGCTCATTAAATCTATCAACATAAATTTGTCGATTAACAAATACTCTTATTGCCTTCAATTTAAGAGCTTTCTATAAAATGGAGAATTTTTAATTATTTGGAATACAGAGAAAACCCTAATCTTTAGGATGTCTTCCAATTGATTTATTATTTCATTATATTAAATACAATCTATTTCATAAGTTAGTGGAATTGAAACAAAAACAAATTTTTGATAATCTCAATAAAGACAAGTTGAAGTTCTTTTGAATGTCAAACGTTATGCTTTAAGACAGGTTATAATTTAAAGAATCAATAAATATTTATTTGAATATTTACTAATAAATTCTATTATAGAGTTTTAAAATTTTGGAAACCCTTTGTTTTGGTTGACTAATCTTTGAATAATGATTTGGAGAACTGATGCTTATGTACACAGAGAGGATTTACAAAAAATAACTATAACTCAAATTTATCATGAATTATATTGCTTTGAAAGTAATAATACATTTCTATAAATATTGTAATTATCACTAATCATGATAAAATTAATAGATTTATCAATTAAATATAAAATTTTATATATATAATCAATAATTCTTCAAGTTAATAAATTGAGGACCGTTTTAAATCTTATTTAATCATTAGAAAATGGTAGATGAAGTTCGAACTTATCCTTTCTTTTTAAGTACTTACAATATGAATTAAGCTATTTTCCTTATTGTCTTATACTTTTGAAAAAGAAACTTCCATTATTAAAACCCATCAATAGCTAATTGAACACTTAATATTGAGGTCATACAAAAAATGCAACCCCACCCCAGGTATTATCGAATCTCGTAAGTAAACCAAACTAACTCAAAATCACAACTCAGAATTGTGATATTGAAAAGTGTGCAAGAGACGCTAATCTCGCAAAATAACTATTTAAATTATTCTAATTTATCCTGTAATGGTTAAAATCTGATGTAAAATAAGCAAAAAGAAATTGACAGAATTGTGATGCTGATTGATTGAAAAGCTGGAAAGTCATATGCGAATATTAATAATAGGATGAAGATAAGTTTTTTGATCAGAAGTATTGCATTAAAGTATTTTGAAAATTGGTTTATTTTGACTCCTTCAAAAATTGATCCATATTTTATTTAGATAGCTTTACTATTCACTGAGCATTTCTTCATCTAGGCTACTTTTATTACAAAATAAATGCTATAAATATGTGCAGCACTTGCCAAACAAGCTAAGAAAGAGTTGAATCTAATAAAATCATTTGTCGAATTGAATTCTAAGGTATACAATTGCAGTACTGCACAGAAAGCAAACTCGTATGCAGTAGCCATATAGGCACGTAGGATTCCACTATAGAAGAATTCTTAAACAATAACAAAACATAGCCTATTAATGACAAGCTTAATTGTTAACAAGTATACTCCAAGTTTGAGAATCCTTTTATCCTAGGTTTACGATTCAGGATTAACATTTAATTTAATATAAGATAAGATTTTAGGTACAACTTTTGCAATTGCATAAATACTGAAAAGGGAAATCCATACTGCAGATATTGTTGCAGAATTAATCATAAATAATGATGTTATATAATCACTTGCAATTTTTGAAGGTAACTTATTGAAATTTTGCGTTTTGAGTATTAATTCAATAATTCCTGAGAAGTCAAAAATCTTTTAAATAAAGTTAAATTAAGCAAATTCAAAAAGTGCAAAGTAGATTTATAAATTATATGGGAGTTGTGTATTAATGTATTTCAAATAAGATAGCATTTAGAGAGTATCCAACAAATTAAAAAAGGCTTCAATTCCTCCAAATACAATTGATCCTCCGCACATTGCCAAAATAAAGTAGAGAATATAGGAATTACTCTTGGTGGCTAATTGAACTCGAGTAATGGTGGTATCATCTATATAGATCACTTTTGGTATAAGGCAAGAGACTTCTGTTTCTATTTGGGAGTACCCTTGAGTTGAATAAATCATAGAATTATTTAGGAATTTGATCAACAAGATTTCGTCTTAGGAATCTCTTGAGTAATTAATTTTTATCATCAAATTTAATAACGATTAATTTAACGAATTAATCTATGCAATATCTTGGGTTAGTTCGAAAGACTGATCCATTTATTAAACACCAAGATCGTTAGAGAAATTAAAAGTTAGATAATCTTTAATTTAAAAACCATCTCTAATAAAGATGGGAACACTATATGATAATTTAAACAATCGATTGGGAGAGTAAACTTAGGAAGTGCCTACACTCTACAATAATGGTTTGGGATAATCCGGGACGATAATTACACCATTTACAATGATATAGTTGTTTTCTAGTTTACATTAATCATCACACCCATCACCCTTAAGATTATTCCCATCATCACACTCCTCTTCATTTACTTTAATATAATCTCCACATTTATTTAAACAAGTTCCATTGATATATTCTGCATAATATCCTGATTCACAAAGTTAACATTTATGATTCTTTTATTGTAGAATCTTACAACTTACACAATTTTAGGCTTAATCAATACATTCCAAACAATTAGCTGAACATTTAACACAATCATTTTTATCTAAAAAATAGCCAATTTCGCATCTAATACATTAAGTTTTTTATGATAAAGTATTTAGTTCACATTCAATGCAATTAATTGAACACTGAAAACAAATTGATGTTTTTAGTATTTCATTTTTACAAGAATAATTATGATCAATTTGGCAATTTGAGCAACCATCTCTAACTACATCATTTCCATCATCACATCCTTCTCCATAAGTCCAAATTTAATCTTTGCAATCCTAATATTTGCAACTTTCTTAAGTTTTCCCTAATTCACCCAAACATGAAATGCAAAGTGCATCTTCACTTTCAAAGTAATTTTAAGCACACTAACATTTGTTATTCTTTAAAACTCTATGTAGTTCATCATCACAACTTAGACAATTAAAGTAATTGTCAATGCAAGTTAAGCAAAATTAATAACATTATGAACAACTGTTTTAATTCCAAAAGTACCCTGGGTTGCAAGAACATTTAGAATTTAAATCTAAGTATAACCTAGATAACGGAAAGCATTCTTAACATATTGTTTAATTTAGACATGCTTTACATGGGTATTCACATCTATGACATTAATTCTATTATTCATAGTATCCAATCTTACAGACGCATTGATTATTAGAATTAATTTCTTAATTTAACCTGCAAGTAAGACATTTTTCAGGTAATCCTTCACAAGTTAAACAATTGTTATTGCATGGCTCACAATTCTAATCCAGTAGAAAATAGCCATCTAAGCATACATCGCAATTGAATTAATTGGTACATGTTATACAATAAGGAATACATGCTTCACATAAAGTCAATTAATTTACAAAATATCCATCTTAACAAATATCGCAAGTTACTTGGTTGAAGCAAACACCACAATTAATAATGCACTCTATACATCTATTAATTGTGGATAGATAGAATCCCTTCATACAACTATTGCAATTACCAATTCCTTAACAATCTATACAATATTTATCACAACAAAAATCTCCCCTCTATACAAAACCCTCTTTACATGAACATTAATTTTCAATAATCTAAGTTGGATCTTCACAAGTTAAACAATTAGAAATAGTATCAGTACATGTAGAACATGGACTTTGACATTTAAGACATAAAAGGCCTGATTAAAGATATCCTGGTTTACAAACACATTATGAGGCAGAATTAACTTCTTAATTAACATCCACACATGTTAGGCATTAGGAAGTAGATATCTAACAAGTTTAACATGGTTATTAACAAAGTATGCAGAAGTAATTAGAGTCATATCCCCATCCTAACCCACATTAACAAGTATCAGGCTATTGATGAGATGAATCTTAACAGGTTACACATTTGCTTTTCGTATCTACACAATTTATACATGGCAATTAACATTTGATACATGTGATGCCATCACTATCCATAATCCAACCTGCTTTACATTCACATTCAAACAAACTATTAACTACTTAATTAACATCAACACAGGATAAACAGTGATACTGATACTATTCACAAGTTTTACATGGTTTTATACATATCAAACACGATTGAGGAGTAGCTTAAACATAGCCAGGGGAGCATTCACATTGATATTGTGTTCTACTTAATATAAAAGGAAAAATGCAGTCTGTACAATTAGTAGCTATTAATTAACACTTTGAACAAGGTGCAGTACAAGCCTGACATTAATATGATCCATCAGTATAATATTCGTCTTTGCAAACACATTATTAACTACTATTTGGTTTTCTATCGCTGTCAACACAACTAAGACAATTGTTTGAGTTATTCATGCAGTGAAGACATGGATACTAACAAGGAAGACATAAATTATTTGAAAGATATCTGCCATCTTAACATGAAAAGCACAAGGTGCTTGACATACACATTTTGCATGAAGGATCACAAGGTTAACAAGCTCCTTAATCTAGGAAATTGCCAATCTCACATGTATTACATAAACCATTCTACATACAAGTAGCACACTAACTAGGGCAAGGTGAGCAATTAATACCAGATAGGTAATACTTTGGAAAGCAAATTGAGCATTATTTTTACACGGATGGAGTATAACCTTAGACTTAAACCAGGCTACAAGTTTAGCATCCATTTTGACAAGCATCACATTCATGAACATCAGAAAGTAAATAAAAACCTGGCTTACACGTGTCACATTTGTTAGCTTAAGTACAAGCCAAGCAATTAGGTGAACAATCAACACATAAACCATTATCAGAATATTACCCTTAATTACAACACCAAGTTACTAAAATAGTTTTAAGCAACTTTACATAAACAGTTTATTAAAATCAGATTGATTCTAAACAAGTTGTAGGACATCCAAAAATAATTTATATAAGAATAAATGATTTATACAAAAAGGTTTTAATAGGTGTAATTTAGAAGTGATTAATTATTAATACCTGTTTTTTATAAAGATTTAAAATTAATTGTCACTTGTGAATTTTACAATTAGGCTGATATTGGTATCCTCAATTTATATATTATTATTAAACTACCATATGTATATTGTTTAATATTTATTGCAAAACTCTTAAATAATTTAAATTTATTTATGAATACCCTCATTACTCTATATAATACAATCAACAAAAAAATTCAAAAAAAAAAACTTGTTCAACTGCAACCTCTTATTCTTTTTAAAAATAAATAAGCAAATTCGTTTCAATACAGGTTGTTATAATTAATTTCGATTTAAGAGTCAGTTACTCCGATTTACCAATATTAGGATAAAAACCAATAACAAACATCTTATAATTCCTTCATATTCAAGCAACTAGGATGTGATCCAGCTAACAAAAGTTATTTTATTTATTTTTAAGATAATAAATATATTTTAATATTATTTATCATTATTAAATGTTAAATTAATAGTATCAACCGTTAAAAGTAAAATAAATTGTAGATCAAAAATTTAATTTAATCTTACAAGATTTTAGAGAAACATCTGATCTGGTACCTATTATTCATGATTAATTTAATTTACAAATAATTTATTTAACATTTTGTATTAAATTAGGCCTATATTTTAATATTTTTATTAACCTTTTTGTAATTTTAGAAAAATAATTGATTATCATTATTAAATTTAATAATAATATCCAAATGAATGCTAAATAAGGACTTTAAATGATTGATATATCTTAAATAATGGTTTACCAATCTTTCTTTGACATAATATCCTATTAACCATTTTTATATTTCCCTTAATTCAACATTTATAAATTAAGCCTACATACTTCCTATAAATCAATGCATTTTTGAACCTTAAATTTCATCAAGATTATTCACAAATACTCAGATAAACATTTATTAAAATTTTCTTTTAAATTCTTGCATTTTTACGATATCCCAACTATTTACTTTTATTTAAGTGTTATATTCACATTTATTAATGACTTAAAATCTACCAGTTACTTCTGCCTAATTAGTTAATTTAATTCCTTTATCATATAATATATAACCATATGAAATATTTTAAAAATCTCCCATTACCAACTTGTTTACTATATTAATATACTAGTTAAGGCTGCTTAAGAAAAACTTTGAAAATACTCCATTTACTTCCACCCTTCAATTACCTTAATCCCATCATCATATAAACCACCTCCACTATAAGATAAATGCATTCAATTAAAATATTTCTTATAAAATATTTATTATATAAGAAAATTTAAAAAATATATTGGGAATATTCTCCAAAATAAGAACATAATTCCTTCATCATATAATTCAACGCCACTATAATATATTTTAAATACAATATTAGGTTTGAATTATGTTGCCACAGCACAAATCATCCCATCTACCAATATTTTTAGCATTTTAGTATTCATCAGTATACAATTATTATAAGTAAAGACAAATCTATCCCAAATACCCAATCATTTTTCTTTTTAATGAAAGATATTTCATTTGCATTAAATTATTTAAAATATATTTATTAATTTCATTTATTGACTCACCATTCGATTTGCAAACCACACATTTCGATAAATTAATCCATTTTTTAGATCATTAGAGATGATTAATTTATTTGAAATTATGTAATACTTTAGGCGCTTAAGAATTTCTTTAATAGGATCTCAAAATTTTTCTATCGAAGAATTTATCAGTATCCAAATATTCTTCCTCTAAAGTTTGGTTATTCTTTTTAAAACAAAATTATTCCTTCTATATTAGAGAACGCAGACACTAAAATAAAGGTTGAAATTAATGTACATCCATGAAAACGAAAGGATAATGAAAAGATTCTTTTAAAGATTCAATTTGTATTTTACCTTTTGAACTTTATGGCCATTTATTTGAACCTGAAATATTATTTTATAACTGAGAATATATTTAAGTTATTAATTTAATAATTCATTTTCTTCTTTGGATCGTTTTCATGGTAAAAAAAAGAAAAATATGGGATTTACTTTTCTTCATTTTTTCATTAACTCCAAAATCTTAGCATTATCTCATTGATTTAGAAGTATTTGAATAAAATATTATTTACATATCTATTGAATTTATTAAAATAGAATACTCATAAAATTTATGCATTTTAAAAGGCATAATTATCTTATTAATTGAAATTGAATAACAAAATGGAGCAATCGCATTCTAAGGCTTTCACTTACAACCTATTACCATAGTATTCTATAAATTAAAATTCTTCACCTCGTGCAATCGCAATTAACAAAAACAATACATTGCTTGTAGTTGAAGCATACTATTTCGTTAAATTTTTTACATTTAAAAGAGGAGAGATAAGATTATTGTAGAGGTTTGAATTTCGAAATTCAAACCATAATACTTTAAACTTTCAAATGCAGAAATAAGATATTGTGTCAAGCTCATAGAAATTTGTTTGCAAATATTCATCAAAGTTAATGGCTAATCCCAAATATATCTAGAAATGTTCTGGATAATTTAATGCTAATTGCTTAATTCTACACCCTCTCAATGAAGACATAATAATTGTGGGCAGTTTACTAGGTCAAATTGACTTTTTATTCACTAATTAGAGTGGCAGTATCAAACCTTTTAAATAAACTATTAAAGAGCATAGTTCAGTACTTGGATTATCTATAAATAATGATGGTAAAAGGGTTATTTCCTGTGGAAAAGACAATTTTATTCTAATTCTTGAACCCAATTCCACTAATTCTGAATTATCAACATACATTTGGACCGTAAAATAAAAATTATTTGTTGAGCAATATGGTTACAGAATATGCTTTATTAATAATGATAAATTTACATTCCAACCATCACATTCGCCATACATGAATTTATATTGTGAAATAAATGGTTTTTTTCTTTTAAAAAGCTAACATTTACTATCTTCTGATAAGAATGATCCTCGTTGTATTTTCTAATAGGTGTACAACAAATAGAAATCCCTTATTTACAATATATACGGAAGAGCTTTATAAATTATTAGGCTTTCAAAGGATCAATCTTTGTAAACAGACAAATCTGAGGAATCTTTTCAATTAGAATAGCTTATTGATTTTGGAAACAATTATAATCCATGGATTTTTGGTGTAATTAGTGAAGATGCAGAATATATAATCACTTGGGATTTTTATTCAGAGTAAATATAAATTAGACAATTTCAAAATACCGAATGAGACTAAATTTCCTTTAATATGAATTTATAATATAAATAATTATCTGACTCATTTTTTAAATTAAATGTGTTCTTAAGGGTAAAACCTATTAAAAAGTAAATATTAGACAATAATATTAGTTGATAACTGCTTGTAGTGTCTTTACCCTTATGATCCTTTTATTTTAGCTTCCCTTAATCTTGTTGTTCTAATAAAATGAAAGTTTAGAAGTTTTAATTAATCATAAATATAGAAATCAAGTAGAAAAATATATTAGATTCAAAAAATTTAATTGCACTATGTTTTAATTTTTTAATTCCATGATTTTTGTTCTATGTATTGATAGATCTGGGTTGTTATATTCTTTACTCATAATTTATTTCTGTAAAGTTATAACTTGAGAGGATTTTGTTTAAATAATTTTATAATTAATAAGTGTTTTTTAAATAGAAAATATAATCCTTATTAAAGAATTTATTAAAAATTTAGCATGGATAACAATAATTGTTTCTCCTTAATAAATAATTCAAGATAAACAAGTATAAACTTACTATATCAAGTTGAATAAAATGTAACATTGATAAAAAATATCGAAATACAAGAATAGAAAAATAAGGAATTATATCTCAAATCATTAGAAAGAATATTCTCATTACTGTAGAAAAATTAGTGCTCTTGCCCCAAATTATAACTTGAAAAACCTTTAGTTACAATAGAGGGATATAGAAGCATTTGGTAAAATTACTCAAAAATTTGTGAATAAATAAAAATCAACTCTTAAGTTGTAGATTATTATTTTTCTGCCTCGTTTTGTCATTACGTGTATGAAAATGTAATAGTTTAGGTTAATAAGAAATTAATAATTGATCATTCGTGGACAAAGAGTAAAAACTACACACATTTTATAATTGCTATAGCAATTTTTAAGTATTTTTACAAATATACCAATAGAAGAATAATTGATTTGTTATTAATGCAAAAGGGCAGATACAAATTTAGTGAAAGATCGAAAAACAAAATTGATTTTTAAGGAATGTAATGTATGCAAAGCTACATGTACTGTTGAAGGATCAAAATTTAAATACTTTAGATTTCCTTGATTCTTTCTAATAAATTAAGTGTTAAGTTAGTCTTAATTCGATTACAAAAATCATCTTTATATATCTTAAATTTAATCAGTTTTGTTGTAAAGTTTGGCTTAGAAATAATTCAATTAGTTTCATATAATATAATTGTAAAAATTTAATAACAAATGAATTTAATATGTTAATAATTATTTTAAATATAAGTATGAGTAATTTTTTTGGAAATCTTATAGATAATCTGCTAGACAAAAAAGAACATAAATTGGAGAATTTTAGTGACTTTATTATGAAAGAAATAAGTGATATCGAAAAACATTTGATTAGTGATGTAGATTAGCTCATTAGATTGGATAAATATATATTAATCATTTTATTGTTCTTAGGAATTTTAAATCTGATTATTTTCGGATTACTTATTAGATTGTTTATTAGATATAACAAGAATACTGAATAGAATACACAAATACAATATTCAAGAATTCAGTATGATGGAAGTATATGATTTTATGGTTATATAAATTTTTAATTATAAATACTTAGTGGATTAAAACAAATTGAAGCTTAATATTAGTAGAGAGTGATTAAATTCTGATATATAATTCTATTAGCTATAGCATAATAAATGATCTTAATTAATTACAGCCATTAAATTAACAAAACATATTAATCATAAGTCTCATATTTCTAAAGAATATTTAATGATAACATTATTAGTTAGGAATATTTTGATAAGGATGCTATATTGAAAGGAGATTTTAGGATAAATCAGAATTAACTATTCACGATATTTCTTTTTAAGCCTAGATCTATTCAGTGCCAAAAATCATCATCATCTCTCGTGGTTTCTCATTGCTGAGATTCT